CACTTGCTCTTCCTGTCGAAATCATCTGTCCTTCCCCTAGGGTTACTTGCCCCTATACACATACCTTTGTACGAGCGAGAATGGTCAGCTTCAGACCTCTATATTCTTGATCTTGGCTAGATGGTGTACCAATCTTTTGTTTTTTATTTCTTTGTTGATCACCCTAAGAGCTTGTAGAAGGCTTTGCCAGGCTTACTTCCACCCTAGTACGTGAACTGTTCTCTTCTATCAAGGCCATTTCCTGCACCAATGCCCGCAACGTGATTAAATCATCCTTACATATCGCTATAAAATAAACCCAAAAGCCTTGTCCAGCAAGTTCATTTTGGGAGGGTTCTCTTCCCAGTATGCATCCTCCTCTGCAAGCTCCTCAATTCCAGAGAACAGGTCCATCTCAGCCGGCTTTACAAACTTGGTTTTCTTAAAGAGTTTGTGCCCGACGAACAACACAATGAAAAATGGAATCATGAAATAGGAGAAGACAAAACTTTGGATATCCCATGAACCCTTCAAGAACACCGCGTAACCGTTCATGAACAACATGAGAACCAGCCAAAAAAGGGAGTGCCAGCCTAAATAGGGCAAAAACGAACTGTGGTACGGCAGAGTTTTGAGATCGATGTTTTGTGCCTTACAACCTTTTGCAAACTGCAAATAAGACACGCAAATGAAAATGTAAACAATTGCCATCGCGGCTGTTTCAACATTCAGAAACCATGTCAAAACGTTATTCGTGCTGTTGGAAACTGAAAGATAGGCCAATCCACAAACAAGTAGAACAGCAACACAGCAGTAAACAGGAACCCCTCTTTTCGTTTTTATTTTGAAAATCTTCGGGGCTTGACCCTCAAGCGCCAGTCGATGTAGAACCCTTGAGGCCGAGTATAAAGACGAGTTTCCAGCTGAGATAATCGAGGTCAATATAAGTACATTGACGATGTGAGGCAACACGCCTATTCCAAGCGTTTTCATCGCAGAGACATATGGAGACGCCCCGGCCCCAACTGCCCCCTCACTTATCGCTTTGATCATGCTGGGGTCGTTGAAAGGGACAAGAATACCAACACATATCGCGCCCCCGATGTAAAAAATGATAAGTCTTCCAAAAACTTTCCGAAATGATGAAGGAACAACTTTTCTCGGGTTCATTGCTTCACTAGCTGCGTTTCCTAGATAGTCAACACCCCAGAAAACGTACAAGGCAAAGATCAAACAAGACATAAAACCGTGGAATTTCCCGACCGAGCCCGTGGATATGTATTCAGCAAATGCACCCGGATTGGACCAGTTCTTGAATCCGAGAACCTTATGTTGTGGGTTTCCTCCTGCCATCACAACAATAGTAAAGAAAATCAGCCCGATCGCCAAGAAAACCTTGCCAATTGACAAGTAAAATTCACCCTCCCCAAAAATAAACACAGAGAAAAGATTCAAAGACCCAAATAGAGCGATAAGAGCCGAGATCAGGGCCGCTTTCGGGATTTTGTCTGTCCAAAACTCCACTACCAGGCAAACAGCGGTTATTTCGAAACATACGTTTGCTGCCTGGCACACAAAATATGTCCATCCAACAGAAAACCCACAAGAACTGTCCACGAATCTTTCTGTGAAATGCACAAAGGAACCGGTGACTGGGAGATACGTCACCATGACACACATGCACTGTGAAAGCCCTATGAATACTACCGACCACAAACAAAATGCTATCAAAAGTGAGCCTGGCCCTCCATGAATGATCTGCGTTCCGATCGAGACAAAAAGAGCCGTTCCGATAGCACCACCAATGCCAATCATTGATACTTGCCGGGGAAAAAGCTTTCTCTGTGCAATTCTTTCTTCTAGTGGCAGCGACTGTTCTTTGGAAGATTGAAAAGTCCCAGCATCGATGTCATGTATTGTTGTCGCCTCTCCTTCTTCGAAAGAGTTGACAACCAGTTCAAAGTTCTCCTTCTTTGACATTTCCTCTTGCTGTTCGTTAGCTGATAGAAAATGTCCGAATTGTCTAGCGATGACTTCGAGACTCGTAAATTGATCTTTTATATGTTTAGAAAAATATCCTAGAACATTAGATTCTATCTCGAGCTGAATGCCCCAAAAAAGAAGCCTTTAGCGAGAGTTATTCATCAGGTGCTCACGGGAAAAAAAGCACTAGCATTGATATCTCGGTTGGAGTTGCCGTAAAAATTGAGATAACACCTCGTGCGACTTCTCTTTGTGAACATAAGAGAAGGTGCCTTGGTAGATCTCGGTATAGATATCTTTTTCACACGGTTCTTCACAATATTCTGGTTTTGGAGAAACCATATTTTGTTAAAATGCTTTCGTAAAGTCTCAAGACACCCCTTTTAACAAAACTTGTTTCTACGTAGCGATGTCGAGGCCATGCTCTCAGAATTCGAGCTCATATCGCCTCGCTGTCCCTTACCAATCAAGGAAAGTACAAACAGTATATCAGCGGCTAAGACTGTGGCTAGTCTCTTTCACAATTTCATATCTGGAGTATAAACGGCACATTCATGGAAAAGACTAGTGTTGGTCTTCTTCAAAAAAACCTCTTAAAAGCTAACGAACGAAAGTAAATTTGTACAAGTGAGTTTTCTGAGCATCATACCAAGCAATGTGCCAGACTCTTGACAAGAAATCAACCATAAATTTATTCAAAGGCTATGCCTCACATGACTTACTTCCTCGCCAAGATATAATTGAAGCGACCTCGGAGGTTCTTCTCCCCGAGAAACGTGAATATGACGATAAAGAGGAGGACAGGCATCCGCTTGTTTACGGATCAGACAGTGGCAGTCTGTGGGTCCGCGCTTGCATAGCTGATTTTTCCAACAAAGCCTTCAAGCTGCCGACACACAGTACCGCTGGGACGCGGCCCGAGCACTTGAACCTGACTTCCGGCGCAAGCTACGGGATAATGAATATCTTACTTCAAACGACTTTGCCACACACAGGTTATACAAAGCAGGCGTTTATAGTAACGCCAACCTATTTCCTTGTTAACAAGGCCTTTCTCGACGCCGGCTTCACGGGAAAGATCACCGCAGTGGAAGAAAAAGGCGACGGCCTTGACCTGGCGTTTTTGGAAGCCAAACTTGAGTCATTTGAAAATACAACTAGTGTCAAGGACGTACAAGAAATCGAGGAATCGCTCAGAATGATAGACGCACAAGAAGGTAAAAAAAAGATCTTCAAATATGTCATCTACCTTGTTCCAACATATTCCAACCCAACGGGTGCAATCTATTCGAGAAGCTGTCGATTAAAACTCCTTGAACTTGCTCGAAAGTACGACATTCTAATCATTTCAGATGACGTCTATGATCTATTAAGGTTGGACAATGATGTTATTAGCGGTGCACTTTCTCCAGGTCCCCCCGAACTGCGGTTTCCTCACCTCGATAGACAAAGCATTTCTGCAGCAAACATGTTTGGTAACACAGTGTCCAACTGCACCTTTTCAAAGATAATAGCCCCGGGTCTAAGAACAGGGTATCAAGAGACAGCAAACGCTAATTTAGCTACCCAACTAGCTTCCGGCGGCGCAAATAGATCTGGGGGGACTCCGTGTCAACTGAACTCGATGATTGTCGCCACTATGATAAAAAATGGAGCTGTCGAGCGGATAATTAACGATTTCGTTAGTGCGCTAAGAGAGAGAGCGAGAGTTCTTGCTGAATCGATCAAAACATACCTTCCTGAGGGGACGCAGTACTCGGAATGCAGGGGCGGGTATTTTTCGTGGTGCACGCTTCCTGTTGGTTACGATTCCTCGAAGATCGTTGAGGAACTAAGACTCAAGGGTGTTTTGCTAGCAGACGGCTTGCACTTTGAAGTCACTGGTGACAAAAAAAATTGGGGTGAGCGCAGCGTGAGGCTTTCTATAAGTTATGCGACAGCAGCTGAAATCCAAGAAGCTGTCAAAAGATGGGGTCAAGTGTGCGAAAGGTATAGACCTTCCAACAGCAAGGGAAGCTTGGAAAGGAGTTGTTCACAAAAAAACCTGCGCTGCCCCCCTCCATTGAATGCGAAAATCTAGTTGTTTACATGTATGGCAGACAAATAAGGGACCTTTAGGTGGACACAGAAGGTTCCACGTGAAACAGATTCTTCTGGGTTGATGTAAAGCTTCAAACGCTCGATATTCGAATCAGTAAATTCTCTAATTTCAAATATCTCAATGCTACATTTTACCAGACGCCATATAATCAGGGAAGGCTTCTGATCTTAAGTCTATATACCCTAAATAACCGATCAAGAGGCCATTCACTTATTAAATATCTGGAAAATGTGACACTCATTGTACGTCTTGCAGAATTTTAGAAGCCCATTCTGAGTGCAGCATGTCCTCGATTTGGCAAAAGAGAAGAGAAGTGAAGCTATGATGTGGCTCTAACGAGAAACTGGTGTGTTTATCATGTCGTGCACACTGCAAATTTTAAATTTTCTCTGGTTCCAAAAGCCGTCTTCATGGACAGTTTCTTTCTTTCATCGTTGAACTAAGGTGAGCTCTTTGATTCACCAAAAAGAGGTATGTAATACCCATAAGTGTTAATGAGTAACTCTATTATTGGTCGCATTGCGTGAAAATTAGCCAAGAACTTTCCGCTCATTCAAATGAAAGGAAAGTGCGTACAACTTGCATAGTTGTACTTTTAGATAATAGATGAGTCCCGTTTGCAATTCCTTAACAAGAAAACTTAGCGCTCCATTGGAAACAGTCCGATAAGCCTCAATTGTTAAAGTTCGCAAATTCGATAATGGCCCCGCAATTTCCATGCGCCAATCGCCTATTTGTGGTTGATCATCATGTTCTCGGGATAATGGCCGTCTAATTGGCACTTCAGTTCGAACACCTCGGCCTTGTACACGTTATATAGAGCAGAAGGCTAAGCGACCCACTTCTCTAGTGACAATTTTTCTTTTGAAGGAGAGGTCACAGGAAAGACAGGCAAAAAATGGCAACGGCCTCATATCGGCGTTTCTAGAGAATAAATTAGGATTGTCCAAGAGTCAGCTAATGCAGAGGGCGTACAAGCAATCAAGGATTTGCTCAGAATAATAGACGCGCAAGAAAGTAAAAAGAGGATATGCAAATAGGTCATCTACCTTGTGCCAACATCTTTCAACCCAACACGCACAATCTATTCCAGGAACTGTCGAAAGTACGACATTGAAACAAACTCAGATGACATTTATGAATTGTTGAAACTGTAAGATGATCTCAGCAGCGATGAACTCATGTCTAGTTCTCTAGGATTACGGCCGAGTAATGCAGCACTGGGAATGTAAGGGAAAGCTTTTTCCGTGCTGAGCACTCTTTATTGAATCTGATTCTTCGACGATGTTTGAAGTTTTGTATCAATCCATCAGGAGGATGTACGTTCGCCGTTGAGGTCGATTGCCCATTGGTGTACCCTTCTGACAAACAATACCTGCAGAAATGGTCTTTTCAAGCCAAGTCTCTACCCTTGGGGCTCATATTACTGGTTGCTAAGTTTTATAAGCAACCGCGATTCGCAATAAGCATACTGTGTCTTTGTGGATGAATAACCCTAACAATTCATTAATTGAATTCAAAATCACCACAGTCCCGACAGAAGTATGTTGGATTTGCCACTCTAGTAGCGTTGCCTGACATTTTCAAAACGTGGGAAAAACATGGCGTTGCGCTTTGACCGACGCCTCTTTGGGTCTCCATTCCTGCGAGTGCGAAATCGCTGCATGTGTAATCGCTTTATAACAGAGATTAGCTGATGTTTCCTGTATTTTTACGGTCTTGAAGCTAAAGACAATCGTTGGAGACCAATGCAAACAACACATTGAGACCTCTTGTATCGTCTGCGGAGCCAATACTCAAGTAAATTCTGTTAACAAATATCTCTTTTCCAACAGAATGTCTCAAGAACCTAATCCTTAGAAGAACAAGGCATTATCGACTGCTCAACGAATTCCTCATTCACGTACTTCCTAGCCTGGAATGCGTTTACAGACGCTGAAAAATCTTCCAGTGAGATCTAAAATTCTTGGGCCAAAGGTTTTGAGATTCGAGGACTGGTACCCCTCAGCGACGTGATAAGTGGAAACACATGCGTTAACAATCTACATGTACAAAATACCGTTTACGACGATCTGACTCGGCAGCTTCTACCGTTAAAAAAATGGGCCCGTAGCCACCGCATATGAGCTCACCATGGAAGCTCAGAACCTTCGTAGCTCAAAAACTTACCTGCATTTTTGGCCTTCAAGTCCGTCAATACGTTCTCTTTAATGGCTTTGGCAGACTCTCCAGGAGTGAGCAGCGGCAGCGCGCTTTTCAATTGCCCCGTGGCCTCGTTGCCCAGCTGCACGAACGTGTCGTCTCCCATGTCGCTCCCTACAAGACCAGGGTGGACCGCCGCAAGACTGTAGCCCTCGGGGGAAAGTTCTTGAATCAAACCTTTCACAATATAGTTGGCGGCAGCTTTGGAAACTCCGTAACCCGAAAACCCGACTGGTAGCTCGACGTTTAGAGATCCAACTAGAGAAGACACCACGGCGACCTCTCTTGTGTCCTTCTTGTCCAGCAAGGGTTTGAACGCTCTTACTAATCTAACTGGACCCACAGCGTTAACGTTGAACTGCTCGATGTAAAGTTCATCTGGGTGGTCCAAGTACTTGCCAATGTCCTTAAGGACCCCAGCGTTTGACACCAGCACGTCTAGCCCGTCAGGCAAGAGTGCTGCAGTTTCCTCAGCGGCGGCCTCGACGCTCTTGCTCGAAGAGACATCCAACTGCACGATTTTCACATTAGGATGCTTTACAGCCCAGTCTTTTAGGTCATTGGCAGAGTTTGGTTCTCTAGCAGTAGCAACAACGGTGTTTTTCGCGTCGGAGCTCAACTCTTTGACCAGTGCGAGACCAATGCCTCTGTTACCGCCAGTGTACGAAATACGATGTGGAAGACATTTGAGATAGATTGAAAAATGGAAAAGTGGGTTGATTTTTTAAAGCTTGCAAAGTTGTAAAGACAAGGGAGCTTCAATACTTGCTTGTGTTGGGAAAGAGTATTAACAAGACACAGACTGGATAACATCAAAGACAACCTTCTTATATGCCCCATTTTGCTGGCGCTGGTGTCGATGCCATTGAGCTCAAGGTTTGCGAACATTTGTCATCGTTTCACTAGCTCTGGCGGTGGTGAGTTTGGCAAATACCAAGAGTAAGGTGCTCAGGCGCTGTATATGCCTCATCCATTGGTGAACTACGAATTGCACGGCTACCTACATTATTAATCGAACTAAACGATTTAATCAACCTTCCGCAACTTCTGGTGCACTTGGGCTGCGCCAAGTATTGTACCTAAGGAAAGACGGCGTTGTTTTGGTTTGTCTCTCTCATGTTGTAGAGCACTCTGCTGTGGAAAATGTATTAATCATCGAACAGATAAAATTAAAAAAGTTTAAATTCCTACAGGTCTTGGCGCTCAGGTAAACACCATATCCCTCACAGGACCTCGATGGTCTTGGCGTACGTGAAGACCTAGTCTCGATGATGAAGGTAATACAAATAGTGATATCAAAAAACCTTGGCAATGCAAGAACCGCGTTGACCTCGATGTCACGACAGTAACGTAGTATACGCGAACCTTACCTCAGTTCTACAGATGCTGTGCTAAAGAATCACGGCAAATGCCAGGATCAACTATCCGTAATTGATGCATTTCTTGATCTCGGTCGTTGAGAAGAAATCGGTGAGCACTGATCGGTGGCATTATCCTCGAGGCAAGAAAGAAACACTCGCAATCGCTAAACTGCATGGCACTTCTCGTCCAAATTTTCGAAAACCCATCATTTCTTGTACATATTTAATGACTAATGAACTGTTTCTATCCCCGGTCACATTCGCTGTCTAGACCACCATAGCCTTCGTAGTAAACTTCCCCAACCAAGGCGTCGTCTTTGCCCTGATTGTCCGAGAACCCATATGCGAAACACATTTTGCTGCGTAACCCATAGCAGTAATAGCTATTAGTACAAGGTTGAACGTGGGTGACCATACCATCCAAATCTCCAGTTGAGTGCTGCCGAGCTGACGTGCCATACACGTCCCAATTGAACATATCTTGATCATAACCCGTGTTGGTACCCCAATCAGTATATGATGCCCAAAAACCTGTATCATCTCGTTTTTGTAGCCCAGTGCCGTTAACTATCCGAGCGTTGCTAGACAGCACGTGGTCGATTCCATTGAAGTTAGCTAGCGTCCTTATTGCGTCCTCGTGTCCAGTAGTATCAGTTATAACAGTGTGGTTTCCGTATTCGCTCTTGTAAGTGAAGGTGTACCCCAACAACTCAATTACTTCCGAGTGATTAGAGTATATTCTAGGTGTTGAAGTCACATTTTTATAATGATCTTGAGCATAATCATTAAACAAGGTGTGGAGCGCTGGATGAATAGTATCTATACGTTCAGCATGAACCTTGGGGAGTAACTTTTGCATGAAGGCCCCTTCAACGGGATTGTCACCATCACGCTTTGAAACCGTGCCAGAAGCACTAGAAAAATTCAACCTGCTGCCACTCCGTATGCAGATATAGTGGATCCTGCAAAAGCTACAGCAGCTAAAACTGCGCCTGATATAGCGCAAGGAGCCACGTTGTCTTGATCATTAGAGTCTCTAGTTATACCGACAGCATCAGTAATAGCTGGACCACAAGCATTCATCCATATAGCTGTCGCGGCTGAAATCACTCCAAAGAACACGGTAATAGCCCCGAGGACAGCAGACCGAAACCAAGAAGCTCGCTTGCTGAGCATGTGTGCCATATTTCTATGCACTCCTTTTGCCCCTGCCCAAGCAAAAACAGTGGTTCCCGCATTCACATCGCCGCTGAGCGCCCACACAGCTATCAATGTTGAAAGACCAACTACGATCCCTGCTGTTAAAGCCAACCTCTGCGGAGTAAACAGTTTTTTAGACTCAATTGCTTTGTTAGCAGACATGTTTACTGACTGTGAAGTTCATTATTTGATTTTCATGTCAGTTCAAACAGCTCAATTTCTTCCTCGCTGTGCTGTTCGCAGCTGTTTGTATAATTTCCTCCATTATAATTATCCACCAGCTTCTGAGCTTATCGCCGAAATGCCGCATCTCAGGCTGTCTCGTAAATCGCGGTCTATGCAAAGATAATCTCGCTTTGCCGGCGCTCATGTATATGCCATTCGGCTAAAGGTTTGCGAGCATTGGTCATCGTTTCACTAGCTCTGGCGGTGGTGAGTTTGGCATATACCAAGAGTAAGGTGCTCAGGGGCTGTATGTGCCTCATCCATTGGTGAACTACGAATTGCACGGCTACCTATATTATTAATCGAACTAAACGATTTCATCAACTTTCCACAACGTCTGGTGCACTTGGGCTGCGCCAAGTATTGTACCTAAGGAAAGACGGCGTTGTTTTGGTTTGTCTCTCTCATGTTGTAGAGCACTCTGCTGTGGAAAATGTATTAATCATCGAACAGATAATATTAAAAAAAGTTTAAATTCCTACAGGTCTTGGCGCTCAGGTAAACACCATGCACCTCACAGGACCTAGATGGTCTTGGCGTACGTGAAGACCTAGTCTCGATGATGAAGGTAATGTAAGTAGTGATATCAAAAAACCTTGGCAATGCAAGAACCGCGTTGACCTCGATGTCATGACAATCACGTAGCATACGCGAACGTTACTTCAGTTAGATTTCTACAACAGTCTGTGTTGATGATACAAGGCAAATATCAGGGTAAAGTATCTGTAGATAATGCAGCTCTAAATTAGTAAGACCACGAGTGAAGATGAATTCGAAAGTTAGTAACATAGGGCTTTTCACTTCATTATTGATACTCTATCGACCTTACTAATCATGTCACTTGTTGTCGCCTTGAGAAGTAAACCATCGTCAAGGTGATTATGCTCTGTATAAATGGCTAACATGTAACGCTTCAGCAGTTGGCAGTTGGTCCTCTCTTATCTCAAACACCACGCACAATGACAGTCGGAACATTATACGCTTGGACCAATGCTAGAGGGATGCTGCCTCGTGGGCTAGTTGAATGGCTCAAAATTGACATGGATGTCGCCAACCCAAGCGACAACGTTGAAGAGTTCAAAAAGCTGTTTCCCTTAGGGAAGAACCCAGCTTTTCTAGGCAAGGATGGCTTCGAGTTGACCGAGGTGATTGCGATTGTGTACTATTTGGTCAGTTTGAAGGGTGACGCGGAGCTCGAAAAATCGCTTTACGGAGAAACTTTGGAGGAGCGCTCCCAGGTTTTGAGACTTTTGTCATTTACAAACAGCGAGCTAGCCCCAAGCGTCGCGGCGCTTGTGATGGCTGCTAGAACTAATGCCAGCGCCGAGACCTACAACGGAAAATTGTCTCAGTGCCTTGCGACCTTCGGACTTTTTGAAAGTATCTATCCCAGCATGAATTTTTGGTGAAGGATCAAATTACAATCGCCGATTTGTTTGCTGCGTCCATGTGTGGCACGGTATTCGGTTTTGCTCTCGGAAAGGACAAGTTTGGCGGTCTAACCAAGCTGCAGCAGTGGCTTCCCAAAGTTATCGAACACCCGGCGCTCAAGGGCCGACTAGACCCCGCAAACTTCAAGGAGAAAACCATCGTCGCTAATCCAGAGTGAAATGTATAAGTGAGGCCCTCGACGGTCAGTCAAATTGAAAAAAACAATTGCTGGTAGAAATGCATAGAGACTTGTATGTACTAGTTTATCGAACCAAATTTGTTTGCTGTGACGCGTGTGTCGTTAACTACATTGAACGACGAAGAGATGAGAGATGTCCCACGTTTGGTGAAAGCTGCTAAGCAACATTGATATATGATTTTGATTGCATAGAGAAATGAATTGCTAGGAACAACTCCACGTTCCACTCCATCTCACCTTCATGGTGCTTCTTGTCTTTTGACCTCCTTTGCTGGGAATCAAGCATGTAGAATGCTACAATAACAATTTACGTTGCGTGAAATAACACTTTCGGTTCCTCTGTACTTAAAAGTAAGACATACTTCAACGTGGCTAAAGTGAAGCAGATTCTCTGCAATAAACTCTTGATGGGCTGTACCGTGATTTTTGCCAAGAAACGTTGAAATTCAATGCGTTGTCGACATGTTCTGCCATTGGTAAACATGGTTTATGATTATAAATATTACTTACATCCGATAAGTAATAGGGCACTGTTGGGCGAGTTGAACGCTAATCGCGAGTTAGGAGCTATACATGATCAAGAAGGGGCCTGGCTACACAACTTAGGCTCACGGTCTTCGAGGAGTGCAGACATTCATGTCTTACTAAAACCAACGTTGCACCAGATTGTGAAGATGTGGCGTAAGCTTCGACTGTGATGAGTAATTCCTAGCATTGCTGATCAATGGCAAGCTACTACCCTAAAAAGTACTTAAACGCGGGAAATTTGAGTAGATGTAGACCATTCTATACTCATCATAGAGCTCAACCAAGCAAAACAGAATGGCTTTCGGCTTTAAAGTTCACAACGCTAAACCTAACGAGGATTTGAAATGGTCCAATGCTCCGGCGAACAAGCTCGACTTGAAAACGTTGAGAGTGGCAATAGTTGGAGGTACTGCAGGTATTGGCCAAAGTCTAGCCCAGCTTTTTGGCAGCAGAGGTGCTGAAGTGGTTGTGGTCGGTAGAACTTTCAGAGACCAAAATTCGAAAAATGTTTCGTTTATCAAAGCGGACTTGGAACTCATGTCTGAGGCCAAGAGAGTTGCTCAAGTACTCGCTCAAAAGCCATTGGACTTGGTGATATTTACCACAGGTATCTTAGCGGCTCCCAAGCGTGAGGAAACTACGGAAGGGCTAGAGCGGGACATAGCGGTAAGCTACTTGAGCAGATTGGTTATTGTTCGCAATCTTCTACCGCACATTGAAAAGTCGCACACCAATCTTGTTAAAAAGCCAAGAGTTTTCATTTATGGTTTCCCGTGCGCTGGGGAAAAAGGAAGTCCCGATGATTTGAATTCTTATGTTGACTACGAGGGAATGAAGACACACATGGCCACAGTGGCTGGGAATGAAGCCCTTGTGCACGACACGGCCCGCCGTTTCCCCAGCATCGCCGTGTATGGTGTAAACCCTGGTTTGATCAAAACGGCCATCCGTAATAACTTCTTGGGAGCCCGTAGTTGGAAATCATTTTTCGTTGAGAGCGCTATCGGCTTGCTGTTTCAAAACACAAAGCAGTACGCCGTGAAGAACGTTCCAATGATGGTGGCTCCCGAGCTGGACGATTATACTGCTGCCTTTTTCGATAGCTTTGGCAAGCCTATTCTTTCCGACGGATTTCCTGAATCGTATGTTGAGAAATACATCCGTAACTCAGAGGAGTTGCTGAAAAAGTCGGGTGTTCCCTACTACTAAGCTGTTGGAAATCATTAATATTTTCAGCAGGATAATTTGTTTTTCTTTCTTCCTACGACGAGAAGTCTTGATGCTTTATTTAATGCAGGATTAATTACTGATATTTTAACTATTCAGTGACCCGTTGGTGTATAATGTTTTTTTCTGTACGCGGAGTCTCACTGAATATTCTTTGACAAATAATTAAATTTAATCTTCAAGCAGCACCTATTAGCCAAAGTATTTTCTTGATTTAAAACCTAACCCTTTGGTCATTGAGCTATCGTCTTATTCTATTATCACGGCTTTACATGCCGCCAAAAGATTACAGCTGTATTTCGCCCGAGTATCAATGAAACGCCAATCAGCTACTTACTGACCCGGTGTTCGAGCCTTTCGCTTCAATTGAAAGTCCTAAAGGCTGCTGTCATGTTGCCTGAACTTTTCATTAGGTATATCTTCTTTTCTTGGAGCGAAGCTCAAAGTACTTCATAAGCATTATTCTTGTCTAGCCTGAGGAGAACACTCTGAGCGGTTCAGTGCTCTAGCTAAGGTCTCAAGAACACTTTTTCGCATGTGTAAGTACCCTTTTGATCCAAAATTTTATCTGAAACTACAAGCGAAGCAATTGGAAGATAATGGTCTACATGACTACATCTGCATCAGCCGCACAATTATCATGATCGCGTATCTGTTCCGATATCGTGGGTTTCCTGCGATAAAGGCGATAAAAAACATGAGTTCCACTAGTGAACTGGCAGTTCGTTCGTAGTGGTTAGTGAGCAAAGCCACTTTCTCTATCAAACATAACTGTTCATCTCAACTTCTCGGTTATTTCTTTATCCTGACGCTGTCGTTCAGTTACTTGGATCTATCACTGACATAAGCGTATCTTCAGACATTCTAATACATCATCCTTTTGAATAAACAAACCGCCGATAATACGTTTTACCAGAGATGAATTAAGGGAGCGAGTAAGTCTCCGTCCTCCGCTAAGATTTTTCGGATGGCGAATGATCTTAGCGACGTCTAATGTAAATTACGGTTACAGTTCAGTCTGACCAAAAGCCCAATAAAACGTAAGTTTTAGTAAATATCATCTTCGATTTGCCGAAAGTTCGACGTTGACGTGATTATAAGCGTAGTTTTCTCTTGGTAAATATTCTTCAATTCGAGCTCGACAAAAGCACAAAGAGCGAAGAAATGTATAATCGAATCTTAGATGCTTCAGTCAAAAAACAGCTACGTCAGAAAAATAGTATTATGAATTTTCTTCATGGACAGCAAATTGTTACTTTGAATGAGAGCTGAACTGAGCTCTTTCTCTTCACCTTCAACGCTGGTCGTAACCATTCCAAATTCATCTGGTAGCCGATGCCCCTTAGAGTTCAGGGTTCCATTCATCGAATTAAATGCATTCGAAGCAGCTTAAATTATCTTGAGGTGCATATTAGACAGAAGGATCTATCGAACAATGTCATCTTAGATATTGAAGGTTTACTGTGTCTATAATATTGTGCATGAAAACACGAGTTTTTACTTGAAAGGTGTTTTTTATGCCGTAGCCATCCGAAGGTTTTTGTTAAGAATGATAGTGACATTCTTTCAAAAATATCTTGCCAACCTCTTGATAGCGCAATTTTTAACAGGACTTATGTTTTATAGAAGTTCAGTAGGATAAGATCGCTATCATTGCAGTTGAATATGCGATGTATCTCGGTAGAGGTCTCTCCTCCCTTAATGTGAGAGGTCCCTCAATGCCGATGAAAATGCTTGAAGCCTTAATTCGGTAACACACTGTAAATCATTTTGAGCTAAGGAATACGTCCACAAGTGCCTACACATGGTGCGTTCGAAGCAGTTCCTTTAATCCCACTGGTAGAAGGATGTGACATGACTAATATATTGTTGGCCAAGACAATCGAAGTCAGAAACTAATGCGGCGCTCCAGCCCAGCAATGCTATTCGTTTGATGTTTGCTGAAACTTCCTCTATCTCTTACGGAGAGAACAAGAGCTATCAAACTGAGCGCAACAGATAGGACGAAGACACTTTGGATACCAGTTTTATAGCTTGCGATCACCATTTCTCTTACTATGGGCTTTAAGCCCCGTATGATGCTTGTGTTTTGACTTAGTCTTTCGAGCAGTTGAATGATTTCGTCATCTTGTAACACTCCTCTGAGTTTTTTCTTCAGGCTCCGACTCACAATTATCTGAACGAGTCCGGAGGTACCTGCCACCCCCCATACGCATCCGATACTTCTAAAGAGATATAAGACCGCAGTGGCAGTTGCTTGTTTGCTTTTAGAAAAAACAAACAAAAACGAGAACAAAGTCGATGGAAATGTTATACCCTGCCCGATATTTGCAGGAATTAGCAGCAAGAAAGTCAACCAGCTAGAAGTGGATTTGCCTATAAATAGGAAACATAAATTTCCTAAAAGCATGAGCGATATCCCGGCAATGAGTAATACAGGCAGGCGGCTAGTATTTTTCATTGATATGCCCATTATCAGACCTCCAATCGGTGTGCAGAAAGCGGGGATCGCGAGTCTTCGACCTGCTTGAGCAGCAGAATCACCGCTCACTACCTGAAAATAAAGTGGGAGAGTGAACAAATATGCGTACGCAACGAAACCTACGAAAAACCCAATTAGCAGAATGCTATCGGAGTTTCTTCCGAGAAGATCTCGAGGAATGATCGGATGCGCAGCCGTTGTTTTTTCGATGTACGCGAAAAGACTCAAGGATGCAATACTTAGAAGCAAGAATCCTGACGACTTGACATCGTAAGAATCGAAATTTTTACCAGCAATAGAGCTGATCAGTGTCAAAAATACCAGTTGACCGGTCAAGCCCAAAATCAAAAGAATCGCGCCGCTGAAATCAATTCTTCTCCATTTACTCGTGGATATTATTTGGCCAGCACTGGGAACTGGATTCTGTACAAACATAAACGCCATTAAGCTTCCAGCCAAAGAGATTGGCACTTGAACAAGGAAGCACCATTTCCAGCCAAATTTTGCCGCAATTGTACCGCCACAGGATGCGCCCACAACTGCTCCTGTGCCCACGAGAATATTTTGGAAGGACTGAAATATTCCCCGCTTCTCAGCACTTATGATGTCTGAGTTAACTATAGTGGAAAGTGTAATTAATCCGCCGCCCCCCACGCCCGTGATCGCACGCATGGATATAAGCAGGTAAATGTTTGACGATAAACCGCATCCCAGGCAACCCAGTGCAAAAATGCCGTTGGCGAAGAACAAACAGCTCCGTCTTCCAAGTGTGTCTGAAAAGGACCCGTACAACGGCTGAAATGAAGTGCATGTGACCAGATACGCTGTGGTAATCCAACTGGCGATCTCTGCATTTTCAAACTCGTCACCAATGAGTTGGTAAATTGACGCTGTAATTGTGCTGTCGAACCCAGAGAGGAAGACGTTGGTAAAAAGTGCCGTTTCTATCATAAGTATCCTGTTTTTTTGAATCCAACTCTTGCTTTCATTCTGTTGATTTCCGTTGGTAGGTTCTTGTGAATTAATGGACGAATAGACGGGACCGGTTCTGGCATAGTTAAGAGATGACATCAGTGGTCAAATCTGAGAAATCAACATTCGCATAGGGTAAATGGTGTTGATTGAGCCGCTCAAGGGTGTTTTATTTATGTGAGCACTTCAGTTCAACTTTGAAAAGCACTCGAGCTTGGTACCCACAACCCGTGTCTTAGGTGAACCACACTAAAGCCATAGCTTGCTTGGCGACCCCATGTGATCGCAGTTACTATTCGTCTTTGAAGAAACCCCTTTGAGTTTTATGAGCCAACTCCTACACGTTCAAATGTTGCTTGACCAATTGTCACCTAGGTAGGATGGCTTCTACCTCGAGCGCCAATGATAGTGTGAAACCCTGCGTAGGTGCAACCGCGCGTTAACATCAATACACTTTATTATTTTGTTAGATGCCAAGTAACATCAAAAGCTACTTCGATAAAGAACTGTTGAGCTTCTACAAAATCAAGCCCAATTGACTTATCCGTGAGTTCTTTTCTCGGGCGTCAATTTCATTCATCAATTGTTTGAAGCCGACAACGCACTTGTAGCTGATCTTCGCATGGGCCTTTTAGGAAACACGAAAGAGTGCATGATTTTTCAAAATGGTGCAGTGGGCAAACTTGAATAATGGCTTGGGACATACTTAAAGTACAAGCAACAACACTCATTAAAATCAGGTAGCTCTTAATGTTCTGTCCTTAGTTGATCGCCACGCCTTTCTTGTCTGACTGCTTATCGCCCCATCTTGAGCTTATCTCAACGGTCGCGTTCGTCTGTTATCACCAAGTTTAGGAAGGTTTCCTTTAATCTACGAGCAATGAAACGCAGACAAGACACACCGAACGGCGCTTGTTTAGTAAGCTTTATTACTGTATATGGCCCCAAACCTGCTTCTTTTTCCTCAACATATCTATTGATGAGCATAGCCTAAATTTTTGAATGTGTTTAAGGTGCCAAGATATGCTGATGAAACTTGATATGGTGCTTCATCAATTACCAAACCATGTACTACAATAAGACACCGTTGTTAAGACGAAAGTTCGATGATTCAAAATTTTCACCGCAATTGTTCCTCAAGTACGAAATGTTGCAACCTAGCGGTAGTTTCAAATCTAGAGGAATCAGCTACTTAATATCAAAGCGTAAATCAGAAGCTGAAGCCCAAGGCGGGAGAAAACTGGTTGTTTTTTCAAGTTCAGGTGGTAATGCAGGACTTGCTGCAGCTACGGCTGCTAAATCGATGGATCTAGAGTGCACTGTCGTAATACCCAAGACGACAAAACGCAGAATGATCGAGAAAATAGAAAAAAGCGGTGCCACTGTAATAATTCATGGAGACCACTGGGGTCAAGCAGACGCTTATTTGCGAGAGGTTGTTATGGTCGAAGAAGTAGAACGTGGACTTGAAACGCTTTACGTCCATCCGTTTGACGATGAGACCATCTGGGAAGGTCACTCTACTATCGTGGATGAGATTGTACAGCAGTTGGAAGAGCACTCCATTGCCCCGTCGAGACTGAAAGGAATCGTGTGCAGTGTTGGGGGCGGTGGTCTGTTCAGTGGAGTTGTGAAGGGTCTGGAGCGGCATAAATTGGCCGACAAGGTCCCTGTAATCGCGGTTGAAACAAATGGATGCGATGTACTCTCAAAATCTCTCGAATCCGGTAGTCCAGTTACACTCAGCCAAATCAGCAGCGTAGCTACTTCTTTGGGATCACCATTCATTGCCTCTTTCGCATTCGAAAGTGCCTTGAAGTACGATAGCAAGGCCCTTGTTTTGCAAGACAAAGAGGTGCTGGAAACGTGCCTGACATTCGCTGACGAATCCGGTATTATTATAGAGCCTGCCTGTGGTGCATCTTTGCATCTATGCTACAATCCCAAATTATTTGACATCGCACTGGGAACTCAGCATTCGCTGGCACCAACAGACGTCATCGTTGTAATCGCATGCGGAGGTTCGTGTGTGAGCTACAATGATTTATTGGAACTGTACGAGAATAAGCTCTAGTCATGAAATGCTACTTGAGCCTCTCGCCAATATTTGGCGGCCAGAAACCCAGCAATGTTCGAAAAAAAAGTGCTTTTTTCTTGTATCAATTGATAAACGCGAACGATCTGCTCACGTTATCTAAAACTTGCTTGTTAATTGGAGTGTAAAGCCTTTAAAATTGTGGTATAACTACTTCTTGCTTAAGCGATTGTAATTGAACGAAAGCATACAGTCAGTCCGTGAGTATAGATGAGAAAAAAGATGGGATGTTTTCATGTAAGCTCCGATGAAAATTCGTAATGCAATTTCGCAAATGTCGTGTCCAAGCTAGATCATTCTCTATGGCTGTACACAGAAACAGTTGATCATCGTACAAATGTTAAAATTCAGTTAACTTGAAGTATAAGAAAATTAACATATCTGCTAGCAGTGAAAAACAGTCTAATTCGAAAATAATCTCATACTGTAACTATTTAAACTTTCATTGAACATGCACTGTAATCTATGCGTGTCAGAAATGCCTTCATGATCTCGAACACCTAGTGACGGTGGGCCGGAAATTGGTCTTAATTAGACAGTCACGAAGAGTGCTGGAAACGACAGCGTATCTCTAATGACAAGGTGGTTGGCGCTGTAATTAAATTTAGAAAGCGCACTGTCGTGTTTATCACTTAAAGCACCCTTTTTACCGTGAATCTTCGGAAATCTATCAATACTTATGTAATGGGCACTCTTAAACGAGCTGACTCGACTGAGAGATCAGATGACTTATTTCAGTAAAATACAACTAAGCGAGCCCAGAAGACAGATGCCGCACCTGGCAGAAAAGTCTTGGTATATTGGATGCAAGAAGAAGCTGTAAGAAACAGCGTGATTCTTTTTAGAAATGCCATAGGAATTTAGGTCTCGTACAGCAATAAATGCCAATTACAATCACCTCTTGCGTTTTTTTCTTGGATGCTGTGATAGAAAGATGGCAACACCAACAGGAATAAGCGAGCGTTTGTTTTCAAATGGTCACCAGTAGCCGTTGTCGGGCGACTGCAATTTTCTGGAGTCCTGTCGCGCATTCAAAACCTTTTTTATATGAAAGAATTGAGCAGAGACCACTTTCTGGATAATACCAAAACATTTACTTTCGTTGGACCCTACTTGCGCATCTGACGTTATTGTCACTTGAAAGCCATTGAAAACCCCACATTACGAAGATCCTTCCGCTTACATGATCTTTTCTCAGCATTGCGAAAATTCGATGTCATCAAAAACCGATCTTCAACTTCGTGATCTGGAGAAAAATAGTGATTCTCACACCGAGCTGTCTATCGATGGTACGAATTCTGTAGTCACAAGTCCGAAGAACTCTTTTCTATCTTTCCTACATTCACTCAATGCTAAAGCTGGGACAGAGATCAAGGGCATTGAACCAGTGACAGAGGGTGAAAAAAATGATGATTCCATTTGGAATGCCGCATCTATGTGGTTTTCTGCAAACTTGGTTATTGCAGCAATGGCAGTTGGGTTGCTTGGTCCAATTGTTTTTAAGCTCAACTTTTGGGGCTGTGTTATTGCCATTTTGCTATTCAATTTCCTCGGGGTCTTGCCGGTTGCGTTCTTCTCTGTATTTGGTGCCGAATTAGGCCTTCGTCAGATGGTTCTTTCGCGCTACCTGCTAGGAAACATTACTGCACGATTCTTTGCCATTATTAACATCATTGCCTGCGTTGGTTGGTGCGCTATCAATACAATAGCATCTGCCCAGCTTCTCCATATGATAAATCCCCACGGTGCTCGTTGTCCGCCATGGGCAGGATGTCTGATCATCGCTTGCTCGACAATAATTGTCTCTTTTTTCGGCTACCGCGTCATTCATATGTACGAGAAATGGGCTTGGGTACCAAATTCTGTCGTGTTCCTAATTGTCATTGCACGCATTCACCTAAGTGGCTCTTTTGAGGTCGGGCATTGGAAACAAAGTCCGGACACGGCAGCAGGTATTCTTGGCTTAGGTGGTGTTATATTCGGCTTTGCTGCTGGGTGGACGACTTATGCTGCTGATTATACTGTCTACATGCCGCGCACTGTCAACAAACTCAAAGTTTTTCTATTCGTGGCAGCTGGCCTAATGATTCCACTTTCCTTCACTATGCTTCTAGGTTCTGCAGCGGCTTGTGCTGCACTCAACAACCCGCTTTACATGGAGTATTATAAAAAGGAGAGCGCTGGGGGGCTGCTTTACGCTATTTTAGTTCCTGAATCACTGCATGGTTTTGGTCAATTCTTATGTGTTGTTTTAGCGATTTCAACAGTGGCCAATTGCATTCCTAACATGTACTCTATTGCCTTAGGAACTCAATCTTTGTGGAAACCGCTTGCCAAGGTCCCTAGAGCTTTTTGGACCGTTGCTGGTAGCCTTGTGACCCTGGCCATTGCCATCGCAGCTTACTATAAGTTTGCTGCCTTCATGACCAATTTTATGGATGCGATCGCCTACTACATTTCAATTTACCTTGGAGTTGCATTGAGTGAGCATTTCATTTTCAGAAAAGGGAAATTTCAAAACTACAACGTAGGACACTGGAGTAGTTGGAGTGAGTTACCAGTTGGTTATGCCGGCTGTATAGCCCTTTTTGTAGGAGCTGTTGGTGTGGCGCTAGGTATGCAGCAAACCTATTGGACTGGTCAAATTGGAAGATTGATTGGCAGCAGGGGCGGGGATATTGGTCTTGAACTTGGGTTTGCGTTTTCCTTGATCGCTTATAATACAATGAGACCACTCGAAATTAAGTACTTTAAGCGTTGATATTTAAGTCGCCCGAATCTTAGCGCAGTGCAAAACTACGACGTAAGGGAAGCTCCGATTTATTTTCACTTACGCATTACAATCTCCGTGAGAAATTCTGCACCAAAATAGAATGCGCTCATAAGTATCTTTAATTGGATTCCTCTGCACAGGAAAGATGAAACTTAGCCAAAGAGCTCGCTTTTGTTTTCTTCAAGACGATGGGTTGGCGAATGATAAATAGCCAGGAAAGGCTTTGGAAAGTATACTGCCTAAAGTCAACGAAAATCTTAAGGACAGCTTTCGCCTTACTGCTGAGAAAATGCGCTACCAGCCAAAATGCTCTCTATTCCACGTCTTTGATGTGGTCATCTCGCTTTAGACTCATTTTTTGAGCGCTTGAGCTTCTTTTATCATCCATGACATTCCGAACTTTTTTCGGACTGGTAGCGTCAAAGTGAATTTTTGTGCTACTCAAACTCTTGGGCGTGAGCAAGAAGTTTGATGGACTCAAATCATTTTGATGAAACATGCTAAAAGATTACTCCTCAAATTCCAGAAGAGCAAGTTTTTTTTGACCACTTTGATGAAGTTCAAAGGAAGTAAGCAAGTACTGAAAGATCGGAACTCATACCCCCCTTGATGTAAAAAAAATAGCTCCAAGCTGACTTTCAAGGCTTTAGATACTTGGGATATGGGAATTAGTGGCATTTTATAAAACATGGCAATCAACACTGAGAAAATTTGGCGGAATGAATTTGCGGAAAGAGAAATCAAAACAAAATTACCACTTTAAGATTTTCTCTGGCTGCAACGCAACAGTTCGTCTGTAAATACCACAGAGAAGTGCATGTATAATAACAATGCATCATCTTGGAGGTTCGAGTGATCAAATTAATGATTTCGACATATTATGTGTCTTTCCGTACTTTGAAGTCAAGAAGCTCATCAATAATGACTGCGGAATGGTGAATCAGAGTACAGATTGAAAGCATGAGTAGCTGTCGCGTTCCATCTTCACAGTGCGCATGCCTTTTCTACAAAAAAAAGTCTGCCTTCTCCAAATGGTACTCTCCGATGACGTACAGCTTATTTCGGAACATCCAATAGACATTATAGACTATGGAAGAATTTGGTGACACCCGTGGTCTTCTAATCTCAAAACTGAAAGTGACCATATAGTTTTGATCGCTTTGACACCTCATTGCGATTACAATTTTTAGCTTAAGCAAAGGCCACACAAATTTGCGAATGCATTCACGAGTTTTGACGCCCATTGCATGTACTGCTTTCAATTCGATACCAATGATTTACTTTTCGAGGTAATTAATCAAGGTGCTAATTGAGAAAGCTGGTCTCGATCAAATAAAATACCGAGGCGTTCATGTACTGGCAGCAGCCACGCATTTTCCAGAAAGCTTCTCATCTTACTTGTATTTTGGTGATGAAGATGCGCCCCTACGTTTAACAAGTATTTCACAATTTGTGATTTCTCGGCCGACGTTACTGAAAAGCAGCCTGTGATCACAAGAGACCATAATAATATTCCCCAAGTTTTACTTTCCAGAGGAATCGAAGAGTATGCCTCAAATAGTTCAGAGCGAACTTTTAGGACCGATTGTCGCCAGATATCGAAATCATTATACCTCAAAATTTTAGAGACCAGTAAGTAGCTTGACTTTGCAACAATGTTGCCGACCTTTGAGCTTACTTTAGCATTTTCGTAAACGAATAGGTCTTGAGATCTCAGCGTGGGAGAAAGTACAGGTGCAGTATAATAAAAAGCCATTGAATGTAGTTGGCGAGCTCGTCGAACCCAATCAGACGACCTTGACAGAGGCATCGGAAGCCTTGCAATATATGACACCTTAGCCAAAATCTCAAACGCATCCAGAGCGGGACCTAGAACAGGATTGTTCATCCATTCAAAGTAGCAGTAATAGATAGGCCTTTTTAAGACATCACCAAGTTCTTTGAAGATTGAGAATGGGCTAGGTAAGGTCACTATGTCAGTGGCAAAGAGGATCGCCACTGAATAGTTATATATGAAACTTTCAATGTACATTCTCTCGAAGGGCTGTAGCACGAGGCCAGCTTTCGATGATTCTTCCCCTGCGTTAGCCATAAACTTATTTTCAATCTCATAGGCTAGATTCTGAAGACCCGTAGCCATTCTTTTTTGCTCTCTGTATCTGCTACTGATTGTATTCTTTATAACCAAGTATGCTTCAGAAAGACATTTGACACACTCATCCACCGTACCTGAGGAGGCCATTTTGCAGCGTAAACAGAGTAATAAGAAAGAAGCCAGCATCCAAGACTCCGAGTACCCTTGAGTTGTGCTTTTTAATTCTTTCTCGATAAGCATTCTTGAGCTTTCATAAAGTTCGTCAGATAAAGTTGAAAACTTGGTCTCGTCGTACCATGCAAGGTACGTAGCTCCGCAGCATAAGAAGATCTCTTTAAGTGCCGTATTATTTTCAACCTGGGGAACAAACGTGGCACAGGTTGTCAAAAGAGGGTGGGTATATTGAGTTCCAAGATTCGGAATGAATTTGTTGATGCAGGTGTAAAATAACAGTTCCTCATCATCCTCAGGGTCCGTAGCTAAAAGCGATTTTCCTTTATCGTACGCGTCAAGCAGCTCCCGGTATTTTTCTGTCACAAGTTCAGGACTGGGGCTCTGTTTTTGTACAGAAAGCTGAATACCCCCAAAATCATATTTTGGAGATTGTAATCGAAACTGCGTGTTTGCACTGGTAATGGTTCCGTCGGACCGTTTTTGATTATGAGGAGCAATTGCGGGAAAATTGGAGCAGCTTTTTTCTAGTATGAGGTACGAGTCTAGCTGCAAATCGAAGAAACTAGAGGTATGGTGCTTAGTTCCTGCGTTTGCTGATGTTGGTGCCGTCTTTATGGTAGATTCGATTCCAGTTGCGCACATACGGTTCACACGGCATTCTGATGACTCATACACTTGCAGACCAGCCTCCAAACATGGGCACTGTTTAGATTTCTTGTATGAGTTTTCGTTGTTCATTTTTCGCAAAGCTGGAGGCTGTTCATTCTCTGCGAGAGATTCCGTTGCCTCTGAGCCTCGCTTACTTGAAGTGACCTGTAAATGGTCCTTAGAGGTCTCGGAAATAGCTTTTTTTGGTCGTCTCTTGGAGAGAGTGGTCGATAGGTCGTCCGGTGATAAGTGAACAAAGGAGTACCTGTTCCTCCGATCGGCTCCAAGATCCACAAATGAAGAAGGCCATTCACAATTCAAATTATTCTTTACACACCCCCCACAATTAGGAAACACCTCATCGCATTTTTTCCTTCTTTGACGGCACGTAAGACATCCGTTCTTGGATCTTTTCTCGATGCGTCTGACAATATCTTCACCATTCGAGCTTCTGGTACCAGACCTATATCTGATGGCAGCCATCACAGATAGAGAGTGAATGTTAAGCCAAGTTCATTCAAAATATCCGTCCCCTAAGCTCATTATTTCTCGAGGAATCTTAAAAAGTAGTTGACTACTGCCGCTAAAAGTGACAACGGAAATAATTACTCTTTCTTGTGTGGTAAGCTACGTGACTTTCCAACTTTTAGCGCACCAATCGTGTATATGAAGAGATAAAACCTTTTGACATGTATCATTCACAAGGGTGCCAATTCTGCGGGTAAGATACCGAAACAATTGACATAGCGTTATGACCTGTCTTTTCAACAAAAAATGGCCATTCAAATGGATTATCTGCCTTGATTTTTTCGCATGCCTTGTGCTTAGCCCGCTTTTCTAAGATCCCAAAGAGTGCACCTCAATTTAAACCACCATGTGTGATTGACTGGATGCTAAGAAGTATATCCGAACATCGCGATGAGGGAGAGAAGCCGCCATGTTGCCATCCTTCCCTAAAGCGCGTTTGACGATCCTATTTAGGTTTAAGGGACTGATATGTGACGCTTATCAATTTCATTTCAGCGCGTTTAATATTTCATATCGGGATTTCCATTATATATAATATGATTTGATTGTTGTCGTCGCGTCGCTACAGTCAACAATAACTGGTCTTGGCATTGTGGGAGGCAGGAGGAAGACCTAGATATTCGCTGAAGGTTTGTCCTGGAGGAATGTTCAGACTAATTGAATAGAATGTTAAAGATAGGTTATCAAAGAGTTTATCCGGCCAGACAATCGCATTTGCTGTAGTACTTGAAAAGCTCTCTTGAGTTGATCAAGATTTGACGTATAAGAGCAGCTCTGAAGTCATCAGGAATGGGGCTATATGTCTTTGCTATGATCTATGTGGCAAACTTTAAAAGCCTAAGGAAATGCCAGCAACATCAATCGACTATGAAGCAATCCCCGGCGATTCACATCTCGTCAATTTTGGCGAGAAGAATGGCGAACAAGGAAAAGTTGTGCTAAACCCAACACCTTCAGATGATCCAGACGACCCGCTTAATTGGTCGCCACGCCGCAAATGGACTGCAGTGGCCTGTGTATTAGTATACACCCTTTGCGCCTGCATTCCCACGGCGGCCATTTACTCCGTGCTTCCCAACATCGAAGAAAAGACTAATATCACACTTAGTGACTTGAACAGTGGCACTGGCTATATGTTCTTATTTCTAGGTATAGGTTGTCTATTCTTCCAGCCAATGGCGCTGCAATTCGGGAAGAGACCAGTCTACCTTTTTTCCATGCTTGCGACGGCCATGATCTGTGTTTGGCCCCCTTACACCAAGTCTAATGGTGAATGGATTGCGTCAAAGATTTTGCAGGGCTTTGTCGGATCCTCTATGGAATCGCTGCCTGAAATCTCGATGAGCGATCTTTTTTTCGAGCATGAGAGGTCATTTGCTTTGTCTCTATATGGATTGACGCTGTTAGGCGCTTCTTTCCTTGCTCCTTTCGTTGCTGGCTTTATTTCTGAGGGCCAAGGTTGGGAGTGGGTTATGTGGTGGTGTGCTATTCTTGGCGCTGTTGCATTCGTATTCCTGTTCTTCTTCATGGAAGAAACCAATTACAACCGTAAACTGAGGGTCGATGAGGCCACTGGAAAACTTCTCTCCTTGCACTCTAGAAAACAGCAATTGAGAAGCGTTGTTAGCAACATTGACGAGATTATAGGGCGTCCCGCTACATCAAAAGAGAATCATGAGAAAGACCAAGCCAAAATTAATGACCTGGAAGAATCGTCCAAGAATGACGAGTACGCTGAAAATATTTACATCGCTAACCAGGTTAGCAATGTGGAAGTGGTAAATACCAGCGCTTACATCAACGCACATTACACGAAGAAAACATATTGGCAGAAGCTTTCCTTGCTCGGTGGGAGACGCAAAAAGTTCCTTCTGCAGCATTACGCTCTTGCACCATTCTTGATGGCCCGTTTTCCTGTGGTTCTGTGGGCCGGGTTTCTCTACGGCAGCTCTCTTGTGTGGTTTAATGTTTTGAATGGCACAGCTGCATTGATTTTGAGCGGCAAGCCTTACAATTTTCCCTCTCGATCAATAGGTACCGCGTATCTCTCGCCTACAGTATTCAGCTTCATTCTCTTTTTTCTTTCGGGACTTTCTTCAGACTGGCTGAAGGTCCGTGTTGCGCGTTGGAGAGGTACGGGTTTGAGTAAACCCGAAGACAGATTATGGATGCTATTGATCTACTGTGTTTTGGGCTGTTTTGCCTCAATTTTGTGGGGTGTTGGCGCGTATTATGAAATACATTGGTTCGGCCTCGTTTTTGGAATGGGTCTTCTAGGAGGCTGCGGGATCTTTGCCATAGCTGCTTCAGCGACATATGTGGTAGACACATACAAAGAGCTCGATACAGAAGCCATGGTGGTTGTCATTCTAATACGTAATTGCATGTCTTTTGGTGTGAGCTATGGAATAACAGACTGGGTCACAAACCTAGGGTACAAAGACTGCTTCATCAGTGTTGCATTTTTGTGCTTCGCAGCAAACCTCACATTTCTCGTAATGATCTGGGCTGGGCCACGGTTGCGGGATAATCAAAAGCACATGTATTGGTCCATGGTGGACAGGTACCGGAAGCTGGGAATGCATTAAGTCGACCGCAGGTCGCCGCTTATCAGGTAGCTGTTGTTACTTGAAGTTTCTAATGCTCCCCTTTGAGCTTTGGTTTTACTGCTATTGATTCTTTGGCCTCAACTACAAAGTTGCCGGCTGGTATTCGTAGTCAAACAAGGCTAGAAATCGCGTCACTAGTCTAGCTGATATGTTAAAGTAATAAACTTTCGGAAAGTACTATGCTTTTTGCTAAGCGGCTCACTCAAGAGGTATGATCGGCCGATAGGCCAAGGCACTCGATGTCTGATTGCAAGCTGGTTCGAAACAATAGGTATGTTCTATGCACTATACGCCAACCCTGGTTAGGAGATGTGATATTCCGCTCCCTTTTTCACTGGGTTTTATTTAAATCTTTGGGAGTTTGAAGTTATTGATCTAGGACAGCCCTCTGAGCAACGTGAACCATGAATACAACTTAGAATCCAATATTTTATTTGAAGATCCAAGGGCGGAACTTTAATTTACTTCCGAGATTTAAAATCGCAGCCCCGAAAACAGTAAGCCAAAACTTTCCATTGCATAGATAATACATGTGTTTCAGGGCCTTAGAGAGCTTAAAGACGCTCTGAGTGCGCGGAGCACGACAGTTGAACAGAATGTCTCTTGTGCGCCACATGCTCGAGCCGGCCATTAGCTCAATTTCTTATAAATGTAAGCTATCTATCGTCAACGTCAACGGAGTTGCCATCATCGCCTTTCCACCCGTTTCGAACATTTAAAGCGGTAAATTTCCAAGCTTCGTACTAAAAACAAAGTTGTGTCCTCTAACTCAATTTTTCTTTTGGGCAGTGAGATATCATAGCAACCTTCTGAACCAAATTAATCTTTTGAAGTTTGAGATTTACTTATACAGCCTCTAAAAAGGGAGATTTAGGAGTGTATACTAAATATTTTATTTGGAAGATGAGTGATGAAGAATTTTAGGACCTCTTGCATTCATGCCGATGACCCATTGAACAGGGTACCCGATGTTGTCTCACCAATCAATGTCAGTACTACGTTTCGTTACGATAACGAAAGTTTGAGAGGAGGTGCACCAGAGGCCAATGAAGCGCACGTATACTCAGAGAAAGTCACCCAAATGCTGATCGTCTGGAGGCAGTTTTAGCTGCTGTCTTAGGAGGTCCGTCTGTAGCTTATGCGTCGGGTCTTTCAGCTTATTATGCGATTTTGACGAATGTAAGTCCGACGAGACTGTTTCTCACCGACTGTTACAAAGGCTGTCATCTAGCTGCTAAGCTTTTCTCGAAAGTGAGTGGTATGCAAATTTGTGACTTTGCTCAAATCGAAGAGAGCTGTCGCGCCGGTGATCTGGTTCATATCGAGGATCCTAGCAACCCATATGGAGAGAGCTCAAATGTCGCGGAGTTGGTAAAAGCAGTACACCAAAAAGGCGGTCTTGTTTTAATCGACTCCACACTAGCCCCTCCTCCTTTACGGGATCCTTGGAGTTTGGGTGTAGATATTGTTATGCATTCAGGGACCAAATACCTGGGAGGTCATTCGGATCTGCTAAGTGGAGTTATCTGCACTAAGGATCATGTTCGCGCTGCAGAATTGAGAGCCGAACGTGTCATATTGGGGACTATACCTTCAAGTGTTGAAAGCTTTCTGCTATTGAGGTCTTTGCGAACCCTGGAGGTAAGAGTTAAACAGCAATCCGAAAACTGTGTCAAACTGGTCAAATACCTGAAAGAACACTCGGAGAAAGCAGCTGATGTATTGTCCAGCGTCCGCCATGCAACTTTACAGCCAGAGGAGCACGTAAGAGTGCAAAACAGTGGCGGTTACAGTCCTGTCTTTTCCATTACTTTGAAAAGCCCTGATCAGTGTGTCGAGCTCCTGAAGAGACTCAAGGTGTTCCAACATGCTACATCGATGGGTGGTGTAGAGTCCTTAATCGAGTGGAGGTGTCTGAGTGACCCAGCCATTGATAATACACTGCTGAGAATATCCGTGGGTATAGAAAACGTTGAGGATCTGATCGCTGATCTACAGGGGGCTTTGACCTACTTGCAAGATAATCCTTTGAAAAACGGCGAGACTCGAAGGTGAGAGATAAGTGTAGTGTTTTGCCACAAAGTGGCGACGACCTTTTAGTATGCCTAATTCTGTCGCCAAAAGCTGAAAATTGAAGACGTTCTACCCTTTGTAGGTTCATACACCTAGACTTAGCCCTTATCTGAGGAATGTGCATCTAAAAGTCGGGGCAAATATTCTACCCGCTTGATCTAATACCGCTTCTTGAAGTATTGCTGTGGTGGTGATACGAGTCTCTTGATGTCTAAATATGAAATTTGGCGTCACTCCGAAAGGAGAGTCAAGTGCGCTTGGATCTCAATAATTTTTTGGAATGTACACTACCTAACTTGCGTTGTGTCAAATGTCACCATTCCATAGAGAAATATAGTATTTGCTCGCTAAAGTGTAATATTCTTAGTACACTAATAGACTTTCAGATTGCCTTTGGAGTTTCTGACGCTGCGTTGTTTGTGCTTCAGTATCCTCGGCTGTTGGCTAATTTAGCCACTTAGCATCCATTACACAACGCCACATTTCTAAGCAATCTTAATTAGGCGCCAATTATCCTCTGTAAAAGCATCCTCGATTTGTTTGGGCTGGTCCGTTCAATTGAACTGTCGGCGGTAACATCAACATGAGGTAACGAAATTCAAACCGAAAAATTAGTTTCATTGCAACTTAATAACAGCGAACAAGAATGTCTCTTGCAGTTGAAGCGGTTTTTGAATCATACGGCTTCTACCTTGAGAATCCCGCCTCAGACCTACCGTCCTAGTCAAAAAGCATCCAACAAACTTATATGCTCCACTTCCCACCCCGACGTCTGCTACTCCATTTGCGTCTCGCCCTGCCAGTCGGTCTTCCAGTTGCACGACTAGAAGATTCCACCCGAATCACCCCGCGGAAGCTGAACTCACTGTCCTGCCGCGTTTGCTCCGCGGATTTCTTTTCGGCTGCCGCCATTGTGCACCCGCTCCGGGAACTTTTTTTCTGAAACAAAATTTCGTTTCGCCCTCGTTATTTCCGCGCCCGCCCTGATATGCGGTTTGACGCGGGAGCAATTCGTTCCACAGCGACAACAGGCAACGCCAAGCTTCACTTGCAGACCCCAGTTCAATAGTGAGTTTGTACATCCACCCGTCTTCGGCCGTCCAAATGACCGCTTCAATTGTGAACAAGTACACGCAAAACTGACAAAACACACCTTTCAGCCCGTGTGTATGGGCGCGGTAGCTGTTATGGTTAGTCACCAAACAAACCCTATTGCTTACGTCCCGTGTGTATTGTTGTGTGCTTACAAGTATTTCTCGTACATCACTTTGTACTACACTGTAGTACTGCGCTTCGGCCGTAAACGGACCAAATTTATTTGTCATGGGCGAGCTTCGGGACCGGAGAACATGAAAAATTATATCCGTTTTGCGAGCTTCGGAAGCACAGCGGAACTTCGACGATGAGCAAGAATTACAAAACGCCTGTGTAGTAATGACAAATGGGTATGTATTTTACATTTGTAACGCAAAGGAATATAAGTTTGGATAGGAATTCGCTGTTGAGGACATTGTTGATGTGCGATATCTCAACGCTCCTACTTTTGCTGAAATACAAGTAACAATGCTCGGTTTTACACAATGTACAAACACCACCGAACGATATGCGCTGGCCAGTAAAGCACGTTCTAAACTGCTCAGCTGCGCTGCGCAATCCAAGAAAAAAGAATTGAACTTGAGAGTTCTTGTTGGCCATGCTAACCTGCTGGACAGAGTCATGGAGACAATTCACAACAGTGAGGATAATAGCGGCGACGAAGAAGAAGAAGAAGAAGGTTTACACGAGGAAGCGGAAGAAGGTGAACTCGACTATGATCAAATGGACGAACCTGTCGTTCTTGTTGGTGGCAGGAGCGAAGAGTCGTCACCCAATTACATAACCGGGCCTCCTCACGTGACTTTCACGCTGCCGGCAGCTCCACAACACACCATCTACGAGTACAACAGCGACAGCGACAGCGAAACCGAAAGTGAGAGTGACAGCGAAATCGAGAACGAGAATTTCAGCGACGACAGCAGTGATTACGATGACTACGGTATTTACAATGACAGCGAGACGGAGCTAAAGCGTTTGCGTGCGAAAAACAGCGATTATCTGCGCAGACCAGCCACTTACACTCTAGCTCACGACGAAAATATGACGAAACCATCAAGTGGAGATTTGCTGCTGGTGTCAATACCAGAGGAGAACGAAGAAGGCGAGGAAATGAACGAATCTGCTCCGCGCCAATTGGCCGTGGTATGACGAAAAATTGCACGCTTAACGATTTGATGACTCAGGTATATATAATACGCTTTAATAATAGATAGAAATGATTTTTGGGAAACGGCAAGTGCGGTAGAGGTATGTTGATTAGAGATGACGCATTCGGAAAGATTGGTCGAGCCGAATTTGTGAAAAACAGGTGAATGTGCTTGATGGTTCGCTTTGTTCGTGTTTGAATGGTACTCTTTTTTTATATACTCTGGCTCCTTTCATAGGGAATTTATGATAAAGATTACGGCCATGAGAGAAATATAGCTTTTTCGGAGTTGAGCTGTGTTATGATCGCAATTCTTTGGACGTGATCGCAGTTCCTTGGACGTCCTTTCCGAAAAACACAATTGGGGCTAGCTTAGGACAGCGAAGATCTTCCACTCTGGTGTTCCGGTATTATTCTCGAGCCTCAGCTTCACCATTACCGAACCTATGATCCCTTGAAAAGAGTTACCGAAACTACATCAATTTTAATACCGCTGTCACTCAGTTGTGTAGCACTCTACTCCTGACATGGTAGGCCATATTTGATTGCCAAAATGCATAAGCCCAGTAGTGTAAGCCACGGCTAAAACGCATGAACCACGCGTGCAAATGGGTAAAGCTTCACCACCTTCTACAACTAGCAAGTCCGTTACGTTGAGGCGAGATCGGACCAAGACCTCTTTACCCACCCACATCTCTATCACTTGTTACTTATTTGTCATTACAATGTCACATTCGTACAAAGAGACAAAGTAACTATTTCAGCCAACGCAATTGGTTGCGTCAGCGAGTGAATTTTACGCTTAGCTTCTCAATACAACTCGAATCCCCTCTAATCAGCTTAAGAGTGCTCAATGATGGGTAGGAGAACCGGAAACAAATTTGTTTTCTTCTTCCAACTGTATCTTCATCCAGCACGGCGCTCAGAACTCATTACATACTTGTAAAACTCCAACAAAAGAGCCACGACAAACTGATATACCAGTATTGAATACAACTTTTCCTCTACCCACATCTCAGCTCAAGTGCTGCCGCCGTTTTGCCGAACCGAAGATGCCCGCGTCAGCGCTTTCCACTCACGTCCAGAGTGACTTGATCCGAAGACATCTACGGTTCTTCTGCCAACCACCCCGCAGCACAACTCTCCGGCAAGGTCAAAATATGCCTGAGCGCTCTTAAAATCGACGTGGTCTTCGTAAGATTTTAATGATGTAGTTCCCCTCTTTTAGTCGCTTAGCCCGCAATCTGCAGAGGGATACTGCAGATAGGCGGGTTCCCACAATGTCATTACCTTTCGACAGGCCTTTGACCAATCTAACTAATCACACCGCTCCATCCACGTCTGTAGCGTCCCATGCAGTGGCCTACAAAATTCTCACCTATCCATCTCTTTTGGCACCGCTTTTGGATAGACATCGACACCCAGGCCGGTACCGGCCTAATTTTTTTTTCGCTTCTCAGAGCCTCATTGGCTATAGATTGAGATAAAGCCTTGATCGGCTGAATCCGAGTACTTTTCTCGATTCCATTCATGTGCTACTGCTTATCAAGGTGCATTAGACCATTTGATTGGCTGCCAAAGATTCATGAGCAAAAGTTGCGTAGTTTAACGCGATCATGGGCGTTCAGGTTTTCCTATCTTTCTTTAAATTTGAGCCTCGAGAGGGCACGTGATACCCAGTCAGTACGCTAAAAACGTATGTAGAGAATTGACTCGACCAATAGCCCAAGTAAAAGGAATCGAATGGCGAAAAACTAGTCGTTAGGGTACTAGATTCAACCTGAGAGTAGGTGAGAAGTCAACAGCAGTACCGGAAAAATTTTCTGTTCTGAAATCGATGCCGAACAAACTAGCTCTTTACCTTTTGTAGGCGTTGTAATGTTATAAAAGCAGAGTATCCTGGACGTCAAAGTAGTTGTGAAAATCAGTTTGTAATATTTGTTTTCTAGCCCCCATAGGTGCATTATCCCAGTAGCTATTCATCACACAATAATGTCTTTCCCACAAGAACCAGAATTCCAACAAGCTTACGACGAGGTTGTGTCTTCGTTGCAGGACTCGACTTTGTTCGAAAAGCAGCCTAAGTACCAGAAGGTGTTGCCAGTTGTGTCCGTGCCAGAAAGAATCATCCAGTTTAGAGTTGCATGGGAAAATGACAGCGGCGAACAAGAAGTGGCCACCGGTTACAGAGTGCAGTACAACTCTGCCAAGGGCCCATACAAGGGAGGTTTGCGTTTCCACCCAAGTGTCAATTTGTCGATCCTAAAATTCTTGGGTTTTGAGCAGATCTTCAAGAACGCTTTGACCGGCCAGGCCCTAGGTGGTGGTAAGGGTGGTCTCTGTGTGGACTTGAAGGGCAGATCCAACAACGAAATTAGAAGAATCTGCTACTCTTTCATGAGAGAACTCAGCAGACACATCGGCCAGGACACCGACGTTCCAGCCGGTGACATCGGTGTCGGTGGCCGTGAGGTCGGCTACTTGTTTGGTGCTTACAAGTCCTACAAGAACTCCTGGGAAGGTGTGTTGACCGGTAAGGGTTTGAACTGGGGCGGATCTTTGATTAGACCCGAAGCCACCGGTTACGGTTTGGTCTACTACACCCAAGCCATGATCGACTTTGCCAGCAAGGGCAAGGAATCCTTCGCTGGCAAGCGTGTTGCCATTTCTGGTTCCGGTAACGTTGCGCAGTACGCTGCTTTGAAGGTCATCGAACTAGGCGGTACTGTCGTGTCTCTCTCGGACTCCAAGGGCTGCATTGTCACCGAGTCCGGCATCACTGCCGAGCAAATCGACGCCATCATCGGTGCCAAGGTCCAGTTCAAGACTTTGGAGCAGATCATTGGTGAATACTCTGCCTTCTCTTCCACCCCAGTGAAGTACATCGCTGGCGCCCGTCCATGGACCCACGTTGGCCAAGTCGACGTTGCTCTACCATGTGCCACTCAAAACGAAGTTTCCGGTGACGAGGCCAAGGCCCTGGTTGCCGCTGGTGTCAAGTTCGTCGCTGAAGGGTCCAACATGGGTTGCACTGCCGAAGCCGCTCACATTTTCGAAGGCGAACGTTCTGCTTCCAGCTCTAGTGCATCCGCCCCTGCCGTCTGGTACGCTCCTGGTAAGGCCTCCAACATGGGTGGTGTTGCGGTTTCCGGTCTAGAAATGGCCCAAAACTCTCAGAGAATGTCCTGGACCAGAGAGCAGGTCGACCAGGAACTCAAGAAGATCATGGTCAACTGTTTCAACGACTGTTTGGAGACTGCCCGCGAATACTCTAACGAGAGCAACGCTGACGCTTTGCCATCTTTGATCAAGGGTGCCAACTTGGTTGGTTTCATCAGAGTTGCCGACGCTATGTTTGACCAAGGTGACGTTTTCTAATTGCACTACGCAGTGATATAACAGGTTATATAATGAGATAAAGAAGTTTGACGGTCATTTTGTTTTATGAACTGTGACAGTTCCAGAGCCCGAAATCAAGGCCCTTGAAGAGATTTAATAGAGGCAAAACATCGGAAACTTAGTCACTGTTTGTTGAACTAGAGTTCACCAGAGTTTAAATTGGTTTAAATTCCATTGTTATGATGATTCTTGACAGTTTTCAAGAAAAACATAAAATGAGTGCAAATCTCCAGAACTGAAACTACGCAAAAGGTTCTTATTGATGCCGTTTGTCATTTAATTAGCTCGTAAACTTGTAGTGAAGTATGGTTTTGCCGATTTTAAGTTCAATGGCGTGTTTTCAAAGCCTTCGCGGGCTTTCTACGAAATCATATGCGTAATGGCACTGTAACTAGTAATCGTTAAATCAAATCCCATAAATAGTGTAGTGAAGCTTCCTCAACGTAGGAGAGGCTTGAGTTCTGCTCATCTCGCGTCACAAAATTTCCAGTAAAGTTGAATCAAATTGTGTCTTTCTACAATTCCTCGGGAACTTTTTCCCTTTTTAGTACTTACCGTTACTCATACAAACTTGACCAGCTCATCGCTCAAAGCCTCTGAGTGAGTCAATAGACAGTACCTGGTCGGCGGTTCTGGCGATATAGATACGTAAGCTGAATCGTCCTGCTTGCTCGGCTAGAGAGGTTTTCTGACAGTTGGCAGCTTCAAATTCGAATTAACATTGTAATTAATAAACTATACTCAGGGTTCAGCAAAGACAAACTTACTACTCTTTTGCCTCGAACTACGTTGAGTAGACATAAATGCATGAATTCAACACGTTCCACAAGGAAGAGATCCACCACTGGATGTTTGACCTGTCGGCGTCGCAGGAAGAAGTGCGATGAACGGAAACCTGTCTGTGGAGGGTGTGAACGGAACTTCTTGCCCTGTGTGTGGCCTGAGAACAACGAGAAAAGAAGACGCAGCAGAAAGACAGAGGCCGGGCCAGAGGTTTCGCAGGAACCACTTGATGTTTTGGGCTCACAAGTTAGAGATAGATCGCCTCCTATAGCAACTGCGCCGCAGGAAATTCAGTTCCATATTGTCGAGGCTCCTCGAGTCCCAACCGCACATTCATGCCCGGGAAAAGGCCCTTGGCGGTTTGAAAACTATTCCAAAAACAAGCAGAATGCACTCACCAAATTTGACTCCCGCATATCCCAGTTTGTAGAGATTCATGAAAACGGAGAAGATCAAGTGTCCGAAATTCCATGTACGCAAGAGACTTCTGACACCACGCAAAATGACCATGACGATCCACTCGAACTCGAGCAAATCCTGAATTTCGAGGTTCTCGATCCACTACAATATATCAATAACAAATTTTGGAATAGTCTTCGTGTAGAGGAGGAGTTAGACATGCGCATGGGAGAGACCGTAGCCCCCATGATAGACGTTCCGATAGATGCCATAGTGATACATCCCGATATTATTGAGGCCCAAGATCCCCTCAACCACCAGAATTACGGTCTTTTTGCTTCACTTTTGCGGCGGTACAAAGCTCAAGAAATTGTAACAGACGAAGACCTTGACAGTGTAAATTTAGAGGAGTTTTTGTTCTTCGCGTGTGCAAAAGGATTCATTCCGAAGCTCGACACTCAATACACACATCCTAGTCTAACAACCTACGCAACATTCCTTCCCCAGGCGAAAAAAAATATGCTAATTCGAAGTGTCTCCATATGTTGCGGGGCAACATATCTAGCTTGGTGCGACCTTCATCGCTATCAACAGTTGAGCGATGAACTCTACATCGACTGTAAGGCTCAAATTGCAGCGCATCTCGACAGAGCCGATAATGTCGCAGACGAGGACTGGCTTCTAGCTGCTTTACAAATGATGAGTATCAGAGACAAAAACGCGTTTACTGGGACTGTGGATGGATCCGCGTGGCACCTTTCGAAAGCTTTTTTGATCATTCGAGAAAAGTATTACGACATAAATTCGGCACTCGCGCCAGGCACCATCTCACCTAAGCTTCGAGACAGCATTGTGCTCCAGCCCCACGAAAGAATGTTTATCGAGAGTTTTGTTTATCAATATTCGATATCGATTCTGTTCGTGAATGACATGTCGTGCCTTCCAGATCCTTACGCGGTGTTTAAGGCACTAAGTCTCGTACTGAAATGTCCCGTGTACAACCTAGAGGGTTGCGACCAGTGGATGGGAAGCCCGTTGCTGGGACTGTCTTTGGATGCTTTCGAGATATTGGCGAAGATGTCATACGTGGCTCGGGCGCCAATGCCCCTGCCACCGGGTTCCAAGTGGATGAAACAAATGATAAAGCTCCAAAACATGTGCACATACTACCAGCCACCCAGCCCCACTAGTTCGATGGACGAGAATCAGCGGCTTAATCACAGAATTACCTCTCTGGTCGGCTTGCTTATTGTCAGGATTTGCGATGTATTTGCGTCTAAGGTCATAAGCTATGAAACGTTTGACGTCCTAGATGCGTGTGTTCAAGGACGTGTTAAAGAAATCCTGCGTCTTTTCAAAAAGCTCCCGCCAGACCATCAAATATGGGGTTTACTGCCGTGGATGGTCTTGATAGCAGGAGCTTTCTCTCACGACATTGACGATCGGCAATTTATTATAGAAAGAACTCAACATATCGCTAAACGTGCACACAGCTATTGCGGATTGAAGATGACGTCTTTTCTGCATTCCGTATGGAGTACTCCAGATGGGCTGAAGCTGCTCTTTGATCGAGACAAACTGGCACAAGTTGATTTGTAGAACAGAGATTGTAAATAGATAGATTTCGCCGAACCATGAACCACTAATGATAGTAATAAATTTCATTGCTGAGTACTGCACTATATCAAGAACTTAGCACCAATATTGAAGAAACACCAACAACAATTCCAACTGACAGCTGCATTGGCGCTTCCCCAGCTCAAAATCACAGCAAATTTATTAACTGAAGGGGTGCCAATATTTACAAATTTGAAGCACAATGGGCCAGTATTTTCCGAGATGGATTTCTACTGACTATTTAAGATGAATATCCACAAGTGAATCTGGAGACTTGAAAGAGAGCTAAGCACTTCGCTGTAGAGATACCCGCTTAAGATCTCAAATCATCAAGTCACATGATGACATTTATCGACGATATCTTACGTAACATACAGGATCTATAAAATTCATCGGCGATGAGCATCGAAGTACATCAAGCTAGTTCAAGAGAGCCACGCCGCGAGCCATGGGAAAGAAGGTTTCTAAGAATTCAAGAGCATCGCGCCGCTTTGAGGCGCTTGACACCGAAGCACAGACTTTAGCCCAGCTTCCTCGCGCCCAAGATTTGGATGTCACTAATAAGCTCATAAGAACAGCGTCCAAGAACGAGCAGCTGTTGGAAGCTAAAATGAGGAAGAAAGACAAGACTAGCAACAAGGTCGGGAAGAAAACCATCAAAAAAAGCGCTTTGGAGAATCTGGATAGTGAAAGAGTAGCGAGAGCGCTCAACATCTCGAGTAGACTAGACGGAAAGGTGGAAAAGGCGAAAACCAGGGCCAAGTACGTCCAGAGTGCTCGCAAAGCTGGATGGGAGAGCACTAACGAAAGCATAAGAAGAGACCTTGCGAAACTTACGGAACGGGAGGGCTCAGTGCCCGAAGCTGCCACCCAATCTGGCTCTTCTGGAGACCAGGAAGTGGACTCTATGGTGGAGGACGATCCTGCAGAGGAAATCGAGCAAAACCCCCAGGAAGCGCCTTCCGCGGCCGAAAATATGTTTGGTCTCCTGGCTGACGACGTGGAGGCCTAAACGCGAGCTTCTACTACTTGCCGTAACTTAGAATCAATACTGATAAGCCGAGGCTTACATCTCGAGGCTTCCAATTTCGAAGAAGAGAGGAGGGCTGCAGAATCACAGTGCTCCGTTTTCCGTTACACACTACATTTTAATAGCCCATTTTCCTCATTTGCTCGTTTACATACGTACCTTCAGTACGAGCGCAGCGATTAGTTTACATCTTTCACGTTTGGTGCCAGACTCGGAGTTCCCACCAGTAAAAATTCCAGCTCAAGATTTCATAAAAACTCAATCACGATATATTCTACCTAGTGCTGATGCCTGGTAACACAATTTACGTAGCGGCAACTCTCTGAATTTCAATTTCAAGCGAGTCCTAGCTTGGAAGTCAAGATGGCTGAGCAGTTTTTCGGTAACTCGTATTTCGACGTGTTTTTTGTCATATTGCGATAAAGTTCGGTATACAGGGTTGAATATTGACAATTCCCTCCTCGTAAGGGGATATAAAAGTGAAAAAGGTGAAGAGAATGAGTGTAGAAAACAGTCCTGAGATGTCCCTAACGTTCACACAGAGTTTGGTAGCTAAATTCATGCTGCTCGACGATTTATTAAAGGGCCTAATCTTTGGTGTAGGTGCCGTCATTGTGGTGATACTAACTGCCATCTTTCTCATTAAGATTATGCTTATGAGCCAAGAGGGTCGCGAGCCGGAAGTTGAAGCGTCGCATATTGATGGCAAGAAGGAACTACGGTCAAGTGCAAAGTCCACCTCGATTGCCAGCCCAGCAGAAGAAGAAAACCCACACGCCCATTTATTGTCGAGGAAAGTGATTCCACTGAGGTCTACCACGGACTACGAAGAGGAAATTGAGATCTCTGTTGTGGAAGAAGATTAGAAGGCTTATATTCTGCAGTGAAACATAGTCCAGTGTCGATAAAAAAAGCGCACCTCGCAACATTCTATTTTAATTTGCCGTGTCGTTCTTTCTCAACGCGATCCAGAGAACTTAACGCAAGAAGAAGTCATCTTACCAAGAAAAACAGGCAGTGTATTTTTACAGCAGACATTGTGTAGTCAATTGCAGAGAGTTTCGGAGCTTCCCCGCTTTCTATGCTTTAATTCGTACTCAAGCGTATTTTCAGATGGGTGAGCGCCCAGCCCAGTCTCGTGAAAAGGAGGAAAACCAACGCAACCAACACCTTTCTCAGTCATAACGAGAACTCGGTGCAAAAGGCATACTCTAGAGATAAAAATAAAGCCATTGTATATTTATAGAAAGAACCTCCTGAAAGCATTTGAATATTTAAAAATGTTATGGTCGTTACATACACATAACGCAGGGTCGGTATTCGTCGTATCAATGAGGAAGCATAACATCATTTCTTCCCCTCCCCCGCACTATGTTTGTCTTTAGTGTTCTCTTTTGTAGGCTTAAGGCTTGGCCTCGGATGTGAGCTTCACACGCACAGCCTTGGTTTGGGTGTAGTTATCCAAAGCCTCGCTGCCCATCTCTCTACCAATACCAGAAGCGTTGAACCCGCCAAATGGCACACTGTGGTGGAAATCGTTAAAGGTGTTGACCCACACAGTACCCGCGTTGACTTTGTTGGCAACTTCAAGTGCTTTGTTGATGTTGGTGGTGTGGACGCCTGCGGCCAAACCATACTCAGAGTCGTTTGCCATGTCGATCAATTCATCCATAGTCTTGAACTTACTGATCGTGACAACTGGGCCAAAGATTTCTTCCTTCACAATACGCATGTCCTCGGTGACGTCGCCGAAAACAGTGGGCTTGACGAAGTAGCCCTTGTTGCCAATTCTTTCACCACCAGTAATCAATCTGGCACCTTCGTCTCTACCAATTTCAACATACTTCAAAATCTTGTTGAGTTGCATCTGAGAGGTTTGAGATCCTTGGAAAGTGGACTCATCGAAAGGGTCTCCGACTTTAACACCTTCAGCAGCAGCTTTCATTTCATCCAAGAATTGCTCGTAAGCAGATTCCTCCACGTAAACTCTAGATCCAGCACAGCATACTTCACCACTGTTGTAGTAAATACCCAGGATGACGTTTTGAACGGCTTGCTTGATGTCAGCGTCAGAGAAAACAACGTTAGGAGACTTACCGCCCAGTTCCAAGGTGACCTTCTTCAAGTTTTGACCAGCATTTTGATAAATATGACGACCGGTAGCGGTGGATCCCGTAAACGCAATCTTCTTGATCTTGGGATGTGTAGTTAAAGCCTCACCGACGATCTTACCAAAGCCGGAGACGATGTTCACAACACCCGGTGGGATTCCAGACTTGGGCACAAATTGCGAAACGTACAGAGCAGAGAGTGGAGTGGATTCCGCAGTCTTGAGAACCACGGTGTTACCGGTTGCCAAAGCAGGACCAACTTTCCAAGCCCACATCAAAAGTGGGAAGTTCCAGGGGATAATTTGACCGCAAACACCCAATGGCTGCTTGACGGTGTAGGAAAAATGGGTATTTCCAGTGTTGATGAGCCGGCCGTCCACTTTGTCACACCAGCCAGCGCACGACCGCAGGTAGTTGATGACTAGCTGCACGTCGCCCCGTGCGCTGTTGATCGCTTTGCCGTTGTCGAGGGTCTCGATAGACGCCACGATGTCCTGATGCTCTTCGATGTAGCCTGCAAGCTTGTGGAGGGCGTTGGCCCGCACCAACGGATCTGCCTGCGACCATACTCCGCTTTTGAACGCCGCGTCCGCTGCAGCGATCGCCTCTTCCACGTCGTCCTCACGTGCCTCGTACACGTGAGTGATGGTCTCCTCAGTTGCGGGGCTGATCACTTCGAACGTCTTGCCTTGCTTGGCCCGCACAAATTTGTTATTGATGAACAGCCCTGTGGGCTGTTCGTACTCGACACCGTTTGGAATCTTGATGGGTACACGGAGCGGTAGCTGAGCATAGCACCGCAAGCCGATCCCACCTTTGGTGACCGGCATAGCCGTTTTTAACAGCGATTTCGCGAACATATTCAGTGAGGATGATGGTAACAATGGTATGTGTCGCGGTAGCCTATATATTAGTTTTCTTTTGAATATGGGGGCAGTGAGTGTGTTTCGCACCTTATTTCCAGAGTCTAGCTTCTGTGAAGTTGTTAGTAAGATCTCAGAAAGATCGCCGCATCCCGTTGCCCTTTTATAGTTCAATTTAAGCTCTCGATGACACAAAACCATAAAAACAGGGGTGGTCACTATTGACCCCGTCGTCAACAGTGACGCCATCTCATCCCCTTTTCTTTTCTTTTCTCCTGTATTACATTCATTCTAATCGATAAACTGACTGGCACAGTGCGAAATTAGTCAAAAATATTCATCCAAAAAAGACATACTTTGCAGTTTGTTTCCCGACTCTGTAAGGTATTGTTCTTGGGAGCTGTACATCGACCATTGAAGCCGAAACAATGGCCACCTCTTGCTGTCTTTTATATAGTTTCTTGGTCTCCCAACACCAGTTTTTCTGCTTGTTCGGTTGGCTGGCATATTATTCAACAATACAAGACAAAGAGAAGCGGAGATCGACTTGACCACGCTTGTTGAAAAAGCGGGAGTTTGAGACCATTGTAATTTCTAATATTTGGTCAGCCCGACGTGACCTCGCGGCCGCTTGTAGTTATGGTCATTCCCTTTCTTGTAAGGTCGTCGGAATGAATATACGTAAAATCACACTATTAGCTGTACAGAAAGTATACGAGTTTGCACATTGGTCCGCGGGGCTGCTCCGGTAGGATGAGTGCCGTGTTTAGACTTGGAACATGGTTGGGTTGGCTGTGCCGCAGCTTGTCCAAAAGAATGCGTGTGGTGTATGCATACAGGGGTTTTGTCGTGGTGAAAAAATGTTCGAATCGCATGTCAGCAGCCGCAATACGGAAGAAAGAGGCATTTGGATTGGATGAAAGTAGACGAGACAGACATATTTGGGCCGCTTCTGAGCGGGGAACGATATTGAATATGCTAATGGGATTACTAAGTTGGTACGGGGACGGTGACGGGCAACGCACTACGGCTTTTAAAAATTGTAGGTTTTATCAAGCATTTTTGTTGCGATCCGGATTGGTCGCCGGAAAGAGGTTCTCGAGACCATGGGGAAAACTCACATCTTGATGTAGAATTATTGGTGCTGAGTTGGGAAACCAATTAGTAAATAGTGTGGGGGTGTGAAGCGAGCATGGATGTGGCAGAAAATGGAAGGGTTGTAGCTACCCGAATTTTTGAAAGAAAATGGACGGTGTGTAGCTGTAGAAGAGAAAAACGAACGGTGCGGAGCAGCAGCCATGTAGAGCTGTTCTTGGCTCGGACCTGGGCTAGTTTTGGGTGAATAAATAGTTGTATACTGCACATTTTTGGTCACGTGAACGTCATCGACATCTATAGTGCATATATTCTCGCTGAGAGGAAGTGGTCCACGTCCGGGTCGGTAACGCCAAGTTCGAGTGCAGTATCTTGTAGTATTCGCTTGAGACTGTCTCACAGACTGCTGTGTGTAAAGAATCTTGTTTCGATATGTACTGCTAACCTTCGGAGACTGCTCCTACAGATATACTTTTTTCAGCACGGGCAAGGCCAATGCCATGGCCTCCATCATGGTTTTGCGATCTGTATCGCTCTGGAAATGCGTCAACGGGTTTTTGCGAACGTCCAGCACCTGCAGGTTCCCCGGTAGCCTTTCCACCAAGCGTGTTAGACTCTTTAGCTCATTTCCCGCCAGCACCAAAGTGTGAAGGCCTGTGCAGCGGGTAGCTAATTGCGTAGGAAGCTCCTCTATGCACAGGCGTGTCAATTGAAGCCTACGAAGCATGAGCGGTAGATTGTCCCACAAAAGCATACCTGAGGAAGGGCCCACCAGTTCAAAATGTTCCAGTGTCTCGGGCAAATGTTGTGCCTGAAGGCTTTCGCCACTAACTCTCAATACTCTAAGGTGTGGGAAACTCCCCAGCGTTCGCAGAGCCGTGCATCCCGATAAGCTTAGCACCCTCAAACTGCAACCGGTATTGCCCTCGAGCGACTCCAAAGGGTTTCCATCGAGTTTCAGTACTTTCAGATTTTTTAGAAGGTCCAGATTTCTCACTGTCGTTATTTTATTGCCGCTGAGATCGAGTTCGCGTACGTGCGATAAAAAATTCGGTTTGTGAGGCTCCAATGATACCAGCTCTGCAAAGTCAAGTGGACCTATCAGTCTATTCCGAGATACGTTAAGCGTCTCAATTCTTGCCCGTGTTTCAGCAAGACCGTGCAGTGAGGAAATACTGTTCTTGGAAAGGTTCACATTGCGCAAATGCAGACAGCCTGCTAGAAGGGATAGATCAGTGGATAATAGGTTATGTGACATATCCAAATCTTCAAGGTGTGTCAAGTTGTCCAGTTGACAATATGAGCCTATGCGGTTGAAAGCGCAGCACAGTGTGATGAGGTTACTCGGAGCTCCTTGTAAAGAATTCATTTTGTTGTGGGAAACATCGAGGTCCACTAGCCGAGGTGTCATATCTGCAAGGCCCACCAGAGTCTCGAGCTGTTTCTGTTTCAATGATAATTCCGATATATGCTCCCAGATTTCCTTGCGCGGTATAGTATCGACCAGAGCAGACACCACAGCGCTCTTGGATATGCGGAACGACGTGTCCAGCTCAGATACGCTAGTGACATTGTCTACTAGATTACGGGTTGTGTCTGCAGGCGTTAAAAATGTATTTCGAAGGGTTGCTGCGCTTTTGCTCGACGTGGATCGGCTTTGTGGTTCTTCCAAGACGAAGTCCTGGATCCTAAATTTTTGATCAACTTTGGGCGTTGATAATGGAGTGTCGTCCATCATGGACTGCTCGGGTCTTGTGCGTGGCAGTTTGAACGATACAATCTTATCCTGGGTGGAATCATCGTGAGCACCGCTTGTAGAAGCATCGCCAGTTGCTGATGGTTGATCCCACACTCCCTCTTTGTAGTTGAAAACCATTCCTGCATCTTCGGGTGTGATCAATTTTAGTGGTCTGCGTGGAGAAACCTGTTGCTGCTTCGGCAGAGCGTTGGACCTCGAGTCCGGAGGTTCTGAACCTCTCTGGCGTGTACTAGGCGACAATGACGGATTAAAAGACTCGTAAGAAGAGCTTGACCCGGTTGATCCTGTGGAATCGTATTCTTGTGAGACTGACCTCTCGGGCTGGACTACTTGTTCCTCTGTGAAAAAATTGGATCTCTGATGGCGCAAAACGTTGTTGAAGACCCCCAATGCCTCTCTGGCTGGATCTATATCGGTTTCGAGTGCCGAGTCCCGTTCCTGGGCCACGCTGCCTTCCGAGTCCACGTTTTGCACTCTTGTCGCGCGGTTTTTGAAGGTATTGGTGGGAATAAGCGAGATATCGCTCAGAGAAGATGTGACCACCAAATTATCTCTGGGATCGAACCCTTTGCCGGCTTTTTTCCGTGGTTCTTCAAGTCTTGCCTGTCCCTGCATGTATTGTTTCCATTGTGGAGGTTCTTCGTTTTCGCTGTTGTGTCCGTGTTGCTGAACGGATCCGTAGTTCACCGACCAGTTTCCCAGCTTTCCCACATAGCTTTTCCCACTGGCAATGCCCTGCACATGCGAATTGAACTGTGAGTCTCTGAAATCGTCGTTTTCCACATATGGTTTGAACTTTGGCGACGATATATGGAATTTGCCCAAACTTTCGCTGAGCTGCCGCGAAGGTGACGATTCGGCAGACATGTAGATCTCACACCTCTTCTTGAGTGAATAATGTCGTGGCTACAGAAGTGAACTATGGTGTGGAGTGAATCCAGTTTCCGATGCATGCACGAGAAAACATATGTGTATGTGTGTGTGTGTGTGTTTAAGTTACCAGTGTTTAGTTTTCTCGAATCACGTACTACGCATTTTGTACCGTCGGTGATTTTTGACATCGCGTAATTGAAGTCACGTGAAAGATATACTTGACTAGACGAGTGGGTAGAGAGGTGGGTAGATAAATGAGTAGGTGTTTTAGATCGCTGTATACGGAGAAGGGTTGCTTTGACTCGAAGAACGAGTACAGGAGCTAGTCGAGAAGTGAGTGTAGGAATGGGTAGAAGACATTTGGGCCGCACAATGTCAAGCCTTGTTTTTCCACATAACGACTATAAGTCAAAACTACGAGAGAGGGCGAGAGTGGGTGACATTAAGACAGTTACGAAAGGAAGGGAATGGAGGGTCTTCTCTTCAAATTGAAACTCACACGACGATGTAGCGGTGTGGTGTGTTGATTCTGTGACGGTTTTCTCGTCGTTGTAGACCTCAGCGACGTATATTCTCAATGGGGTCAGGGTTGAGGTGTAATTTTTGTGAATGCTAGTGTAATTGGGTGTAATATGGAAAATTCTGGTGTAATTTTGCGTAGCCTATGTGATGAATTTTAATCCAGTAAGTTTGAAGTTCTCTATTCCAACGTGTAGTCTAGTGTAATCTCGTGTAATCTCGTGTAATCTAGTGTAATCTAGTGTAATCTAGTGTAATCTATTGTAATCTAGATGTAATACACTGAATTATAGTATAATGCAGGTAGCTCTAGTGTAATCCAATGTACCCCGGTGTGACCTGGTGTTGTCTAGTGAATTCTAAAGTATTCTAGTGTTATGTAGTGAGCTCTAGTGCAATGTGTAATCAAACGACCTAGTAATCAAGTATAATCTATTTACTGTCGTTTGATTTGCAATTCCAAATTCTAAAACAAACACACTAGTAAGCTAAATGGGCCCCTTATTCGCGACAGCCGTAAGCACGTAATCTGGGGCCCCCAACACACCCCACAGACCCAAAATTCAGATAACTTTCCTTACAAAATATCTTCACAATATGTCAGTATTATTTGACCAAAAAAAAAGCGTGGAAGCAATAATTTTAATATTCGCACCATACTAGACATTCAGTCCACATTACAACTACCGCCACCTCACTCCGATCCCCCCCCCCACGCCAGCGTCCGTAGCATCGTGTCTTTCTCAAATCTCAGGCTTATGGCAAATTTCGTTCCTTCCGGGTAATGTCAAGGAGCGAAATTGAGACGAAATTCGTAAACACAAGAAACATTAAACATAAATGATGGCTAAACAAGTTCCTGAAATCCACGTAAGTTACTGACATTTGACACCACTGGACTAACTGGAACTTCTCAAATTAACTCTGCCAGAAACTTTGAAACGATTTTGTGGCAGCTATGGAGTCCAACATCGAGGAAGAAGCTTTTTTTAGAGTGATCTCCGAGAACATGAAGTTTGCATTCACGAGCCCAGTACCAACTACCATGCAGTTCCCAACACCATATTCGCAGCAACAACAGCAGCAGCAGCTATTGCAAGGCCACCAGCAACACGGAGATCATCAACAACCGTCGTCGCAGCTACTTTTTGGCACTGGTCGTGGCTCAACTGCAACGGACGGTCAAAAACATGCCGAACAAGCTCAGGTTGAAAATCAGTCCATGGTCGAAAATAGCATGTTGGCTGAGGGTCCAGGAGCTGCCAAGCTCAGCGACGTCAACATGCAGCCATCTTCGGTGTTACAACTGAGCAACGAGTTCATGCTCACATCGCCAGAGCAATTCAAAGACTTTTTGTTCGAATCTCCAGCAGGATTCAACCTATGGCATCGCACACCAGCCAAGACGCCTCTTAGATTTTTCAATGGCTCTGCTGCTGGTACAACGAGCTCTTCAGCAGACCAGCAAGGGCAACTCGGCAATGCTCAACCTGCGCCAAGCGCCGCAACTCCGTTGCGAAGTATTGACGTGAACCTCATGTTCAACTCCAGAGACAAAACAGCGCCAGCTTCGTCGTCATCTCCCTCCAAGAGATACCTATCGCTCACGCCCTATGGGAAACGTATTCTTTCGGATATCGGCACGCCTTATGCCAAGCTCTTGGCATCTTCCAATAGTGCTCTCGTAGATTTTCAAAAGGCACGCAAGGACGTTTCACGCGCATCTCCAAACCTCCGTAATGTCAACCTACCAAATCTAACCAAGATAACTCCCAACAAGAGCATTTATCAGTCAATATCGCCAAATCGAGGTCGAAGGGATGATACCGCGCATCGACGGGGCCGGCACACGCGGGCCGCTGAGAAACCTCAGCGAGAGCCTACCGCGCAGGAGAATCGCGATGATCAAGACGAGTCTGATGCGGAAGACTGTGGCTCTTCGCCCACGACGATACAGCTCAATTCTTCAGTGACCAAGCCAACGCGCAATAAACTTGGGTTTATTGGTGCTCCGCCGCCAATGCCTTTCCAAGAAGACGGATCAAGCGAAGAGGAATCTAATAACATTGACAGCAGACTCTTCGAGATGGCCAAGCTGCCGCTGTCGCCGACTCCGAAACCCGCAAGCTGCAACAACATGGACGTTACACAGATAAATATCCCAGAGCTGCCGAAAATGGGGTCTTTCAAAAGTGAGACTAGTGCAAGCTCGCTGCCAAGCACAGCCAAAAAGGTCACACGTAAGCAACCCAAATTTCAGATAATTGTCACGAATGCCAATTCTTTCAACTCAACTCGGGGAACTGTCATGGGCGGCGAAACAGGCTCCAAAAAGCGAAAACCGGGGCTGAAACGCTCGCAATCGGAAATTGTGTCTGACTCTGCTAACGGTCAAGGTAGCGCAAAGCGAAAGAACAAGGAGCAGCGCACGTCGCAGCTAAATCGTTTCGCGATCAAATATCAGACTGGATTTTCGAGTTCGCAGTGAGCTGGTATCGAGAATAAAACGGGAATTCGAGGATATATAGGAATAATGGGAAAGCATACGGGTAAGGCAGCTTGACAAATCAAAAGTAGAAAGCCATGATTGTAATAGAAGGTCACAAGTGCACAGAGTATCTGACGCTCGCAGGAATATGCGAAGTCAACATAAATGGGGTAAATGGGGCGGTAAACTTCACGTTTGGTTCAAGTCTAACGCCAAACGCAGCTCATCAATGAGGGTGTATTCGAAGTAAACTTCTCAGGTTTTTTGTTCTGGGCAGTGAAAATGAGAATGACTTGCTCTGTGAAACAACAGGTAACCGGACTGGTAATGAACAGAACGAAGTCTCTATGCGCCAGGAGCGCGCTCTATGAGGACTATATTCGCAGACGGGATGATGGTAAGAAGTCTTCCTGTCGTTACTCTTTTTTGTCACGTGTGTAAGTGGTGTAGTGAACATAAATTATAGGTTGATACATAAGAATCAAGCTACTTTGTGGTAATATGATTTTCTTGGACCCCCCTATCAGCAACAAGACGGAAGTGGGTCGCTAACCTGCTATTCGTTGCATTTCTGTCGTGCTTCAGCGATACTAGCTTTTTTAAATTTCCAACTTTCCGGATTCCTCGGCCAACAGCCAAATTTCGCTGTCCCAAGCCAGCGATGGGTCTGCGAATGTCGATTCAGAGAATTACGGCGGGCATCGCTTTAACAAAGTGGCATATTCTCACCATTATCGTTCAATTCCTTATCTGAACAACTATGTGTCTGGCTTGCGGAATGAGCTCATGAACATCTCAGCTGAGCGTCGCAAGGCAGACAACGAAAGAACTCTGATGACTTACTACACATCTAAACTGTACACACCGCGTAACAGCAGCGTCACCAGCGGATCTTCTGAACGCTCTTGTGCTAGCGATAACTCTAAGAAAAGCGCCCGAATCAAACATGTCATGAAGAATATGCATCGGACTCCGAGTGGGCACAAGACGCCGTTCCGGGGTACCAGCGATGAGGCTAAATTCATACCAGAGGTTTTTTCCAAGGGCTATATGAATTACTGCTCTAGGCTGCCGCTTCCTAGTTCGGAGAACACAGAACTCATCAAAAAGCAAAATATGTGGATTCCAATCATGAAGTGGGACCTAACAGACGACTCGGCGAGAAATGAGGGTCCTGTACTCTCCTCTAACTCTGGTGAAGGTTTCAACTATTTCACGACATCCCTCGAAAAAAATGCATGCATTTACCGAACTAGTAATGCCAAACTCGGAAACGTGTACGTGGGATCGCTCAATAGACCCCCACTTTTTGGTGAGATCAAACTCCCGCCTTTTACCTATCAATGCACTGTCGACCTTGGAGATAAGATTTACACTCTAGGAGGCCTCACTCCCTCATACTGCTACAGTGATGAGATGCCAGACCTAAGTTGCTACAACGTCGATGGAGTACCCAACTTGCCGCCACCTTTGTTGGATTCGATTGTGAACAATCCGAGCATGGTTAATAACCACGACCTTTACGTCATATCTTCTGCCACTTCCAGAGTAGCCAAACCTACTGTCTCGGGCCACATCCCACCTCCCTTACTTTGTATGACAGGTTCAGCTCTTACAAAGCGCCATATTTTCTTCTATGGAGGATTTGAAATAAAAACGGAAACGTTGAAAGATGAAAGCACAGGCGTGTTCTACTTAAAGAAAAGGGCAGTACTGAGCAATCGAGCATACATCTTAGATGTCGTAACATTCAAGTTCATGAAGGTCGACCTCGTTGCCCAACCCACGAAATTCAACTCCTACCCATCTATTGAGCCACGCTTTGGCCATTCTCAGCTTTCCCTAAAAATAAACACCACCGTGAAATGCGCAGCGTGTGCGACTGCGGCTGGTACAGAGAACAAGTTTGAAGAAGCGAAGCGAGATATTGATGACTCTTCACCCTCCTCATCGCAGCCTATTGAGGTGCGCTCTCAGTCTGAAAATTCTCTTTCAACTGACAGAAACACCAATAGTAAGCTATCTATCTCTACGAGCATGGGTGTGTCGACAATCTTGATCTTGGGTGGATACCGGCAGGGCGAAGATGATGACTTTGAGACGTTAAACGAACTTTGGAAAATAGAAGTAACCGTGATAGCACGAGGGAAAAAAAACTACTTCAAATTCGCCGATACAGCTCTTGCAACACCTTTTTCCAGCTTTCCTGAAGACACCGAGGGTGAAAAATGGCCTGCTCGTCGAGCCTTCCAAGCATGCGAAATATATGAAAATGGCCTGCTGAAAAAGCGATCGTCGGAAGACGAATTATTGACCAACTTGAGGAAGAACTTCACCATTGAGCCAGAACGGCTTACTCCGACAAGTCCAAACGAGAAGCCAGGTGGTTTTTTTGGTCAATACGACACACTTGAACAACAACAGCATCATCATCAGCATCATCATCACAACAATGTCATCAATGACATAGACTTACCTCTGACGTGTATTGCTCAAAGGCATGTCCAAGGACCGCAAAGCATTTCCCAAACGCTGGTAATACATGGCGGCTCCGACAAATCATTTGTATTTGGCGACTTATGGCTTTTCGACCTTGATACGGAGACATGGACGCAAGTCGCTACATACAAAGACAGTTGTGGGGACGAAGAGCACCAAACAGAAGTTGGTCTCACTTTAGTTGGACATAAACTCGTTCAGGTTTCTGCAAACGCCGTTTTAGTGGGTGGTTTTACTCAGGACGACGTAAACAAGCACTGGACCAACAAAAGCTCCTTCAATTTCAAAAGGTTCAGTGCTCCATCTTCCCCTGTGGCAAGCTTGTATCTACTCGATTTACAATCTTCAATTTTCGAGCAGTTTTGCGTCTACAACGAGCGTCGGCTCGAGTTTGACGACACAGGTACCCAATTGTGCGAGCAAATGCGGTTGATTTCCACGTCTGTGATCTACAAAAACGGATTGCTCTACCTGATAGGTGGAATTCTGTGCAATTTTCAAGATCTGAATAAAGTATACCTGCGTAGTACACTCACTACGTGCATTTTGCCCATCATAGCCACGCCTCAGACCGTCGCCATATGACACTGGTAGTGCTGAAAATAATGACTTTGCCAGCAGCACACATGACAGAGTTACAAAGATAACACTGCCAGAGTTAAATTCAGATCGTGGCGTCGGCAACTTGTTTGTCAAACATTGCATTATATCATTTATTCGGCCTTCTTCGTGAGACGGATGAACCCTACTAAATTCTATTTTTCCAGACACCCGAAAATAGTCAGAAACGTGCAGTTCGACACATAACTCGCAATCAACAGATAGCTATTTAAATGCGTCTGAACTGACCAAGGCTTCCATCAAGTATATCAGTCAAATAATGGTGTCAGTGTCGTGGTCCACCTATATCGTGTACTCATAGATAATGTCATCGAAGTACTCATGATTGCCGAGGAAAAAAAATTGAAATACAGCGCAGTCAACAATCGAAAATTTTTAGGTAGTAAAGGTCCTATCCTGTTCAAACAAGCTTCCAGGTCTGAAATTGACTTGCTCGCTACTTTTGACAGGTGTAATTTGCTTGTTTCGATTGCGTGATTAGTGCTATTAATTTTGTTTCAGTGAGGAGATACGTTCCTGGGCTTTACGTTACTCTGAAGACCACTTAAAGCGCCTTTAAATTTGCGGTTTTAGGAAGCATTTAAAGAACTTGCCAGTCATGATACATGCCGAAAGGCGGAAATCGATGGCTGAACGCCGTCCTTCGACGTTAAATCGGTCGTCGTCCAGTGCGGAACGTATGGGCACCGTGGTGCCACATTTGGCTGGGATTGAAGATCCATTGCCTGACAGCACACCGGAGAAAGTTGACGTGGTTTTGGTAGGCACAGGTCTTGTGGAGAGTATTTTGGCAGCGGCACTTTCGTGGCAAGGATCCAGTGTGTTGCAAATCGACTCGAATTCGTACTACGGCGACTCGTCTGCCACACTGACGATTGACCAGCTGAAACAGTGGGTCGAGGATATTAATAAGAATGATTCAAAGTGCTACGAAAACGCCAAGCTACACATATCGGGTCTCATCGGAAGAGGCTCATACAAGTCGCGGGACTTTGGTATCGATTTGTCGCCCAAAATTCTGTTTGCCAAGTCCGACCTGTTGTCGATTTTGCTCAAATCTCGTGTGCACCAGTATCTCGAGTTCCAGTCCCTGTCAAGCTTCCATACCTATGAAAATGACTCCTTTGAAAGACTCACAAACACGAAACAAGAAATCTTCACAAATCCATCGCTTCCTCTCATGACGAAGAGGAACCTTATGAAATTCATAAAATTCGTCCTGGACTGGAGCAATCAGCCTGAGGTATGGGAAGCGTATAAGGACAAGCCCGTGGCTTCATTTCTAGTGGAAAAGTTCAAATTAGAGCGTGCTCAGGTTTATGAATTGATTTTTTCGATAGGACTGTGCTACAATATTGACATCAAAACTCCCGAGGCTTTACAAAGAATAAGAAGATACCTTACTAGTTTCGACGTCTACGGCCCGTTCCCAGTTCTGTATTCCAAATATGGGGGTCCGGGTGAACTTTCTCAAGGATTCTGCCGCTCGGCCGCTGTCGCCGGAGCCACGTACAAGTTGAACGAAACTATGGTGTCTTATAACCCAGACTCCAGAATTGCTGTTTTCGGTGACGCCTCGAAAGTGAGCGTAACGGAGAAGGTTGTTATAGCCCCAACCCAAAGTCCAGAAAACAGTAAAAATGTGCCTGAGCAAAAGTATGAAGTTCAGAGACTGACTTGTGTTGTGGACAAAGCATGCATCGAATGGTTTGGAGAAGGCGAACATGCTGCTGTGGTAGTCTTTCCTCCCAACTCACTGAAATCAGGCAACCGCCAGGCAGTGCAAGCGCTGATTATGGGTGCGGGAAGTGATGTTTGTCCCACAGGCACATCGGTATGGTATTTGAGCTCAACGGAGACCGGTATTAGAGGCGAAATGGATCTTGATGCGGCACTGGGTGCCTTGGAAGAAAGTATTTTGCGCGAATCCTCAGCAGATCTTGAAAACGACGATGGTATATTGGAGGTTGACAACAGCGGACATATGACATTGAACTCAGTCAAATTGGGGCAGTCTTTCCAGGAAAATGCTCAGAGAGAGAAGTTGCAGGTCCTTGTGAAACTGTACTTCAAACAGTTTACCTCAACGCCGCCGTTTGAAGTTGTAAACCCATCAATATTTGATGTCAGCGCTATGACAAACGGGAAGCTGGTTCCGGGAGCCAGCGATAATGGCGTCCTATACACGCCACTTCCCTCGGCAGAAATTTCTTACGATGAAGCCATCACAGCGGCACGCATGTTGTTTCAGAAGATTGTTGGTAGCGATGACGACTTTTTCGACTTGGATTTTGAAGATGACGAAGAGAATGAGCAGATTAATGAATCTGCGGTCATAGACGATGACGACGCTGAAAAGATGAACATGACTCTCGATGCAGAGATGAGTGTGGAACCGGTAGAATTCGCAGGCGAAATGGAAATATGACAAGAATTGAGCGAGTTTTAAACAACGAACGAATTGTAATTTAGTTAGTCTTATACTAAAAAGCTTAGTATATCCACTTCAGGGAGAGAGAAGAAGCATGAACGTCGCGGCGCAGTCGACAAGGCATATAATTAGTAGTGAAGTGTGGCAGATCTTTTCAAGTTCACTTCTAAAATTGAACTGCCACTAATGATAGCGGGATCAAGCTTCGAAATTTGTTTTTAGTAGTGTTTTCGACCGGACTCTCGACCTCTTGAGCGGATCACTTGATAAGCTGTAAATGGAATTCATTTGCGGTCACATTACGAATAAATCCCAAATACCGAATGATTCATGGACTGTACTACACTATACTATACTTTACTGAAAATTTAGTATTGAGGAAGTTTTATTGACGACCCTGACGTGACGGTTCTGTACAATACGAAGACTCCTCAAACAAAGGCAATTTTGCTTCGGTTTGTGTAATTCGAAAATGGGCTAATTCCAATAAATTGGCTTTGGAGTATCACCTTCAGTTCAAATGCATTGAGATGCGTGAGCGGTATACAATGGAGTGTATTTTCGAAGCAGCTTTTGGCGAAAAAAAAATCACATTTGGCACATTATAATTTATTAATCGCGAGCTCCTTAGTTCTCTGGTGGCAACATATAGGCTAGCTGGGGACCAGAATGCCTATTGGACACGACTTGATCAAAAGCCACTGCAATCGAACACGACGCCATTATGGTACAGAGTGATATAGTTAGTCTGCATGCTACTAGGTGAGCTGAAGTCCTCTGATGGCGCACGCCTAAGGAAATTACAATTGCTAGTAATATTTTGAACTTAGAGAATATGAGGCCATTTCATATTTGGGAAACACTTCGAGGGCCAGATGGAGAAAACAGCACGATGTTTTCTGACACTTAGTTCCAAAGTATATACTAAACCTCCTTATTCCATTCTCAGATCGTATAGTCATCACGCTAGAATCACAAAGATCGGCTTGCAATGTTGAGTTTTAATTGAGGTCGCTGGTTTTTCTATTTACTGACAAGTATACCATCAACGTTTTAAGTAGCTACTTCTTCTCTTTTATGTCACTGACAGGATCCTTCATAATACTGCGTGTTATCCTGATTTCGTGCTCCTCCAAATGGTACTTACCACAACCTATCATCAGTCATAGCCATTCATGCCATTTCTTCACTTTTTGGACTTCCTTTAAATATCTAGTTCGGTTACGTACGTAGTAGGAAGGAACACAGCGAGCGCAGCAGCTAGTTTATTTGTCTGTCCATAAATTTTTTTTTACTCGATTCTGGAAACATGACAGACTGGAAACAAATTGGAAACAAATGGGAAACAAGATGAATTAAATACGCAAAAAAACACAAATCACACCTGTTTGCCGCGTAAATGAAACAAATACCCTACTCGATTGCCTAAATTTGTTGCGATGCGAATGAGGGCCCGTCAAGTTCCTCTTTTATTGCCATTTTCTGGCATGGTACACACGGCTTGTATACCACCACGTACTAGATGATACTTTACATGTGACCGAAAGAAAGGATGAATAATATTACGTAATTCACACTGCATATATCTCTGTACGAATATTTTTGACCCAAGCTTTTTTTTTCACTGAAAAATTATCATAAAACTCGAAAGCTCATCGCTCAACTCTTTCACTTCACTTTCACTCTTCTTTTACCTCTTTTTCCTTCTCCACTGAGCAGTTTCCCTGTCGAAGAAGTCATACTAGCACTTTTCACTCCAAACTCCTCTAATTCAACAGCAATGTCTGACGTCGAAGAAGTTCAAGAAGTCCCAGAAGTCCCAGTTGCCGAACAACCAGCTGAGTCCATCACCATCGAAGATGCCTTGAAGGTTGTTTTGAGAACTGCCTTGATCCACGATGGTTTGGCCAGAGGTCTAAGAGAGTCCGCCAAGGCTCTAACCAGAGGTGAGGCCCAATTGGCCGTCTTGGTCGACTCTGTCACCGAAGACAACATCATCAAGCTCGTTGAAGGTCTAGCCAACGACCCAGAGAACAAGGTTCCTTTGATCAAGGTTGCTGACGCCAAGCAGCTAGGTGAATGGGCCGGTTTGGGTAAGATCGACCGTGAGGGTAACGCCAGAAAGGTTGTTGGTGCCTCCGTCGTTGTTGTCAAGAACTGGGGTGCTGACACCGAAGAGCGTCAAATGATCTTGGAGCACTTCTCTCAGTAAGCGCATACACCCCCGTGTGTATGAAGATTTGCTTTACCTGAAAGTCGTGGTTGGAAAGTGTACTATTTAGCTATTTAAATGCAAATTTGTAGTCAAATATAAGCTTTTCTCATTATCGTTCAGCCTGTGTGTGTGTGTGTGTGGTAGTCACAATGCAATATAATCCACTTGCATGCATGTGTGTGGATGTGTTTAGAAGAAAAGCGGGATATCGTTGGTCGCTGGAACATACTCTCCTGCTGCAGTATCGGTGATGTCTGCAGACATGTTCCTTACGCCAAATAGAAGACAGTTGTCCCTTTCTGGGGTAGCGGCCCCATTTCCTTCAAAGCTCTTTGCAGGCACACCTGTGGGATCGTAGATAGGTCTCGGTATCTGTTCACTGCTTTCCATTAACAGACGCATCTCAGACACGTCGGCCTCATCCAAACGTGCTTTTTCTAAGATGGCTACATCGATCACAATTCCTGGGTAATCTCTTGAAAGTGGCATCGTACCAACTTTTGGTGCCGTTCGCGATCTCTTTACCTCGCCCAGAATGAGATCGTCGGTTTGACTTAGTATATTGACGTTCATTAGTCCATGCACGTCTTTTCGTAGCAAAACCTTGCTAGCGATGCGAGCGCTGGATCTGATCTTGTCAAAAGATGTGAAGTCAAACACGCCAATGACTGGGAGGTCAAACGTCTTTTCGAAGGACACCGGGTCGAATATCTCGAGCTTTTTCAAAATCGACTTTTCGCTCGGCAGAAGAATTTTGGACAGCCCTAGCTGGCCCCGGGACACTAGCGCAAACGTGTTCTTCCCACCCGTTTTGGCGATGGCGTACAGATAGCATTCTTTGCACCCTATTTCTTTCATGTCCTGGAGAGCGTTATAGAGCACATCGCCACGCATAATACACTCCAATGTAATCGCATCCGGTTGTAGCTCGAGTCCCACTGAGTCCCATTCCTTGACCAAATACGTAGAGTATTCCACTTTCTCAGTTATCACTGAGTCTTCAAAAATGAGCACGAAAGGCGACCCTTCGCCATTGTACGATAGAGTGCATTCAACAACGTCATCCTTGTCACGACTCGCTACGCTTATGCTGTCAAGAATATGATGGATTTTGACACATACCTTGTGGTGGGCGTCAGGATCATTATTTGGTGGATTGTAGTTGTATGAGATGAAAAGTTCGGCAGACAAGTAGAGCTGGATACTGATAACCTTATTGTTCTGTCGGGCAAATGACAACCCGTCTTTGTCGATTATTATAAGCACATCATCTTTGATTCCAAAAGGAGTTAAACAGCTCAGCGCAGTTGTTATATGCTCTAAATGTACCGTAGAAGCCGAAAACAATGTTGTTTGATCTAGCATCGGGCTTTTGACAGATCTGGTGGGCGATCTTTGTTCGCTGTTTCGCCAGCTTAACTCGATACGATGAGCACACGTAATTTATTATATTTCGTGAAAACCAAGCAAATGGTAAATACCGGCAGAGGCAAGTACTATAGGCGCCAGAACGTTGGCCACCCAGCATTACCAGCTAAATCTCATGAGAGTAGCAATGGCTGGTGGATTTTAAAGAAGACTAGGTTATTCCTTGATTTGCAAAAATGTCAAACGGTTTAGAAGAGGTACCAGAATAATACCTAACAATTCGTGGAAATAAGATGTTGGGAGACCGTGAGGTTTATAGGAATTCACTCGGCACACAGCATTGAAACATGCAGCTCCTTCGATTTAAGACGCTTGCTACGCCGCTGAAATTGTCAATTGAAGATCGGCAGCTTCAAATAGTGTATTAACCAAAAGAATGGATTTCAGTTGTTTTGATTAATTCTGACTCAAAAGTCAGTTGAAGATAATAAAATTGTTTAGCATATTGCGCTATCAGTGCGCTTTCTAATGCTAGGAGCCCAGTTTCTGTATAGCATGTTCAGATCGCGACTTACAGAAGTGCGATGACGGATAGGTATGAAATGATCTGCCATTTAACATTGTTGCCTATCGTATTTATCTTAGCCAGGGCCTTAGGAGAATATCCCACCGAGTCCAACAGCCTCAGATAACAAGCGAATTGATCAATTCTATGAGCAGCAGAAGGTCGAGAAATAGATTATCAGGGCTATTAGCTGCTGGGGCATTAATGGCACTAGTAATTGGCGTATCTTATGCTTGGAAGAAAAGTAGAGACTCGCTACCATCATCTAGAGGCGAAAAGAGCGAAAGATGCAGCTCAGTTTGTATAGTGTTGACAAAAGATATATACGAAAGCGGTGTGGATTGGGATCGGCTGCTGAACTTAAGTGCGGTGGTCATTGTCCCGCCGGGGTCTACAGCGGAATCCGGCTCTGCAAACTTTCCAGGACATCAAATCATCAAATGCAGTACAGAGGAAGGCGTTTGGTCAGTCGTGAGGCATTTGCGTAAGGATATAGTGGTGGTAAGCCCAGGACAGCTCGAGTCACTTCCTGAAGACATACACCGGTTCTCGAAGCCGCTCACGAAAGTTCCCTAAAAAAGCAGAATTATTGCATCACCGCGTAATGTCTCTTCTTTGGCCAAAAACCACACCCTCGGTGGACTGCGATGCACCCTTCAAAGAGCCGTACTCCATGGAGCTCCAGCCGATCCCTTGGAGGCTTTTGGGCTTTGGAGCTTTCGGAGGCTGCGGTTTCTTGGTCGCAAGCTGGGGTCCCAAGACCGGAAACTCGTGCGAGTGCTTTTTGTTGGCGTAGCGCGACAAAGACTTGAGTGTTTGGAAAACAGATGCTGGGTCTTTCTCTTCAAAGAGATCGACAGTTTGGAAAAGCTCGTCTTCGGGAACGCCATATTCTCGTGCAAAGGACAGAAATTGCGAGATCTGCTCCATCTGCACAAAGGGCATTTTGGAGGCTTTGAATTTTATTGGCACATAATTGCCAGCATCATCAGCACTGCTGATCTTATTGGCTAAACGGCACAGGACTGTTCCATCCTTAAGGCTGCTCAGTAATTGTGCTGCATTTGGAGGCTCGGAAGATTCCCCTAACACTGTGCGGAAGATCCAATTGCTGATTTCTTCGATTGCGTTCGGTGAGAACTTGTTGCGTCTTAATTCCTGTAGATCTTGATCGAGCGATGTGACGTCAGCGACACCACTAGTTCCAGACGTACTCATGTTGTGGGGTGAAGTCACTGTTGCGTTACTGGAGTAGATGAGCATTGGATGCTGTGTAGAATTCACCATTTAGCTTAAAATGATTATTTCACGTGACTACGAGACGGCGTAACTCGACTAGTTAGAGTTTAGCAGAAACGGTCTAGAGACCAGGAGTTTTGTTGAACGCCCATGTGTCTGTAATTTGAGGCGAAGAAGGATTGTACTGGCTTCCCGAAGGTGAGTAAATGTATATGGGGTGCAGATATCAAATTGAATAATGAATGTCACGAATTAGTCCAGAATCATAAAAAGTTAACTCGCCTGTGATTTATAATAGAAGAACATTTTGAATAGATTAACGTCGTGCTAATTATCTTAGCAGCAAATGTTTGGCCATAGAAACATGGATACTGCCTTACCGACAATTTGACTGCGTTTCACGATTTTGATGGTTGTGATTTTAATTTGAGTGTCACAACCGTAAATAATAAAAAATGACCAGCGACGACGAATTGCAGTCGCAAGAGCCCCGGCGGAGCAAATTTCGAGTAATTACAGCTCTCTGCACACTTTAAAATCGGTAAGTGTTTAACTGACTCGTTAGCGCTCGAGACAAGTATCAAATAAACGATGATATAAGTTCCAATAGTGACCAATAGTAATTTAAAAAAAACTGGCATAAGCACCCCGGCAAATGTCATTAGCTCCAGAAATGGCCCTGTCCATGATTCACACGACATCACATCATTTACTAACCTCTACGATGAACTGAGTTCCTGTTTCGCGTTGATTTCCCAAACCACATCATTCTACACGCACGCCCTTCTATATTACCACATCTCACTATTTTTAGAGAAATGACGAAAACGAAGCCTACTTATAGAAAGACACTTCAACTTTAATACATCGATCAGAGCAGACTCCAAAATAAAAAGACCCTAAGTAGAGAGCTCCAAAGTGGTTTCTCCCTTGTTGTAACTCTATCACACCAAGGCTCTTAAAAAAGCGGCTCTTGGGCTTTGTTTCAACCGATTTACTCGCCCTTTCAGACGTGGCTCAGATGCAGTTTAACGCGCTTTTATGGGCGCTGATCCAAGCAGTGTGTTTGATGTCGGTCGGCACTGCTGCAAGCTCCAACACGACCAAACACCTGGGTACGTCGTCCTTACTAACGTGCATGGAAAACTCCCAGTTCACGGCTTCCTTTTTCGACGTGCAATACCTGGCTCACAACAAAACCGTGACTTTCAATATCGATGCTACCACGACCATACAGGACAACATCACCGCGCATGTTGAAGTTATCGTTTACGGGCTGAACGTTATGGAAACAACGATCGACCTGTGCAAGCTGGGCCAGAAATCCCTGTGCCCTTTGCAGGCAGGCCGTATCGACGTGAACTCTTACCAGGAGCTGGATACAGACCTGGTCGACCAACTGCCGGGCGTAACCTACACTGTGCCTGACCTAGATGCTCAGGTCCGTGTTGTGGTGTACTCCAAAAGTGACACTGAGCGCGAGAATCCCTTGGCCTGTGTAGTCGCGCCCCTTACAAACGGGAAAACCGTCCAGACAAAGTATGCTTCGTGGCCTATCGCCGCCATTTCGGGTATCGGTGTTCTCACCTCCGGTTTTGTATCAGTGCTCGGTCATTCGACAACAGCAGCTCATATTGCGTCCAACTCTATTTCGCTATTCATTTATTTCCAGAACTTGGCCATTACGTCGATGATGGGCGTATCGAGAGTTCCTCCCATCGCCGCTGCGTGGGCACAAAACTTCCAGTGGTCTATGGGTATCATAAACGTGCATTTCATGCAAGATATTTTCGATTGGTATGTTCAGGCTACAGGAGGAGAATCAACTGTGGTGGTGGCCAACAAAGATATTCTGTCTATTTCCGTTCAAAAGAAAAGACTCAAAAGAGCTGTTGTCGAGGGTGCAAGACACCTGTACAAGCGAGTTTCTATTTCCACCAGTGACAGTTTCGACGTGAGTTCTTTCATGAATCAGTCAAACCTGTATACCACCAATGAGAGAAACTCGACCAACTACGCCTCGAAAACACTTGTACTTCACGGTATCCAACGTGTTGCTTTCAAAGCTGGAATCGAACTTTCCAACTTTTTCCTCACCGGCGTCGTTTTCACGTTGTTTTTCGTCTTCGTCGTTGTAATCGCTCTGATGTTCTTCAAAGCACTTGTCGAGCTTCTCACAAGAGCCCGTGTTATGGCTGAGTCGTCGAAATTTTTCGAATACAGAAAGAGCTGGGGAAATATCATCAAAGGCACCCTATTCAGACTCTGTATCATTGCCTTCCCACAGTTGTCGATTTTGAGTATTTGGGAGTTCACCCAGCGTGACTCTCCTGCTGTTGTTGTCGATGCTGTCGCTGTTTTCATAATCGTCACTGCGGTGTTGCTTTACGGTATCGTTAAGGTGATTTTGAGAGGACGCGAGTCTACTCGGCTTTACAAAACCCCCGCGTACATGCTTTACGGTGATGCCAACTTTTTGAACCGGTACGGTTTCCTGTATGTTCAGTTCAAGGCAGACATGTACTGGTGGTTGATTCCGTTCATGGCATACGCGCTATTGAGATCGATTTTCGTGGCTGTTCTGCAAGACTTTGGCCGCGCGCAAGCCATGGTGATCTTCGTTGTCGAGCTGATTTACTTCGTGGCTATCTGCTGGAAGCGTCCGTACTTGGACAAACGTACTAATGCGTTCAACATTGTGATCCATTTGGTGAACTTTCTGAACTCCATTTTCTTCCTATTTTTCTCGGGCATTTTCAAACAGCCACAGGTGGTGTCCTCTGTGATGGCGGTGGTTTTGTTTGTTCTAAACGCTGTTTTTGCCTTGTTTTTGCTCATCTTCACCATTGTGACTTGCTCGTTGGCGTTGGTTCACAGAAATCCTGATTCTCGCTACCAGCCTATGAAAGACGACCGTGTGTCTTTCATCCCCAAGGTTCAGACCAACGGGGCGGCTTCGAAATCCGAAACAGAGCTTTTCGAGCTTGGCAAAGCGGCAATGGTCACCAACGAGGCCACCAAGTACCCTTCAAGCGGTGACAGCTCGTCCAGAAATAAAAGTTCCAGAAAGCTGCTCTTTGACGACGAAGCGGACGACAGCACTCAATTCGACGAACACTCTGGGTCCAGAGAAAAGCGTGCCTACAGCGGTGAACCCCAGGCGTTACAGCCCACCTCTGCGGTGCTGGGATCCACTACATTTGGTGCAAGCCCGTACCAGAAAGTGCCCACAGCTCCCACCGGTCGCAGTGCCCAGGATTTGCGGGCTCCCGAGACGACCTTCAATAATAACACATCCTACCAGGGATTCGTAGGGAACTCCTCCAATCCCTATTCTGGAGGCAGGTCATATATGTGAACACGCTACCGCCGTCATACATATTCTGTACAATATTATCGTATATTCCAAATTGAATCACATCAAAGAGAAAAAGGCCGCGTTGAATGCTGCTCATCGAGTGTGGTAATTGAACACCTGCCGTTCACTCATAATCCACACTGCAGTAAACACTTTCCGAGCTGTTCAAATCCCCGGAGTTTGCAGATCCTGTCTCGGAGGATCGTCGCCAGGACCAAGTAGCCTCGAGTCCACGTGATGCTGCATAGAAACGAAAATCTCGATAACGGTATGATTTTGTACGAAAAGCAAGTTCCAAGAAACTTGGAAAATCCTAAATGTACAACTAGGTATTTTACCCATTCAAGTCGTACAATTGAGGTTATATGCTGTGATTATAGGCTTGGAACGCTTTGGTTGTGCTATCCCGTTTTTTAGCGCATAAGAATATATTACGGGCGTTTTTTCAGCTTTCAAAAGCGATATCTGTAGCCGGAGTAATTTAAAAGTGTGGAGACTATAGAAACTTGAATGAAGGAAGTGTCTCCAAGCTTGCAACAGCAGTCTTCCCCCTCGGACACTCAGGCGAACCGGCGAAATCGATTGTCGTTTGTGTGTCAGGCGTGCAGAAGAGGCAAGACCAAGTGCGACCGAGAAAAGCCCAGCTGCTCGCGATGCCTTAAACATGGCATCGAGTGTGTGTACGACGTGGAGCGACAAACTCCACCGAGACACCCAAACAAGGACGCTACTATAGCCAGACTGAAGCGTGAAATCGAATATTGGCAAGCTAAGGCTTTGAAACAGACTTTAAATGGCGAAATAGCGTCCGTAGGTGATGCCAGCAAGACGAGTGTGTCACCAATGACAACCAACACCAGTTTCACTTCGCAAATCAAGGTGCTCGCGTATGGCCCCTTCCGTGGCCTAAGCGACGTCATGATAGATCTCCAGAAATTCAAGCCCAGTTTGATCATCACCCAGAATACCAGCCGAGATGTTAAGCCCTCTTCAGATATGGCCCAGGTTCGACAAGACAGCTTTTTGGCCATTTTCTTTGCGTCTTTCTTCGCAGCCGCGTCCGAAAATACGTTAATCAACTCCATTTCTTCGAACGATGGCGTTCCCTACGCCAAGCGGCTCAATCTGAGATCCGATTTGTTGAACTTGCAAGACCGCATGCTTCGAAAGTGTACAAATGTCGTCCAACAAGCCCGCGTCACCGGCTTCTCAGAAAGAGTGATGCAGGAGCTCGGTGGGTCGCGAGACGTTCGCACAGGTATTTTCTTGAATCTTCTGAGTTCGAAGATGAGCAGAAACTTAATCGAGGATTTGAGTGCAGATGAAAATGTCTATTCTTCAGCTTTGAGCCAACTTGTCCGCAAGATAGAATTGCTACTACCTCCTTTCCCAGCATTAATGACCTATAAGGCCTACTTTTTCAGCTGTCTTTTCCCTCATCTTCCCTTTTTGGACCGAAGTTTGTTTGAGGAAGCTTTACACAATGTCATCGCAATGGACCCCGACAATCCACTAAAGATAAAGTTGAGACTAGGGAAACAGAACCTAAGACTAAAGATCGAATATCTCGCTATACTGATGGTGATGCTTGGTATCTCGTATACCTCAATGAAAACTGAACTAGGACTGTCGTCTTCCATGAAACCAGCTCACTTTGATACGATGGCCAACCAAAATTTGATAGATCAACATCCAATCACAGACGAAACAATCCTTCTGTCCCAAAATTGTATTGCAGCGCTCGACTTCATGAACTCTACTACCGAAAACACCATTTGCTGCTTGCTTTATCTGTGGGCCTTTTATGCATTTTCTCCCGAGGAGGGAGACTTTTACTATGGGCAGCCTACAGAATTCGTCTTAGGCATGACCTCGATTTTGGCAACAAACATAGGTCTTCACAGAGACCCCTCGCAATTTCGTCAATTCCAAGGTGACTCCATTGTCGACAAAAGAGTTGTGAATTACAGGAGAATTTTGTGGATAGGACTGAGCACCATCTTAAACTCAGAATCAGCTTTGAAAGGAAGGTGTCCCAGATTCATCAAAGATTCGATTTACTCTTCGAACCTTGACTTCTCGTCATCAACATTTATGAATCAAATGGTCCGGGATACGGTTGGTCCGGAAGAGATCTACAAGAAATTGTATTCTGAGGCGTTCACAAAACATAGGACATATGACCTCTTATCGCGTTTCGAAAAGATTTGGTCTTCTTCGGACGGTGAGGTAGCACTGAGCGGTATCGAGACTTTGGTTAAAGAAGTTGAACAACATATCCAAAAGCTTGTTGGTTTGCTTGATCTCAAGTATGGTAGACGGCCCCCTTACACGAATTTAGCCGCGAAGAGCGAACATGAAATACATGCAGGTTTTGCCAAGGCCAGTGAGAGAGCTTCGAATTTCCAAGCGTACATCATTGCCCAGCTAATTTTGACGAGAACCTCATTTTCCATTTTCATTTATTTCGAAATGAAATGCAAAGAATCTTATCAGGAATTTTGTCTCTTCTACGAAGCCTTTTTTGTTGATGTTGTGCAGAGATTCTTGAAGTTAAGCGAGGTTTATTGTCAATACTATAATGGGGAACTAGCAGAGAATTTTCTTCCTTCGTCGGCCTTTGTAATTGATAAGGCAATGCAAATGAGCATGGGCACAATTTTCTATACTGCTGTTGCTGTTATGTTGAGACTTACTCACGCAATCGACCTTCTCCAGGACAAACTTTCGCGTGAAAAATACCTTCATGAGAAGGGCGCCGAGAATCAAATGTATGAAGTCACGAAAAGACTGGAAGTCTTGAACGCTATAAACAATAGATTTGAAATAGTCTTTGACAGGCTATGCCATCTATCAACTAACCACCTACGGCTGACGTTCTTTTCTGCTTTCAAAATGCTATTGTTTTTCGACCATATTTTACAACTAGTAAAGAGAAAAGAGATGACCAGGACGATGCGAGAGCTAGCACAATTAGACCTTACAGAAAAAACAAAGAAGAATCTGTTTTTGGGCTTTGGATTTGATGTCAAGAAAACAAGTGAGATGTTTAACGATTTGAGAAGCACTGTTTCACTTTCTATGATGAGCTTTAATGTGCTCTATGATATTCAGCACAGTATCGACCGCATTCCAGTATTTCAAATCCCCGCTGATGGTAAAAATGCTGCAAATAGCAGCCATAGAGAAACTGTACCGAACGGACTTCTTCCATTTAATAGCGGATCTCAGCATACCAGCGCTACACAGCTACCGTCGCTGGCACAATTACCGCGTAATTTTGTCTCAGCTGATGGTATGCACTTGCCGCTGAATTCTGAACTGGATTTCAATCATATCGAGTTGTTTGATTTTGATTTTGATTTCCTCCTGGGTGGCATGTAAATAATTACGTTCGACATAGAAGGGCCGCTGTGAAAGATCTTTCGCTTTGATACCAACACACCTGTAATTACAACAATAGATATTCCCGCGCGTTACCATTGAATTAGGACTCACTGCGTAGGCTTCGAATCAGCTTGAAGAGCGCAAATGTGAAAAGGGACGTGAAACCCACGGCCGAAGTGGCCACTAGTGCATACTGCCAATAGTCCACATCTCCTTTCAGCACGTCCGGGGCCAGCCCTGGTGTGTTCCTGCTGGGTTCCAGTCCAGCCTCCGTTAATTTGATAAATAGTTCGTTTAATGAGCTGGACCATGCTGACGATACATGCAATGGATGATCCACAAAAAGTTGATCGGTGAAGTCATCAGGCTGCAAATAACACCTTTGCTGCTGCTTGTCAAGATCAGCCTTTAAAGCCACAAATACCATGGGAAGCTCCAGAAGATGTTTATGTTTATTCATGATATCGAACAGGTACGAGAAAGACTCCGGATCACTTGAGTCGTATGTTAGACACAGGACGTCACATTTCTTCGTCTTCTCCACATTTTCCAGTACCGCTGGTTCTTGTTCTCCAAATTCTTGCAATATCAAATAATACTGTTTGCTACCTTTCAATTCCAGACTGTTCACTCCGATCCGGGGTCTTATCGTTGGCGTATACGGTTCAGAAAATGACATGCCGACGAATGATTCCAAAAGGGAACTTTTGCCGCTGTGCGGTTTCCCAATGACAAATCCATTGAAAACTTTGCGATCTGTTACGGGCGCTCTGTAAAACTTCCCATTTCGTCTACGCTTTTTCCTAGATTTGGTCACTTGTAAGGCCAAACGTGCGTCCTTCTCGATGCCTAGATAGACAAGATATTCGGTTGTGGTCCTATAGTCCAAAAATGTAGTCATTGTCCATTGCGCTAACCATCCTTGAAGCGTTACGCAACCTTGGTTGTTGACTACTGTAGAGAAAGGAAAGTTGGTCTCCGTCCATAGTTTAGGAAGCCCAGGCGTTGTTTTGAAAAGGAACTCAAGTTCCAAGTCGTTCAGTCCACCATCGTTGTCTTTATCGAAAGTCAGGAAAAGTTCCACCAGAAATCGATAGCCTAATGGGCTGAGCTCAACGCTGGCCGTGGCAGGAATGTCCATTTTCGGATACAGCACTTTATCGTTAACGGACAGCGAGTCTGTATAATGAAATGCACGAAGAATGCCCCATGTTGTCTCATGTCTCCCCTTCTCAGAGTAGAGTTTGTTCAGCACTAAAAAGCCATCTTTGGTCATTCCTTTACCTGGAACGTAAAGCTTGTAGCTAGCGTACTCTTGGGGCGAGGTGGAAAGATTGAGCAAAGTTTCTTTGATGAATTCGAGTTCATGAATATCAATGGTTTTGCCGAAAGCTCGTCTTTGCAGAACTGAGATTTCATTATCGTTTAAGTAGCCGTCCTGGTCCTTGTCAGACAATAGAAATATTCGCTTGAGTGCCAAGACGGTTAGCGGTTTTAACTCTCCGACGCGAGCGTCAAAAAGAGGCGCTATAGGGTGGGTTATGGCTCTTTGACAGAGATAGAAAGCTTGATTGACATTTATTTTGTCCTTGGCACTTGTTTTGATACAGGTTTCGATTTCCTTGAACTCACGTAAAATTGGTATGAATTCCTCGTCTTCGATTTTGGTGCCATCTGATGCTTGATCCTCAGCCCGAATTTCATTTGCACTAACGCATTCATTATTCTCCCAATCATTGTCGCACTTGTTTTTGCACAGGATGACAGGCAAATTCACACCGAGAGAGCGAAACATCATCATCCAATACAATGCAACACGGTCGTAGCTCTCGTGGTCCGAATAGACAAGCCAAATCACATCGGCACTTTTCAGCTCTCGATGCAATGAGGGCAAATCGAGGTTGGACGTGTCTACTAGAAGCGAATTCTTAGGACAGTAGGGGCTTGATGAGAAGTCACGCGGCACTGTGACGGGCGGCAAGCAATCCTGTAGGTTTGGAATATACTGGTCTTTTACCAAGCATGCTATGAGACTCGTCTTGCCCACACCATCATCCCCGCACACCACCACTTTTATTTGTTCTTTTGCCATCGATATAGAACGAAAGTTGTAGTGCCAGAAAAGCGATGAGTAGTGTCAACTAAACAACTGATACAATATTGAGAGCCTTCTATAATAGTAATTGACAAGGTCTTTTTTGCCAATTGCCGGAAGTGTTTGCCTATGCAAAACTAAAGTGTTCTGGTAGAGATGAAATGACGGTAATAGTAAACGCGGCCTGGCTTTCTATAGACCGTTGAAGAGATGCTCGATGACATCGGCTAACTTTACGATAAACCTTCTTCTACGGTGCTAATAAAATCAATATATATTATTGTCACTTTGTACCTTTATGTCGTTGTATTTAAAAGTGAAGTTGTCATTGCAAAGTGTGCTTCGGTGACCGGTGGGACGAGACTACGGCCTTTTTACACGAGCTTATGTGTCATGAACCAGGAAAGTCGAGTAATTGTTTGTGTGTTTTCGAGTAATTCGTATTTCAAAATAAAAGTGTAGCTGTTATGGGACTTGGCACTGTGAAGCTGAGCCGAGAGACTCTGGTTATTTTATGACAATATGAATGAAACATGATTTGGTCTTTTGCAATAGGCTGTGTCTTTGGTGCTGCGAAACTTCAAGATAGAAAATTGTATTTTTAATACTCCCAAGACGTAAATTATATTCTTATGGCAAAGTACTTAGACAAGAGCGGCAGCTTGATTGGGAATAAACTTGAGAGACATTCAATATAAGAGGATAAATAGCTGTTCGCCATGCTTCGGTTTCAAAACTTAAGAATAACAATAAACATCTCTGTCATCTGTCATTTGTTGCTAGTGGACGATTGATCAACGCATTGCATTGGTTCAAAAGGGCTTTCCAATAAAGCGGTGAACCTTTTCTCGTCCAAATTAATAAACCGAAACACAAGATCGACAGACACCGCTGATTCTACCTGTCTGTTTAGTTTTGGATAAAGCTCAATTCGTCTGTCTTATGATAAATTTGTGTCACTATATACGCTCATGCTATACAAGAAATTAAGCATCAATCAACTTTACACTCGGTGGCAAACCTTTAAAGAGTCAAAGTGAGACGATTAGCTCAAGATTAGATCTGATCGTTGCGGAGATTTTTATATTTGGCTTTGAAAATGGTATGTGAAAGACAATTGTTGTTTTTGCCGCTTCTTTACACACTTTGGAGGCCATTGTAGGGTATTTTTTACTAACCTAGACATGGCTACGGCTTTGACCTAGACTTCGATCGGTACCGGTTATGATCTTTCCAATAGTGTCTTCTCGCCAGATGGGAGAAATTTCCAGGTGGAATACGCGTTAAAAGCTGCGGAAAATGGGGCTACTTCGGTGGGTATCAAATGCAAAGACGGTGTAGTGTTTGCAGTGGAAAAACTGATCACGTCAAAACTGCTGGTTCCAGGCAAAAATCGCAAGATTCAAACCATAGATCGTCATGTTGGCTGTGCATACTCTGGTCTGATGCCAGACGGCAGACATTTGGTCAATAGGGCGCGTGAAGAGGCCCAAAGTTTCAAAAAAACATACGCCAGCCCTATACCACTTTCAGCGCTCGCAGACAGATTGGGCCAGTACGTTCAAGCACACACACTGTATAACAGTGTAAGACCATTCGGAATCACCGCGATATTAGGCGGGGTCGACGACAATGGTGCTCATCTCTATATGTTGGAGCCCAGCGGGACTTACTGGGGCTACAAGGGCGCAGCCACCGGGAAAGGCAGACAATCGGCCAAAGCAGAGCTAGAGAGGATCTTGGCATCTAAGCCAGAACTCGACGCAAGAGAGGCTGTCAAGGAGGCTGCAAGGATTGTTTACATGGCGCACGACGACAATAAGGAGAAAGACTTCGAGCTAGAAATAAGCTGGTGCTCAACGTCCGAGACCAACGGTCTACATAAAGCAGTGCCTCAGGAACTGTTCGATGAGGCAATCAACTTTGCAAAGACAGAAAGTGGTGATAATTCTGACAGCGATGATTCCAGCGATGACAGTGGCAACGAAAACAAGAACGAAAAGGAAGATGCTGAGGGTGACGTAAATATAGAGTAGATAATTTTGCTGAGTATACAATCAAACTTCGTATTTTCTGGGGTCGCACCATGCGAAGCTTTCGCGCCTTAGTGGGTATATAAATCCAGATCTTTTCACTCCCCACTCTGGTAACTTTGCCTCAGACGCTGTCTCAGGTTTCTGTTTTCCTCTTCCAAGTGCGATATTCGGTATTCTGCCGCAGCGGCATCCAACTTTCTCCTCTCTCGCTCTGCTATCCATTTACGTTCCAAAAGCTCAATGCGTAAGCTTGAGCTGGTGGCAGTATCCTCCTTTTGTGAGGGAAGGCGAGATGCTCGTCTCTCCTTCTCTTTCAGTAACATCTTAGCGTGTTCCTCGACTACAGAATTGATGGCAGTCTCGATAAAAACGTAGAGCGATTCGAGTTTCGCGTGGGAGGCTCGATAAGTTTCAGTTGTGTTAAGTTCTTCTAGTACTTTGAGTTTACTTTTCGCTTGATTTATCGAGTGTTTCTGCAAGATCTTATCGAAAACGTCAAAGACTTTGTTGAGATGCAATAATAAATGATTTCGAAGCTTCTGATATTCATTGACCAACAGCGAGTAGTCCCTCTTCATGCCGCTGGTGTTTTTTTGAAGCTGTTTGTTGTGATTGGTAAGGTTCTCGAGTTCATGTTCCATTGCGGAAATACGAGAGTGCATATCACGATTTTCGCTCATATACAGACCAGACTTTCTCACCGCTCGTTTTAATGTCTTTTCTAAATCGGCTACCGCGTGTTCTGAATCACTTTGCAGGACTGAAATCTCGGATTTCAGCTCCTTCACCTGTTTTGTGAGTTGTTGAACCTCCGATCGAGCATCAGAGAGCTGCTCTGTGAGATTAGTTTTCTCAGCCAGCCACTTATTATCATCCAGGCTCTGTAAGGTAAAATCATTGTCTACAGCCACCCGGGACGATTCTGCCGCAATGCCGTTCATTCCATTGTCAGCACTTGGTCGATCTCCGTGTTCTTTCACTTTTGAGTTCTTGAGGTCGAATGCACCAGCATCGATGGGAAAACTGGACTTAAGGTTGAGCGCATACGAAATAGGTTCTCTCTCATTGCCGTTCTCGTGAAGCTCCGAATTTCGGTCAGCAGCATTACAAGCATCTTGATTCCTGTAGTGGGATGCAAATTGGGCTATTAGGGCTCTTTGCTTTTCCAATTTCTCTTCGAGCGTCTTTTCAGTCTCAGCGCAATGCTTCATTTTGTCCTGCAGACTTATCAGAAATTCATGATACTCCTCATGCATGTTCTCTATCGCACCCTCGAGCCGGGAATCCAGATTCTGAGAGGACACATGCGAGTCGTCTAACACGCTAGAGCTCGAAGTGTCTCGGGAATCCCAACTTTGTTGGGCAGCAAACATATCAAGAAACCTTCTAACCGTAGAAGTCAAAGCGCTCATTTTAACATCCACAAAATTATTGGATATGCTGCGAGCTTTTTCGAGAGCGTCCAATTCCTCCGCTGAGAGGGTCGAACTGGCCGAGAACATAGCCAAGAGTTCGTCAATATTGCCCGCAATCACATCAGAATGCTCGAGGTATGAATTCACGTCGTTCAAAACGGTGTGATACTCGTCTTTGCTCGACACCAGTTCCTGTTTGAGTTCAATTAGCTCTTTGTTCTTAATGTCTAGATTTTGGCGCAGCTCGTTGAGCTCTTTTGATATTTCACCAACTTTGTCGTGGGCCGGCAATTTCTGGATCAGCTTTTCATACACCTGACTTCTTGGCCCGCCGTCTTCGCCGCACACGTCGTGCGTGTAGTTTAACTCTTTGAGCAGCTCTGTGAGAATTCGTAGTTTTAGTTTGCAAGTCGTCAGTTGTCTCTGGAGTTGCTCAATTTCATTACTGGACGAAGCAGAGGCTGTTGCCGTGGCTGCACTAGATGTACCATCTTCGGAAAATAGAGAGTTTCGCGTGTGTGGTCTGGAATTGAGCGGAGATGCCTCGAATGTTGGCAGGGCTTGTAATGGCTCTGATCCGCAATTCGAATCCAGGTAGCTGTTCTCAAAACTGGCTGCATTACGGCTAGAGACCGCAAGTTTCCTCCACGGCGTCATAGAGACGCTCAGACGCGGGATGTCGCCTCCGAAGGGGAGCTGTTCAGGTTCCTGAGGCCTGCTCTCTACATACGAGAGATTCTCTTGCGAGAGCATATCCAGTACTTTAGAGGGCGACGAGACCACTGAATTTCTTTCCAATGAGTCGTTACTAGCTTCGCTGTCCTCAGTTTCCATTTCAGCGTTTTGACTGCGTATCAGTTGTGCTTCACCTGTTATTACGTTGCCTGGCAATTTAAGGGTCTTCAAGTACACCAAAATTCTCGAAAGAACAACGCCAGAAACGCCAAAAATCCGTGCTAACCCTTCTAGATTATTATCTCACCCTTTCAGCATGTAAACCGGGTGATACTTTAAACTCAATTCATCTTTCAACCCGTCATCATCACAGTTTCGAGATCTGTCATTTCAATAAATACAATTTAAACCTACAAATCAGTCATGTGACCATTTTATTAGAGCTCCTGGAAAATTTTCAAGATTTAGCTTAAGAAACTCTCGATGCCCTCATGGCCATTTGATCCATTCAACACCACAAATCGTAGCTTTTAACGCACTGTTGGGACAATGGCTGCTACTTCTGTTGTGGACATAAAACTGGAAGATATTCCTGTCGATGACATTGACTTTTCCGACCTAGAAAAGGAGTTTCAGGTCGACTCTGAGATCAATTTTGACAACTTTGTTGTGGTCGATGGTGCGCCCGTCGCGCCCGAGTCCAAGGTTCCAATGCTGTCAAAAGTGCTTGGAAAGCTGTTCTCACAAGCGGGCAAAGTTGTCGACATGAATTTGCCTCTAGACGAGGCCAAAAAGTGCACCAAAGGCTATTTGTTCGTGGAATTCGATTCTGCTGTTTCCGCCAAGAAAGCTATCAAGATGCTAAACGGTAAGAAGCTCGATGTCAAACATAGACTGCTTGTTAACGGGTTGAGTGACGTGGAAAAATTCGGTTCAGAGAGCTTCGAAAGCGAATTCAGCGAACCAAAACTGCCTGACTTCCAACCAACCGACTACTTGAAGTCCTGGTTGCAAGACGAACAGGGAAGAGACCAGTTCGTGCTGCACAAAAATGATCTCATCGGTGTGTTCTGGAACAGAAACACACAGCAACCGGAAAACGCCGTGGAGCCCAGATCTAACTGGTCCAACACCACTGTCAAGTTCTCGCCAAAGGGTACGTATCTGTTCTCCTATCACAACCAAGGTGTGGCATCGTGGGGAGGAAGGAACTTCGAGCGTTTGAGGCGTTACTTCCACCCTCAGACCAAGGCTCTCGACGTTTCCCCAACCGAGAAGTACTTGGTGACTTTGTCCCCAGAGCCAATCTCCGTTCCAGAGGATGCGCCTGCTGATTTCCCATTCGGTCCTGAGTCGAACGGGCACCAGCTATGTGTTTGGGACATTGCCACCGGTGTTTCCGTTAAGACCTTTGCCTTGCCTCCTAACCAAAGTTTGCACTGGCCAATGATCAAATGGTCTTTTGACGACAGATTCTGCGCCCGTTTGGGACCTAACGCTTTGGCCGTCTACGACGCGGAAAACAACTTCGAGCTACTCGGCGGTAAGATCATGAAGATCGAAAACATCATGGACTTCTCGTTCGCCCCAGCCGGTGTCAAGTTGGCTGCTAACAGAAACAATGAACTTTCATCCGTGCTAGCATTCTGGACTCCAGAATCAAACAATCAATCCTGCAAAGCCACAATAATGGAGGTTCCTACCAGAAGAGTTTTGAGAACAGTCAACTTGGTCCAAGTCTCCGATGTCACTCTAATCTGGCAGGAACAAGCCGAATATCTCTGTGTGAAGGTCGACCGTCACACTAAGTCTCGTAAGACTTTCTTCACAAACTTAGAAATCTGCAAGCTTACTGAGAAAGACGTTCCGGTCGAGAAGGTCGAAATGAAGGATCTAGCGCTCAAATTCGCTTGGGAACCTACAGGCCAAAGATTTGTCACAATTTCCAGAACCGATGCTGTAGATGACAATCCAGCTATTCCTAAGAATGTGATCACATTTTTCGCTCCCGAGCAGAAGGATAAAGCTGCCAAGGACGACATTAAGAAGTGGAAGGCGTGTGCTTCCGTTACCGGCACATTTTCGAACACCATTTCTTGGTCTCCAGCCGGCAGATTTGTTGTAGTGGCCACCTTGGTGACTCCCGACACGCGTAAAGCTGACTTCAATTTCTTTGATCTCGACTACACTGGCGAGAAGACTGACAATACCTGCGATGACGTGGCTGCCAAGGTCAAGGCCGTTGCCCACCCAGACTTCTATGGTGCTACTGACATGAGCTGGGATCCATCTGGCAGATTTTTGGCTGTATGGTCGTCTGCCGTCAAGCACAAGCTCGAAAATGGTTACAAGGTTTTCAACGTCACTGGTGAGGTGGTCAGAGAAGAGTTGATTGAAAATTTCAAGAACTTCGCCTGGAGACCTAGACCCGCTTCGTTGCTAACGAACGCCGAGAGAAAGAAGGTCAGAAAGAACTTGAGAGAATGGTCTGCACAGTTCGACGAGTCTGACGCCATGCAAGCCGACAGCGCGATGAGAGAGCTCATCTTGCTACGTCGCTCGCTGTTGGAAGAATGGTCCAACTACAGAGAAGAGATGACCGAAGGCATGGAAGAAGAATACAACTATAAGGTTTACGACCAGATCGAGACGTCTGCTGTCGATGAAGATTTCGAAGTCGTAGAGGAAATCAAGGAAGAAATTCTAGAGGAGAAGGAGGAGCAGGTTGACAGCTTCGAAGAGCCAGAGACCTCTGACTAGATTTTGACCGGGGGTTTTCTTTTCGATAGAATGTTATTAGTTAAATATGTAGCAACCAGTCGTACGTAAACTTTTTATTTGTCGTTTTCAATTCATTTCTTAATAAGATCGATCAATGTCTTTTATTCGGTCCGAGTGCGCAATTGCAAGCCATGCCACCTCTTGATGTCATCTTCTAATATTTTGTTGACGAGCTTGTGCTGTTTGACCATTGTTAGACCTTTGAATTTGTCGCTAGTGATGTCTATAGCGAACATCGACCCGCATCCACCGCTGACATCTCGTACTTCTATTTGTCGCGGACTGAGTTGCTTGGACAGCTTATCGAAAATCAACTTTTCCTCGGGTGTCCAAGATAGTAATCGCCGTGCTACTCGAGTGAACATCATGTCTCCGATAGTCATGTTTCTGGATCGGTTGTTGTAAGTGTCGAATTAGTTGAAATTTTCCATATTTTATTATATATAGATCAGCGTGAGCTTGCCAAGACCATTCTAGCGTAGCCAGCTAAAGATTAAACGGCAAGTGTCGATGTTTAGACAGGCTTTCCGTCAAATGAGTGTAGCTGCTAATAGAAGTGTGGAAGGTCCCATTGCCCAGTGTATAGATCGAAAGATCCGCCAAAAATTCCCAGATTTGCAGCATTTCGCACTGTTCAACGACTCTTACAAACATTCACACCACCACGGCATGGCAGAAGCAGAAAACAAAATCGAGTCGCATTTCAGGCTTGAGATTGTAAGCGACGGATTCCAGGGACTCACTTTGCCCAAGAGACACCGACTCATATATAGCTTATTGGATGCGGAATTGCAGAATGGAGTGCACGCTTTGCAACTGCAGACGAGAACCGGTGCAGAGCAAGCCCGCAAGCAGCAGCAGCAGCAGCAACAGGGCTGAGATATCTTCTTCTTGGAGCTTGGTAAAACGGGGCAAAATGGCTGCACCACTTATCGTTAAAAATACAGATTCTATACTACAGTAAAGACATTTAAGTGGGTTTAGTTTGTTGGCATGGCCTGAGTGCTGGTGAGAACGGAGTTGCACTGAAGTTGCACTGAAGTTGCACTAGTGATGATCCTCTTCCAAGGATTTCTCGTACTGCTCCAGGGACATGAGATCCTCGTTTTGCATGTCATCCAGGCTGCTGACTCTCAATTTCGCAATCCAGGCTTCGCCAGTGGGATCTTGGTTGATAAGTTGTGGAGAATCGTTCAACGACTCGTTGACCTCGACCACAGTACCAGCTATTGGCGAGTAAATTTCAGACGCAGACTTGACAGATTCCAAAGAGCCCAAAGACTCGCCGGCCTCTAGCTCGGTGTCGATCTCGGGCAGCTCCACGTACGTGGCATCGCCAAGGGCGTCAGCAGCGTACTTGGTGATGCCTACAAAAGCGGTGCCGTCCTGGTGCGCGGCGATCCACTCGTGCTGGGCGGTATACTTGACGGCCAATGGGCCTGATTTGGAGAAAGTGAATGGGATTTGCGAATTGGTCAACGCGTTGGTCGACTGCGCTCTTAGGAACAGACGAGGCGTGGGGCGAGTTGTAAGTCTCACGGCCGAGTACGCAGCGTTACGAAGCATTTTAGCAAATGGGGAAACGGGGAAGTTAGGCGAAGGTTCTTGATCGACACTACGACTATGATCGAGCGTGGTCGAAGAAACGGGATTCCACGATGGATGGGATATCTGGTACGGGTTAAATAGGCCAAAAGAGCTGTGAATTGTAGATGTGCTCGTACAGAGTGACACTAAAGGAGTCTAATTTTGTTTGGATCCTTTAGATCTGACTCGGGCTTTTGGCAAAGGAGGATCACGACGGAGTCAGAAAATCACGTGCGAGGAAGCCTGGCGCGAAAGCTAGGCGGCTAACGCAGGTGGCGAGTACAAAGCGCGAGTACAAAGCGCGAGTACAAAGCCCGACTGAAGGTCTACGAGTACTCGTATAAACTCTTTGCAGACGAGAAGTGATGGAAGTGTATGAAGTAGGAGATTAGGTATGGATTGTGTTCAGCGCATTTTGTAGGTCTGAGTGTTGCATTTCATATGTGAAGATGGATATACACGATGGTTCTCGTGGGTTCGCTGCCGAGACCTTGGAACTACGATACCAACGCCTTTCTCAGACGCTATCAATTGTTGAACAATACAAAGAGGAATTTGGTGTTTCTCTGAATCCTGAAGCGTGCTTGTAGCCAACATGGTCGTTAGCAATTGATTGCTGGGGCTCTCGATCGCCGAGGTTCTCATTTGGTCAGCTGTGCTGAAAGCTGGAATGTTTCTTCGCAGCAGTTAGCCGACATGTGTACTCATGCTCGTACTCGTACTCATGCTTGATGCGTACGGAGTAAAGCAGAGCAAGCGGCCAAAGCTAGAAATTAAACCCTTGGTAATCCAGAAACATGCTCGAATTAGTATCTCATACCACCAACACCCATTCGCTTGAATAAGAGAACAAAACGACACAATGTTGATACAAACTATTCGGGTCCTGGCTCGGGCAACTGCGATCCCACAACTGCGCTTTCCCGACGCATGTGAGGTCTCGTATTCTAGAGTGCCGTTTGCTTACGTGACCGAAGCCATTGTTCTGCACCTAGAGTGAAAAACCTGGGTCGCCAACGCGATAACAGCACCAGTACGATCAAAATGCGGGGGCCCAAGCTGTTGCAAATGCCTTTTCCACTAACTCGTCCGAGACAGCGTGCAGAGATATAAAAACCCTGGGTTTCCAGAATTTATTTATCCCAATGCTCTATCCCTCTGCTCTGCCCTGCCCAACCTCACGCTCCGTTAGCTCATACCGGCACTTTTCTGTCCACTCGCCATGCCGATCTCGCCAAGCGTCGTTTAGACTTCCTACAGCCAAGATCTCTCTACCGTCGACATTTACACCGATGCGGAAAACTTGGCGAGAGGTGAAAAAAATCAGTAGCCAAAAAAATTAGGGGAGGGGCCCGTTGAAGTTTGGAAATGGGCCCAAAACCCGACTATAAAAGCAGCAGGCTCGAAGAAGTGTACTTGGAGCACAGCTTAACTATCGAGACCGAAGGATACTGGGAGCACAGTTGAACAATTGAGAGCGATAGCGATCGATTGTGAATAAATAGAGAACTCATAGTTCGGAAAGAAGGGCTATGAGCTAGGCGTGAGCAATGCGTAAGAGTGAGAGAAACAGAGTGGGTGAAATTGACCGCTTTTTCTACCGTGGCGATACTTACTTGGCCAGGACAACCGACAAACTGTGCCATTGAGCTCTGGCAATGGCACCCTCCGCGGCTACGCGGGGGTGGGGGGAGAGTGAGGACAGCGCTGTGGGCCACGAGGGGAGGAGAAGGAGTCGTCGCGAGCTGTTTCCTGTGTGTCTTGGAAAAGCCACAAAAACGATAAAACCAAAACAAAACAAAAAGGCGAAGATCTCTAGTACTCGAGTACTCGACTCACAAACACCACACGTGATATTCACGTTTCTTCCTTTTCTTTTTTCGCTTTCCCACCCACATCACCATCGACGGTCCATTCCGCGGCTTCTCCTTGCTCCCTATTGGTTGTTCCGTTCCGTTAAGGTGCTTGTTTGTGGACACCCTTTGCTCTCGGTCGCTTCCGGTTCGGCCGTAACCGCAACCCTTCCTCCTTTCGTCCTAAGGTCTGTCTCGGGATTCCGGCACAACAACAAATAATAACAATAATAAAAAAAAGAAAAAAAAGAAAAAGAAAAAACTAAGACCCCCATCCCACAAGAGGGTGCTTTTGTACGAGCTGTGGTGAACTCCCTTCCCAAGAAATTGCTTTTTTCACCAATTTTCTGGGCAATCCCGGCAAAACATCCTATCCCGCCCGCGTAACCTGAGAAATCAGACCGCTGGGGCTCTTCTTCTTCCCAAAACCGGAAACCCATATTGGAAATTGTGAGATTTGAGATAAAATACACATAATCACAAACACTATTACCACTAGTTTAACTACTAGTGCAACCACCTTTTTGTCCGGAAAATTACCTCATACGTCCGTCACTTACTTCCCTGCTGCTCCAAGTTGTTCAAGTCCCTGTGTTGCTTAGATTATCAGCAATCATAATATTGGTTTTTCAGCCACGCAATTATATCCAGGCTTCAGAAACTTTCTTCTGCTTGCCACCCCCATCCCTCGACCTGCAATCTCCCAGATTGGTGGTATACAAGAAGAAGAAGAAGCACTTTGTTCTGCTCTTGTAGCTGGCCCATCAAACAATCCACCAAGCAATAGCGCTATGAAAACCATTTTCGCAGTCAACGGGCCTGATCTGTGCCCAGAGCTTTTCTCGTATTTCCCAAAATCCAATGTCGTCCATTTTGACTCCGTCGCCGACCTTCTGCTGCATCTGTACACCAATCGGATCTCGGGCGCAAATACCTACGAGCGCACGTTGTCGTTGGTAATTCATCAACAGCCCAAAAGAAGAGGTCGTTCCAAGCCAGTGGGTCTTCAATCCTCGCCGGCCTCGGATGCGGTTCTCAACAAGATCACAACGGCTGAGCTGTCTCATTTGATACAAAAGCAGTTCCCCACTTTCAGCCTTAGCGTCACAACCCCCACGGACGCGTCCAAAGCAGTAGCACACCTGCTTGAACGCGAGCAACTGTATTCGAACCGTTTGGTAAGGGTCGCCACCTGGATGTATAACGATTACGTCGGCTCCAACGAGCCTTACACCGGGCATGAATCCCGTCCCGCCGCCCATTCACATGCCAACCACGACTCATATTCTCCTACTTGCTCCGCCAATGTGTATACTATGCTCTCCCACTTGACAAGAGTACGCAAACGCAGAAAGGACCAAGACTCGTCGTTTCCTTCTTCCAAATTGATTTCCTCCGCTCTTGATCTTCGAAAACTGATAAATATACCGAAAGACAAATTGTCTAGCGATCATTACTGGAACCTCATTTCTACCTGGGATTTCTGTGCTACAAGCCTTTCCACTTCCGAACTTATTTGGTGCAGCTTTTTGATTCTGAAAAAAGTTGCGCAGGATGCGGGGTTTGAGATTTCTGACAATAACCTATTTCTGTTCTTATTAACTGTGGAAACTTCTTACCATCAGGGAAACAAATTTCATAATTTCAGACATGCGGTCGATGTGATGCAAGCCACTTGGCAACTGTGTTGCCAATTAGAAGCGCGCTTCAAGAAAAGCTCGTCTATACTTCTGGTTTGCGTTGCAGCCATTGGCCACGATGTCGGTCATCCAGGAACCAACAACGCGCTCATGTGCGATCCGTTATCGCCCGTTGCTCAATTGTACAATAAGAGTTCAGTATTGGAAAACTTTCACACCGAGATTTTCTCAGATCTATTGCAAGAGCACTGGCCACAGATATTGGAAGAGCAAAGCATTTTATCGGATACTATACTAGCTACTGACATGGCACTACATTCCCAGTACGTGGAGCAAATGGATGCAGGTCCTTCCGAACAACCTAATCTCTTGGCTTTGGTTATAAAGGCGGCTGATATATCCAACGTCACCCGACCTCTTCACATCTCTACTAAATGGGCCGTTTTGATCACTTGCGAGTTTAACGAGTGCGCGGCTCTTCTGAAAAGGATCAAAGGTAATGATACTTATGAAAGTTACATGCCTGAATGTGAGGAGCCAATGCCGGATTGCGTCGAAAGCATTTTGATAAAGTATCCATCGATACCACAGGGCCAGCTTATGTTTATAAATGCATTCGCGGAATGCTTGTTTGCCGGTTTAGCGGAATGCTTTCAAGAGCTCAAATTCCTGCATAATAATGTCAAGGCCAACAAGAAATTTTGGGAAGGGAAATGTAAATAAGGAAATAAGTTTAGGATAGAATAAAGGTGAATAACAGATAACTCTGAGTTAGTGAGTGAGTGAGTGAGTGAGTGAGTGAGTGAGTGAGTGTGTGTGTGTGTGTGTGTGTGTGATGGATGTTGTTTCGCTTCACAGGTGGAAGCTGTCGACAACGATTACTGTCGCGTCGCACCAGCTGAAATAGTGTAAATAACGTGGGCTTTTAGAACAAGATTGCAGTCTTATGTTGATTTATACACACATATATATATATAGTAATATATACATATAGTGCTCTAAAATGCATCAGAGTCAATTAAGCCACGGTCTTTATGATCTCTCACGACTGCAAATGCTTTCAAAAGCTTTCTTCTGGCGCCCAAAGCTGAGACGCCCAATGCCGCCAAAGAATCGTCATTCAAATAAATCAATTCGACCCACGACCTTCCGTTTAATGCATCAGAGTACTTATGAAGTCTCAAGGACTTTAACCATGCCGGAATATTGTTCAAAAGTTTTGGGTCCGTCAATGTCTTCGGATTCATAGAAGAAGAAGAAGAGCCCGTTGAGCCCGTGGGAGAGCTCATGCCATTGTGCGGAGCACTTTTCGGTTGCGACGGTGATTTTTTAGGTATCTGCTTTCCAGGTGTGCCAAATTTCTTCCGAAGCTGTGGGTCAGCAGAGCGCGGCCTGTGTGTGAGGTCGTTTATGTAGTCGTAAAGCGGCTGCCCATTTGAATGGTTTTGAGGTATGGGGGACCATTGACGATTCATGCTGTGGTCCAGGTTATTGTTCAAAAGCGAGTCCAAGGTCAAAGGCTGCGGTGTAAGGCCTCTGTCCGGCATTGGTGCTATGACATGTGGTGATCTCACGCTGGGCGAAATGTACCCGGAGCTGATTAGACTGTCCAACTTCAGTTTGGTGTGTTGCAAGACTTCCTCGTTCAACGAAGACAAAAGATTATCCATAACTGAGTTCTGCTGAGCTGACGACAGCATCAACATCCACGAGCAAAGTTGGCTCACATCGTGCGTGAAATTGACCATGTTGTTGGGAGCCGGTGCTGGTAAAGCCCCAATGCTGCTCGTGGGCCTGGTGAACGAATCTAAAAACATGGATGAGTTGGGTTGCAATAGTGGGGACACGACAGCAGGTCCGGCTGCTGAGCGTTGCGAATCCATGAGCATGTTTTGCTGCTGATCTAACAGGTCGTTGAGAGAAAGATGCTGCGACGAAGGCTGAGGGCTGAGTGGCATATGGGAGCCACTGCCATTCTCACATGCAGCTCCTGAGCTGTGGGTGTTGTTCATGGCCGTCGACTGCGGAGACAGAAGCACAGCTCCTGGATGCACTCTTCTTGGCATCCCACCCACGGGAGAGTGGACCCGTGTGGGGAAGCCCATGTTTTCCTGTTGCTGGAACATACAAGACGTGGTAATGTTGCAATTCAAGAACCAAGCACCTGCACTAAGAGAAGGATACAGCTAGCTGAAGAAGAAGAGACAAATGTTCAAATCAAAGGAGGGAAAAGATCCAAAAAAAAAAATAGCCTGCTCTGCTCTCTCTGCTTCTACCCGTAGAAGTAAGATTCAGAATCTCGTACAATGCACACGCCGTCAAGTATCGCCTAAAAGCCACTGTCTATTGTAGTACTTGTAGTACTTGTAGCGCTTGAACGGGGGATTTTCGAACTTTTCGTACTTGCAGCGAGGTTTCGATGAGTATTCGCACCAAGTCTGCTCTGCAACTTGAAGAACACTTATTGTTCGGGACTTTAAATGATTTCCAATATTTTTTCCCGCAAAGTTATGCAATTTTTACACGCTACTGAGTCGTAGTCGCTTGGGAGGGTGAGCGTTTGGCTTTGTTGATTTAAAAATGCTTGAGATTTGGTTAAAATGTTAGATTTCTTGAAAGGTGATGGCCATTTGAACAAGTTTGAATAATTTTTCACTTTGTTGATGCGTGGAAAGTGATCATATTTTTTTGATGTCCAAAAAAAATAAATTTTTCCAGAAAAAAAGAAAGCTTTTAGGGTACTCGAGTACGTGAGGACACTGGTACTCGGAGCTGTACTCGAGCTGTGGATGACAGGCCACTAACATATACACTCAGCAGGACTATCCACAAGAGTGTTGATCTGGCTTCTGAAGCGTCACTTATATTCGTGGGTCATGGGCTTTGATAGCTTCACGATTGTCGCAGCAGATAGTACATACACGTTTTGTAGGTAAAATAAGATATAATAATACGGTGATTACTAGATGTGTTGCGTCACATTAAACATTACACGGCTGAAAACTTCCTGGCCTGAGTTGTAGCCATATTTTTTAGTTATTTATGCAGTGAGCCCAATCTAAACTTAGTTTCTCGTAGGTTTACCCCAGACTCTACATCAATCTCGAAAAAAAGTAATGACGGTCTTGTTTTCCCAAGGCAACGATAATGTCTTTCGAACGCGTGGGGCAAGAGAGAAGAACGCGACTTTCATGATAAAGCCACGTCAGTGTATGCCACGCCTTTGACAGTGAGTTGCCAAAAGTTGCTTCATCTCTCTTTGAACCGTCTATCATAAACAGCCACTCTTCTCTCGTTTTAGTAAAACTTCTTCAAAATCGACTCACATTGTTCCTTGACCGATTCGTCCTGTTCTCTCATGCTAATCAATAGCTTCTCGATAAAAGGTTTTACAGGAGGCCTAAACATTATCATGAACCGGAGTGACTGGAACCCTAAAGAGCTTCGTAGCGGGTCTAAGCAGACAGACTTGATCTTATCAATGTGCAGCTGAGTCAAGCGCGGTAACTCACTCACTAATCTAATAAACAAGCGTCTATGTGAAGGTTCAAGCACGGGTATCAGAGCGTCCAAGACCTTTAGCGACCATTCATCGTAAACTGGTGTCTCTTTCACGCCGGAATCATTTTGCAAAGTCTCAAAATACCACTCCTCACTTAGCCACTCGATGACAACATCCACGCGATTTCCAAAATCGTCAAGAAAATATTCATAAATTGCAAGTCTAGCGGTATTACTCATTTCATTGTTATGATTCACTCCTCGTGTTGCTAATCTTGTCAGCAAAGTCAACCAGGACGTTTTGCTGTTCCATTTCATGAGCCTTACTTTGTGCAACAAGTTATCAGGCGCTTCCTCCTTGGTGTCTTCTTCCTCTTCTGCGTTCCTAACATTGATTATGTGAGCCAGGATCCTTGCAAAATGCTCTTTTTTCTCCTCCTTAGACATCGGTTCGGGCGGACCCAAGGTAAACTCTTGCTTATCCTCGTCTTCTGAAATTTCCTCTTCTTCAGGCACTTTCGCCACCTCTTGTCTCTTAGCTGGCTGTGATTCATCGTTACCATTCTCGAGAGGACGTTTGCCGGGAAATTCTGAATGTGAAGCTTTGTTCATAAGATCGGTGTAGCGAGATGCAACTATAGACAGTCCTGTTATAATCTTTTTCGTGTCACACTGATACAGTGATTCTGCACAAAGTTTTGCCATTACACCTGGAGATAGCTTGGAAATATCTATCTCTGAGTGCTTGCTGTTCATAAGAGAATATGCGGACGCATATGTGTTATCAATCGCGACAGGAGATGTGTTGAAAAATCCGGCAGTTGAACTTTTAGTCATTGTGTACTTTTGCAACGCATGAAGTAGTTGAAGATCTGGGGAAAGGCGAGGCTGCTTGGGTTCAGTATTAAGAGAGGCAGCCTGACTCGAGCTCTTCAAGAAGGCAATATATTTTGCTCTTTCGCGACTCGGCATTTTACGCTCCACTTGTTTGGACTCAAAGTTCATGATGCCCTTAGACTTGGTTTCCTCGCCGATAACATGCAAAGTCTGAGAGATTTTGGAAAGCTTGGCATGATACTGAGATGTACTACCGGAACTTTTGATCAACTGTGCCTTGAGACCATATTGAACGAAAACCTTATAGCAGCGCTCTACAAATCTTTTAGCGAGACGATACTGTAACACAGGCTCATCGTCTTGTTGATATTTATTGTCAACGTTGAATCTCAAAATACCACTCAAAATACGACTTGTAGCTTGCGGCCGTTGCTTCATAATGAACCCCAAGCAATTAAGAACACCCATGAAAAGGCTCGAAACCATCATGGGCTCTTCAGACAGATAGCTCAGTAGACAATCCAGTAGTTTCTTGGCTTCGACTCGTAGCTGGGCTTTGGAGGTAATCACAGGGTGAGAGTCGGGCAGCGAAGCAAAGGCAGAACCCGGGGGGCCCTGTGTGTGTGCTATAACCAGCGTTGCAATAGATTTTACGGTGGCTAGTTTAACGCCCAAAGATCTGGCATGATCCTTGAGTGGGTCTTCTGTGGGTGAAAATGGGTATGGAGTTTTCCACTTAGATAGAATAAAGCTTTTGAATTGGTCCATGGTATTCCACAGTTCTTTATTCGAGGTTTTTGCGACTAGATCAAACAGCCACTCGTAGCATCGGCTAAAGCCCAGAATTCCATCTCGCAGCGTGGCATGGTCCTGTTGGCTGCGGCAAATTAGCCACAGTGTTGAGAGGTGTTGAGATGCAATAAATGGCTTCTCGCTGGACACAACTTCGTCATGATTCAACACGTCCATAAACAATCTAGCACAGATTTTGCCCAGTTCAGTGGACGGATTTGTTGTAGATCGATACAGCGACATAGCAGTCTCTAGAACTTTCGGAAGCATTGTCCCTGGTTTATTGTGCATGGCCAGAGCTCTGGCCTGAGCCAATTGAGCCACCTCGTTCGACATCGCGGACCACCGTTGAGGATTCGAGTTGATGATGTGTGAATTCACTGGGACGTCGAGTTTTCATTTTGATGTTATGCGAACTCCACGTATAAAACTATATAATTAGAATAATTGCATCAAATTAGGCGATTCAAGCCCATGGCGTTGAGAATAAATGAAAAATTAAACTTGACCGTTTTGACAGGCACCCTACCGTCTCATTGCGACGCTTTTGCCCTGAATTGAGCATTCATTCATTGCTTTGTAAAGCCGGGTTCGGCATATGTCACTTTGTACTAATGTGACACTGTGGGAAGCAGGTTGAAGTTTGAGAACTTCGCGATTGAGCGGTTCACACCCGCGTGCGAGTGCGAGTGTTTTATCCAGCACCATGAGTCATTCTAGCGATTGCAATGGTCCCTTGTACTTTTTGAGATTTTTTTGGATATCAGCTTTACCTCTAGAGCTAAGAATACGTGGAAATTGTGTTGTCTGGCGTTTGGCTGTAGTGGTGTGGGTTAGTCTCAAATGAAATAAAGCCATCGAGTTTTGATCGCACGATGGTCTGCACTTTTGTTTTAAAGAACACATTTTTTCAGTGGATAATGTCAGTACTTTCAAATATCAGTGAGGAAAGTACGATGTGCGTTCTATGAATTGTGGAGAAAACGCAAAGTTCCCTGGGGTCCGGTGTTTTCATATGAGTGCGCACCTTGTATTTCAATTAACATCCGTAAATCACATAATCTTGGTTGTGGTTTCGAGGTTTCAGTTTGTAGAGACGTCCAGGTCTAACAAAGCTTGCACAATTTTGAGCGTTCCTATGAGCATGTCAACAACAAGTGTCAGAGCCCTTCGAGCTTGTCAGTTCTTGGCTCAAACAGTTTGATGTTGAAGTGACGAGCTTTTTCACAGGAACTTTGAAATGGAAAAGGTTAAAGTCCAAGCGTGAACCGATCGCTAACGCTCTCCATTTTGAACAGGTACAAGTCTCGTATAGCCTGTTCTAAGCTTCTCTGGAAGTCGAGTTGCTGAGACTGCACATAATCGTGGCCAAGTCGGACTAATAATTGAGAAACTGCAAGTCATTCGCTCAAAAGAAGCTGCACACAGCTGACTCATTCCGTGCTCCGGGGCACGATATCAATCAGAAAATCAAACATGTCACTCTTGAGTAAAGCCTGGGCAATGTCACTCTTTTGCAGCGTTCTCCGCTTGTGTTCCTCAGCGATGCACCACGCTCGCAGCGTAAGCTCTGTAATGAAAATCTCACATGCCTTGGCAAACAGGATAGGAGCCTCTGCACTGATCATTCGAACATCTTCGTCCGTTTTCATCACTTTTTTGATTCGTGCCAGTGGCAGTGAGTGCGATTTAAAGTCATCCTGGTACTCACTGCCCGGTTCGTTTGTCATTTCTATCTCGTTGATTAGTTCTTGCCAATATTGGATCGTAATCTCCAGGTAGCTGCCCACTAGGCCCTGGGCAACGTTGCGAAACACGTCAACTTCTTCCTCGTCTAGTTGTGAGTCCATGATAGTAGTGGTAAATGCGAGTTGATTCAAGTATTTGTAGTGTTGTGGGTGCGATGAGCCGAACTACAAATTTCAGTCTTTACATTGAATTATCTTATCATCGATACAGCGAGCACGAACACCGTAGAGAAACGAAACGAACAAAGTTAAGGGCTGAATTCTGCATGCAGAATGCGTAAATTCCAGTCTTTCAGTAGCAGCGTTGAATCTAGCTTGTTGCAGCCGCAAAAGGAGACTACTTCGGGCGATTTATATGCAGAACCTGAAAACTTCTTAGAAATCGAGGTTGCCAACCCGAAAACGCAGTTTCCACACAACGATCAACGTGGGATGTTTACTGACTACGAGATTATTTGTCGGACCAATATACCCTCGTTTTCAAAACGTTTGAGTAGCGTTCGTAGACGGTACTCCGAGTTTGAGCTATTTCGCAAATGTCTGCTCAAGGAACTATCGCTGTCGAGCCATCCAAAGGTCGTGGTTCCGAATCTGCCCGGAAAAGTCATTCTGGGAAATCGTTTTAGCGACGACCTTGTCGAGGAGCGCAAGCAAGATCTTAATAAGTGGATGAACTCTGTGGCTGGTCATCCATTGCTGCAGACTGGATCTAAGGTGTTGGTGCGATTCATCGAAAACGAAAAGTTCACGGGATAGTGCAGGGTTCGCTGTTCAGGATTGTTTTTTGGCGAACCACTTACCATTGAGCCCTAGACTTTACTTCAAAGCCGCACTTCGAGCGCCAGGACGCGCACAACTAAGTACTAGTATGCAGTGCACTATTCCATGCGAACGAAGACTACGACATTTAAAAAACCGAAAAGTTGCTACGGTACCCGCCAAATCTTGCAAACTGGGCTGATTTGTAGTGTTAAAATGGGGCAACCCATCTTGATGACAAGCTTGTTAAATGGGTATGTCGATAGCTTTAGGGTTCAATTGTGCAGATGATTTGAATGGCCTGAGGAAAGTGCAGGAGTGCAGGAGTGCTGCAGTCTAACAGGCATTCAAGCATTACTCATGCGTCTACTGAAATTCAGGCCGGGGACATTTGAAAGTACACTATCTACCATTAGCTGTAATATGCGAATTTATCTTCGATACGCGATATTCTGGTGGTATTGGGCAAACCAGTAAACATATTCAATAATTTGAAAGAGTACTGTTCAAAATATAAGAAAGGGTACTTCGGTTAACTACAGTGTCTCGATGGCATTTCGTTGATGACAATGCGAATAGTACAGCTGCAAAAAATGAAATGCTTCTTTGGGTATATTTTTACATGATAAAATCACTGTTGTTACTGATGAAAGATCTGCGTCTAATGTGTGTTAAGATGAGTAAGAATTACGAGCTTAGTTGAAGTTTTTGAGCTAGGTTACATCGCTCATAAATCTCCAAAGCGATCTTTCTATATTTCATTAACCAAGGCTTTTTGCAGTGTTGACAGATATAATTATAGAAGAAAACACCACTAAGATACTCTGCTGCTTATCAGATGGACCGTAATGCAAGGGGCACTTCACAATAGCGGTGACTGTGAGAAAGATCATTCTGTTTGTCTAAAGAGTATCATATTTAGTAAAATTGTACTGTTCAAACTGCGCAAACCAGTCATAAATATTACAGTACGTTTTGAGCATCTAAAAACATCCTGCTCGCCATTTGGAAGATCATTCAGCCTTGAATACAGGAGTGATTACAATTCTATCTGATCCACCTTCTCTGATTTCGTATCATCTTGTACTGTTCCGTCATATCAATACAGATCGCTGTCGTTCTGATAAAACATCTCGAAACAGATGTCTAACAGAAATGAAAGAAAGTACAAATGGAAACCACATAGCAGTGTAAAGAGGTCACTGTTGATAATCTTGAACAGTGTATAGGGCCCAGAACGCTAACTCCCATAGGGCTAGTTGTCTTTGAAATGCGTTAAGAAGCCGTATCAAGCGACTGATCTCCTTCGTATAGCAACGTGAAGTCAAGAGCCAGCTTTTAAAAACACAAGCCTAGCTGCTTTCAAAAAGCTTAAGATTGGCCACTAATAGCAGATTCAAGTGCTCCACTTGGCGTTCTTAACTGACTTGCTTGTAACTTTTAATTAACCATTATGATATTAAATAATGTCGTATCAAGGTACATCTAAACAAATGAAATTTACAAATTCAAGCAGTGAAAGTGTTCAACGATGTATTCAAATCTAAACAACACTCAAGCATCACCTCTCAAGCTCAACCAGAGACCTCGCTACAGGGTTTTCAAGCCAGAATGAAGAAGTCAACGCTGCTGTCGATTGACGCGTTCGCGAAGACCGAGGAAGATGTGCGAATTCGGACTCGAACAGGCGGGCTTATCACATTGTCGTGCGTTCTAGTTACGTTCATGCTGCTTTTTAGCGAGTGGAGACAATTGCACAAAGTGGTATCGCGTCCAGAGCTGGTGGTGGACCGCGATCGTCATCTCAAACTGGACCTTAACATGGACGTGACGTTTCCTCATATGCCGTGTTACCTGCTCAACATGGACATTTTAGACAGCTCTGGTGAGCTGCAACTAGACCTGCTCGAAAGTGGGTGGAGTAAAACCAGGCTAGATTCATCGGGCCAAAGTTTGGGTACTGAAAATTTCAAGATTGGACAGCAAGATCGCGTGGAACCAACCGATGAAAACTACTGTGGACCCTGCTACGGTGCGAAGGACCAGTCTCAGAATGAGCAGAAACCCAAAGAAGAGTGGATCTGCTGTCAGACGTGCGAGGACGTCCGTACGGCGTACATGGATGCGCAGTGGGCGTTCTTCGACGGCAAGGACATCGAGCAGTGCGAGCGCGAGGGCTACGTCGAGAAAGTGAACAAACATATCAACGAGGGCTGCAGAATCAAAGGCAAGGCAAAGCTGAACCGGATCGAGGGCAACCTGCACTTTGCACCAGGAAAGGCGTACCGAAACGCTCAGGGCCATTTCCACGATATCTCGCTTTACGAGAAGAACTCAAATCTTAACCTCAATCACATCGTTCACCACCTCAGTTTCGGCCAGCAGCTGGAGGGAGACGCCACCGAAAGCGTATCAACCGCCCCGCTTGATGGCAAAATTGTGAGCCCAGATTTCGACACGCATTACCATCAATTCTCATATTTCGTCAAGATCGTGCCCACGCGCTTTGAATATCTTGACGGCGCCAAAACCGAGACCACGCAGTTCAGCACCACGTACCATTCGCGTCCGGTGCGTGGTGGGCGCGATTCTGATCACCCCAACACCGTGCACAGCCGTAAAGGCTTTCCAAGCTTGTACGTGTTTTTCGAAATGTCGCCTCTCAAAGTCATTAATAAACAGCAGCATGCGCAGACGTGGTCAGGATTTCTACTCAACTGCATAACCAGCATCGGCGGTATTCTAGCCGTGGGTACCGTCCTTGACAAAATCACATACAAGGCGCAAAGATCGTTGTGGGGGAAGAAAAGTACCTGAGGTGCTGGTAAGGCTCGACAAAAAGCGCAAATAAAGAAGAATTTGAAAAAATTGCCGTACAACAATTCTGAGCTGTCCTGCTCGTGCAAGTCTCGGACAGGCCCGTTGCTTTACGGGCATTCACTGACCTGTAAATATAATAAAAGAAAGACCACGACTAAAAGCGCAATTTTTATCCGTTCTATACCATTTGAAATTTTCCTGACAACTGAGAACTTTTTTGCTAATGATAAGTCATTTAACTTGGAATTGAACAGACCCATTGGGCATCAAATTACGCCGATTGTCGTGTTTGACCAATTCTCACCAACGGTTGTTGATAGACGTATATAGTGATAGTTTTCTCCAGTCGTTAAATTCTCTAACTCAGCTCGATAGAATGTTAACTTCACCCAGTAGAAGATAGACTCAAGAGATCTTTGAAGCTAGTAAGCCAGCCTGCTAGGTCGATAGCGGATCGAACACACCATTATGGCTATTCAATCGCAATCAACGGTGTCGCTACCGACCCTTGTGACGCAATCCACGCAAAGCTTGCTCAACAGACGGGTCACGAATGAGGATTCTCTTTACCACATATGCCTTACGATAAAGAAGCGTCTCGAGCAACTGCCTCAGATTAAACCGTATTTGAACCTGGCACATGCGAGCAGCGAACTTCTCAGCGAAAAACAGGCCCTTTTGCTGTCTCAGAAACAGCAATTGAGCAAGCAACAGAATCAAAATAATGGGCCCGGTGTAGGAGCTCTTTCCAGCGGAAATGGCACGAAACACTTCTCCGATCGACGTAGCAGTGCAATGTCGACCGGCAGCTACTCTGACGACGTAGACAACTCCGTTTTGTCCATTGAAGAAACGGTTGTCACATTCAGCATGGGCATTTTGCCAATTACCATGGACTGCGACCCTGTGACACAACTTTCTCATCTGTTCCAACAGGGCTCTCCATTGTGCATAATATTCAACGCGGTGAAACCGCAATTCAAGCTTCCCGTGGTGTCGTCTGACGACCAAAAGATTTGCAAGAAGTCCATCTATGATTTTATTTTGGCCTGCAAGAAATACTTCACATTCAGCGATGAGGAGCTCTTTACCATCTCAGATGTTTTTTCCAACTCAACTGATCATTTCATTAAAGTTCTAGATGTAGTGACGACTCTTATAAACTCAGCTTCACAAGTTTTCCCCGAAACGCGGGTCGAGGAGTTACGATGGTCCAACACCGATCAAGGCAAAATTGTCCGCGAATTTGTCGAGACAGAGCGAAAATACGTTTACGACATGGAGATTTTAAACCAGTACCGAAACCAACTTCTGCATCGGGGCATTATTAGTTCCGAAGAACTCAAGATGCTTTTCCCAAACCTTAACGATATTATAGACTTTCAAAGACGGTTTCTTATATCTCTGGAGATAAATGGACAGGTCGAAGCCAACAAACAGCGTATTGGAGCTCTGTTCATGCACTCTAAGCATTTTTTCAAGCTCTATGAACCTTGGTCAATCGGTCAAAATGCTGCCATAGACTTCATATCTTCGAGCTTCGATAAAATGCAAGGATCGGACTTTGTTATTGCAAACAAACTGGAACTTCAGTCCTTTTTGCTGAAACCCGTTCAGAGATTATGCAAATACCCTTTGCTTTTGAAGGAGCTTCTGCAACAATCCACTTCCAGCGCCACTTCCAAGGAACTCGAACTAGCATGGAACATCTCGAAAAATATTGCTCGTAGCATCAATGAGAATCAAAGAAGGACTGAAAATCATGAAGTAGTGAAGAAACTTTACGATCGAGTGGCTAATTGGAAAGGGTATCGAATCGCCAAATTTGGAGAGCTTTTGTACTTTGACAAGGTCTCTATATCGACTGGTAATCCTAATGAATCCGAACATGATTTCGAAGTGTACCTTTTTGAAAAGATCATTATCCTTTTCAGTGAGATCATACAAAAGAAGAGCAATAGCATATCTTTAAAAAAGAAAACGAGCACCGCCTCGGCATCTACCTTGCATCTTTCAAACAACGGAACCAATAACGCAAGCTCCTCTGGCATTGGTGATTCCAAGCTAGAGCTTAGGGGACGCATTATGATTGTCAACCTGAACAAAGTAAGTCCCATGGAAAGTCGCGGTCTGAACATAATATGGGAGTCTCCCAAAGAACAAGGCAATTTCATACTGAAATTTAAAAATGAAGAGACAAGGGACGGCTGGCATAATTGCCTTCAGGGTCTCTTACGACAAGTACGCAGCGAATCTCTCAAAAGCAATAGTAGCAACAGTGACCGCTCATCGTATTCATCAACGAGCTACCATCCACATAACAGTATGAGCTCTTTGACTAGCAATCAAAAAAGAAGGATCTCGGATGTGCTGCCGAGATATCATGCCCATCAGTCATTCGAAAATGAGTATAGATCAATTTCAGAGAGTTATAGATCATCGATACCCGAGACAACACTTCTCGTACGGATTGCATTTCAAAATGACTTTTACACTGTCTTGGTGGAAATAAATTCGGGAGTTGATAATTTACTGCAAATAGTCAGAAGAAAGCTGACCCACGTTGGAACTATCTCTAAGATAAAGTATCAAGACGAAGATGGCGACTATGTTATGCTTGAAAGCGAAGACGACTGGAACGTAGTGAAGGACATGTTGAAGGAGAGCAGTGAGCGTATTCTGAATGTATGGGCTTTTACTTGAAAATGAGGCGGCCAAGATATTTACGGTGCGGTTCATCATCATGGGCACAACATGATGCATTTAGCGAGATCTATTGTGTTTCATGTTCGCTCTGCATTTCTTTGAATTAAATTTCTGGATGCACTTTGAAGCTTGATTTACCATTGATTGTTGACGAAACCCAATTCTCAGTCCAGAAATCAGAAAATCCGTTCATAGTACAAATGTTCGCTTATCACCCAACAAAGTAATCGCTTATTGTGCGATTTCGTCAAGAGTTTACATTGAAGTTCAGCTTCAGGAGCTAACATTCCCTTTGAGATGCGATAATTTGAAGCCTACCTAGTACAGGTCAATGGGTTCTTGCCCTAAATAAATAATTAGATGAAAACGTTCTTCATTAAGTTAGGGTGTATTTTGGTCCATCGCCACCTTCCGGCACCTCCCAATTAATATCTTGTGTCGGATCTTTGATATCGCAGGTTTTACAATGGATACAATTCTGGCTGTTGATTTGGAACTTAACACCCAATGCCGAATTTTCGTCACCAACGTATTCATAGACCCCGGCAGGGCAAAACCGAGACTCAGTACCTTTCCACTTAGGGTAAGCTTTAGAAGCGTGTTTTTCGAGATCTTGTTCTGGCACTCTCAAATGACAGCGCTCGTCTTCGTCGTGGTAAGTTCCAGTGCGGGAAACGGAAGTAAGGATATCAAAAGAGATCTTTCCGTCCGGCTTTGGATAATCAATGGGTTCATACTTGTCGGCTAGATCGGTAACAGCAGCATCCGATTCATGATGTTTGAAGGTCCACGCAACCTGTCCATTCAATAAGAGAGAGTCTACACCAGAGTATGCCATACCGGCCAGACGACCTAATAGAGGATGATTGAAAGAAGGTCTGATGTTGCGTACAGCGAAAAGTTCGTCATATACCCAAGAGTTTTTGAAACTTTTGTCATATTCTTGTAGGTTTAGAGGCGACGTTACCACTCCATCTACACCTTCTTCCTCCAACTGTTCAATTGATGGCATTTTAGAGATGGCTTCGAACATGCTTTCAGCGGCCATCATACCAGTTTTCATTGCAGTGTGAGTACCTTTGATTTTTGGAACATTCATAAAGCCGGCCGAAGCGCCCACAAGAACACCTCCTGGGAAGTTTAGCTTAGGGACAGATTGCAGTCCACCTTCATTGAGCGCACGAGCACCATATTCGAGACACTTGCCTCCAGACAAGATGCGTTCGTAGTAAGAATGGTGTTTCATTTTCTGAAATTCTTTGTAAGGAGAGACATATGGGTTTCTGTAATCGAGACCAACAACTAGACCCACGGCGACTAAACCGTCGCCAAAGTGGTACATGAAACCACCTCCGTAAACATCATTAGACAAGGGAAAACCCATTGTGTGAGCGGCAAAACCCTTTTTGAAGTTTTCAGGTTTTACTTCCCACACCTCTTTTATACCTAGCCCGTATGTTTGGTTACACTTGCCCTTTCTTAAATCGAACTTTTTGATTAGCTGTTTGGTTAATGAGCCGTGACAGCCCTCGGCCAACACAGTTTGTCTGGCATGAAATTCCATGCCCCTTTCGAAAGACGATTTGGGTTCGCCCTGTTTGGAGATTCCCATATCTTTCGTTGCCACTCCAATAACCGAGTTTCCATCGTCACTGTACAGGACCTCTGAGACAGATATTCCGGGGAATACTTCAACGCCCAATTCCTCAGCTTTTTCGGCAAGGTGTCTGACTATCTGGCTCAAAGAAGCAATGTAGTTGCCTTCGTTTGACATTTGTGGAGGCTCTGGGATTGGCAGATCGAAATCTCCGATGAGATATTTCAACTCGCCAGAAGTTACAGGTGTGACGATATCAGGCGGAAGTGGGATACCATTGCCATTTTCATCGTAGTGTTCGCTTTCAGGAAATAGCTCTCTTAACGCACGAGGCTCCATGATAACTCCGGAAACCATATGAGAGCCCATGTCAGGAGCTTTTTCCAAAACCACGACCCTTAGCTCACCAGAACCGTGCAAGTTGTCCAGCTGTTTAAACTTGATAGCCGTTGCGAGCCCTGCTGGTCCTCCACCTACAATACAAACGTCCACTTTATCAACAGCTCGTTCTTCCGACATAACTTCTTTTTGGTCTTCGCTTAGTTTTTCGAATGGTATTTCCGCTGATTTGTGGACAGCATGGCTCGAACTGAATTGACGGTATCCACCACTTCTAACAGCGTCAGCATTAACATTAGTAGCAGTGAAAGATGACCGTGTGCCAATTGTTTCTAAGCTTCTTAAAGAGGGTCTAAACTTACCCAAATTTCGTATACATTGTTTTGGGAGAAGCCTCGGAAGCATCCTTCTATAAATGAGTAGTTGGGCTGTGTCTGGTCGATGCTTTTGAGATCCTTTGGGAGGCTGGAAACGGTTCGGCAGAGTTGTTGGATCGATAGAAAGATGACTGAGTGTATGACTTTATTTTTCAGTTAAATTGATATCACTTTTTCTTTATCGGACACCATAAGGCTTCTGGCGCCAGGACAGTTGGGACACTAGATAGGATGCGTTAATAAACTGAGCTTGTATAGGTACCCCACAACATGTTGAATTCAGGCTCAACATTCAGCTATACCAGCCTGCTTCATTTATCGAATTCGCTGCCAACGACACACTTTTATAAATTCCCAAGTTTGTTATTGAAATGTGTGACACTTTGAGTGAGACGCCCTGATCAAATCGTGGTCTTGAAATAATTTATTGAGACGAGTTTGATTTCTTGGTGAGCAGCTGGCAAGCCTTATTTCTACTGTCTTTTGTTCACTAATGATTAAAAATATTATTACAACTTGTTCTCTATATGTAACCCAGCCCCAGTGTGGCCCCAAACCTGGCCAATATAATTGAAATGCAAGTGCCACGTACAGACTGGACTCGACCAATATATGTCTGTTCGCATCCCCACTGACTTATTCCTCTCGTAATTCTAAACCGTCCTTTTGAGTAAAACAGCGTTACTGATAATCCTAAGAGAAGAGACCATCGAACTCCTCTACAGAAATGGCCTCGGGAGAATCAATTTCTTCCAGCAAAAATCCTGAACGTATGGTCTGCAACCAAGAATTGCAAGCGAGAATTGGAGAAAATGGCTCCATTAACGTATGACTGAAAGATAGACTTGACTCTATTGGTTTTTGAGAAGAAATGACTTTTTGAGTGCCCGAAGCAGCGCCAAGTACAGCAGGATCTTGAATCCCCATGTGTCTTTTGGCAGCCAGCTTGCTGAGTCTAGGAGCCGCGGCTGCGGCCGTGATGTAGGGTGCCGCTGTGAACGCTGTTGCATCTGCCGAGGCAACTTTCGTTCTTTTGCTTACTGGCTCACTGAAACTGGGTCTCAATCGCAAATCCCGAGAACTATCACTGGGAGTGACATCGGTGTTGCTTTCTGTGGTGTTCGGAATGAGTCTCATTGTAACAGGCGCTGTTGCGTAGGGTATATTGAAGTCGCTGCCAAAGGAACTAATGCTGAACGTATTGTTGACTGCAAACGTGCGGGCTCCTTGGCTACTGTTTTTGATCTCAGCACCTACCGCGTCTGTAGTGGAGTTGTTAGAACCCTGCAATGCAGATGGGCCCCTCTTAGAATTTCCGCTCGACTTTCCTGCTTTTGATTTTGATTCTTGTCTTTGTAGCATCATGGACTGAGTATGAGCTTTATAGTCTGAAGCCAAGACTCCACGGTACACGTAAACCATTCTGCGCGGAGAGCCTTCCGACCACTGCCGCGAGAGTGCATATTTCAGTGTCTTTTCACCTTTTTCTACTTTCTTCACGTAAGCATTAAGCTTGGCTGAGATCAGATTAGAAAGCTTGGTTGATGCGCCTGCCATATCAGGGTGTTTTTCGGCTACAAAATCGCACAGCTGTTTGACAGTGACACCCTTTTGTTGTGGGTCATTTTCGTAGAGTATAACGAATATTGCCAACAAAATGTCATCGTCCATGGACAGATCCTTTTTAATGGGTTTAGGACGCTGGCCTGTGACTGGGACTGTTATAGAAAGCTCAGATACACTTCCTGAAGACGGTACTGGGGACGACGTATTTGACCTTTTCAGTGTTGACAGATCTTTGTGAGCCAGAGGGGTTTCCGAAATGCTATTCTCGTTACTGGACTCTGAAGTTGCGCTCGAATTACTTCTCTCAGCTAAACCTTCAGATGACAAGCTTTGCGATGAGCTACTGAGCGAACTTGGCTGGAAAACCGGAGAAGCTGAATTGTGAAGAGCTTCGTTCTCTAGTGCAGGAATCTGCAAAGGTCGGGAATTAGTCAAAGCCATTTGTATCCACCAATATCAAAGTTGTAACGTCTTGTCGGTTGAGTAGTTCTTATGCCATACAAGCTTGTGCCAGAATAAACAGACAAACAAACAAAAAAATTGAAACTAACCGAATCTTGCGCAGTTGGTCCCGGACGTAATTGCTGGCCAAATGTAAGCTAGTAAAGGACTAGAGTTGATCAAAATTCAAAGCACCAAACCTTAACTTTATTATCCTCCAGACACTTACACTGGATGATCAAAAACTCTGAATAAAAACAGAAATCACTGGAAATGTAACAGCGATTTAGGAATAGCTAAAAAAAACTTCAATTCAAAAACAATCCTATTGCCAACCTTAATAACAGCGACTACTTGGTCTTTCTGTTATAATAATTCTTGGTTATATGTCAAATTAATCCACAGCCAGTAGCTCGATTTCTACCTGGAAAAATCCGACCGGGAAAACGTAGCAACGCCAAAAAAGCCTTGGTGATAAAGATGTGGGGAATGGATCAAGTTGGGACAGAGCTGGGCGTTCCTAGGTTTGAACCAGGGTTGGACACTGGCGATGGATCGATGTCTGAAATCACTTCAGACGCGGTGAAAAATTCAATATTGAAAGATTAGGTAATACCTGGACTAATCTTTTGCTGTAGGGCCGGTTCTAGGCGCGCCACGATGAAGCCAAATCAAGAGTAAGAAAGCTACGGTAAGCCGACGGATGGATTATGTGGAATTCATAAGCGACGAGCACAAGATGCTAGGACGATCGGCAAGATGAAGGATTCGAGCATGATATGGCAAATCTGAATTCCCATATGAATATCACTCTGTACGAAACTAGTTTTGCAGTGTAAAGAAAGGGCTAAACTGGGTTCTGAGATAGTAAGATATTGAGTAAGGCAACCGCGGAGATTGCGAGTGCTTTCCTAGGATCTTGAAACCTTGTTGTCTATGTTAAATCATCATCTGTTGTCGTTTTCTTGCTGAAATTGAATTTTTAAAAAAATAGTGCAGTCAAAGGCTAGTGATTTTGTAAGCCCTAATTTAGAAACCCTAAATAGCATGCCCTAAGCAACAAGCCCTAACCTGCTAGCCCTGCAATTTGGTCATGGGGCAGTGGCCCAGTGCTAAGCAGCTGAGCTACAAGTTGGCATCGTCTTTTGTCACTTCCGTCTCCTGACGCTCGTTTTCAAGCGCCGCTTTAGTACGTTCAAAATCGTTATGCCAATATTTGTCCTCGTTAGGGTATAGGTCGTCTGGACTGCTGCCATTTGGCGGGATGAACCAATAATTCACGGCAACATGGATTTGAGCGTCCGGTATCGTGGTATCTGAGTCCCCAAACGAAGTGACTTCGTGGAACCATCCTGTAGGTAGGTATAGCATTTGGCCCGGTTCCAAATCCACGACGAGGCGGTTGGCTTCGAAAAACAATGGCCACTCTTCCAACGCTCTTAAGCGAATTTTCTTTTGTAGCGACTGGTCCTGGATTTTGTCTAAATGAACAACGGTGGGAATTACCTTCGAAAAAGATGGCGGATCCAGCTTGGCATTCGATTCTTGATTTACGGATGCTTCGTCTTCATCGATGATCTTCTGCCATTTTTGCTTCTCATGAGTAGATAAATTCTCACCATTATTCAGTTGCTGGTGAGCCACCTCGGCTAAAATTGCGCCGTCGTCACGCAAAGTACGCCACGATGGTGACTTTTGACACCTGGCGTAATCAATGACTCCCGAGTCATACACCTTCCGAACGACGCCAACGGTGTACATTTTGGCCGCGTCCTTGGGCGAGAACAGTGTGAATCGTTTTCGTCCACTCACAGGCGCATAAATATTGTCGGCATGGTCGTGGTGCAGTCCTGACGAAGAGCCACCACCTGGGACCGATCTTCCAAGACCTAGTCTAGGAGCTTTAGGGTCGTAATTTGATAGAAAAGCATCATCAGCATTCAATTCCTGTGCCGCACTTGCGCCGATCCAAAGGTTTATTTGCTGCGGTATCAAAGCGTTCATGAATTCTGGTGTTTCCGGTAAGATATTTATCAGATTGTCCATTGGAGGTTGGTATAGCTCTTTCAGCCGTTCTTGGGCCTCTGTGACATCTAGAGGGCCTGATTTCAGATCTACTACAATCTCTGCTGCTTCGTCTAGGGACTCCAGATCATCGAAATCGTCGCGACAATCGCCCACTGTGAAAGATTCGGCATCTGAGAGAGCATCATCATCGAAAGGACCGCCAGCTTCGTCGTCTTCTTCTTCTGAGCTCTCATCGTCTTTGACCTCATCCTCGCCATCATCCTCCTCCTCTGTATTCTTGAAATTCTCTGCTGAACTTTTGTCCACATCTTGCCCATCATCAGTTTCTCCAGCGTACTGTGTTGTCAAATATAGCCCGCTTTCGCCCTTCTTCAAACGGGCCATAAGTTCCTCGAACGTCATCCGAAGTTTTTTCTCACCGCTACCGAAGCCTCCGTCCACTTTACGCTCTACTTGCAGAACTTTCTGAGCTGGCAACGTAGACGTTATGTTTGTAGGCGTCAAACCTTCCAAAAGCAGCTCTCTCGATATGACACCGTTTATTTTGCAGGGCTTGCGAGCAATAACATAGTCTCTTAAAAATGTAACAATGCTTTCGGGGTTCGAAGGCAGCTCGATAACATCGACATCGTCCACTTTTTTTGAAGGATGGTACTTGGTGTATTCGTTTGCGACCGAATTCGTCAAGGACTCTGGTCTTTTTACGCAATTCTCGGCATTGGGGCTGCCTCCTCTTTTGGACATTTCAGAAACTGGCTCGAAACTTCCAGAGAATGGATTGGATCTTTTAACTTTGATCAAAAGCTAGTCCCAGGTTGTTCGATGGCCTAGCGAGACAAATCTTTTCCCATGTACCTATCTACGACTCTCTTAAACCGCTAGTAAAAAAGACAATGGGGTACATAATGATACATCTTTTTATAGAATCGTGCATAAATATAGGCAATATGCATGAGCATGCATATGGATGGCGGCTATTTTCGAAACACAAAGTTGTGTAGATTACCACATTACACTGGACAGAAAAAGAGCTTTGAACAACGAAGAATGCATTAAATATGTAAATGGATACTAGACTTCATTTGTAAGAGAAAACAATGCAAATGAGTAACCATTCGACTCATTGAGCGGACATCATATGACCTCTGAGAGTTGTAATGGTTAATGGACCGACAGGCTGGAGAGCGACAGGAAGTATGATGCTTTAAGGAAAGCGAAATCTGAGTGAGAAAACAAAATGCGAATGATTTCCGACTGCGACTTCTCCATCTTACCTCCTTTAGACAAACGGCTCGATTCCAGCTCGGGCAAAGAAAATGAAAATACAACACGTTGAGTTCCTCACCCAATGCTGCTCTGATGCCAGGTAGTTTATTTTTGTGGGAAATTTTGTCATTAAAAGGATTCGTTAGCCACACGGTATGGTATAAAATTTTTGAACGTCGTGGTTGAATGAGAGGGGTCTTGAAACCCATGAAAGCACAAATTCGCTTCCGCAACAGCCTGTTTCCCCACTTACCGAACCGCTCCGTAGACGACCTAAGCCGTGTGGAAAAGGAAATGTTTTCCCTACCTGGAACGTTTGCATGCAACCTCAGCCATGTCGAAGAAGTCCATGTCCATGTACGCAGAGTTGCGCTTGGAGTCTGATCTTCGAGGCATGGCAGTGGAGCTTACAACACCATTACTTTTGGTTGCGCAGGAAATGGGGGCCACAGGTTTCGAAGTGTTTGGAGATGCAGACGATTGTGGTGTTTTCATATACGTTCCGAGTTTGGCATGGTTTCTCAAGCTCATAGTGGAAGGTGTGCTAGGTGTAGGCGGCACATGAGTTAGTGGATATCGGAACGAGTGTGACGAGCCGCCATTTGACGATCTGGCTGTGTACATCACAGGGCTGGCGTGGGACCCGGGGGAATCGCCGTTTTGGGAGCGTGGAGATAGCACGTTAACCGAACCTTGACCAAACGAGCTAGGACCGGAAGGAACAAGAGTGGGAGGAGGTGGCGGAGGCGAAATGGTCAAATCGTACTGAATCAAGCTCTTAAGGATCGGGTTGGAGTCCACGGGATTCTGGCCCAGGTATTTGAGCTTGAAGCTCGAGGGAAAATTGCGGGTGCGCAGTTTACGCAGGACAAGACTACACACACGCTGGAGGTTGACGTCCTTCAGCATGGCGGAGTAATGCAGGAGCTCGCCGTCCACTGATAACCGAAGAGCATGCGTGGCGACCGTGACGGCAGCCAGCGCTACGGCACTGGCGTTGCAGTCGAACGCCAGCTCGTGATCGAAAGAGGCTAGTTCGCATAACACGCAGCTGGCGTACTTGAGGTCGTTGATGTTAAGGCCACGGTAGCTGAGCGAGCTGATTTTATTTTTCAACAGGATGTCGACAAAGGCGTCATGCGGTGGTGCGTTGCAAGGCGTCCAGTTGAGCGCTTTGAGGATGTGTAGCTCCATTTCCTGGAATTGCGCGCGTGAGTACTGAGAGCAGCACAAGTTCTGAAGGGCACGCAACGATGGAACGCGAGGTTTTTTGTCGGTGTACTTGGACGCGAGCCACAAGCCACACAGTGCAACGAGCTGGTAGGTCGAACTTTTTACCACGATACAGCTGCAGTATCGGTCGATGATGCTGAAGCACAGAAATAGTGTTGACGACGACAATGCGAGTCTTGTGTGGCAGCACATGGCGAAGTCGAAAATCAACGACCGCATGTGAGTGTTGATTTCGGGCTGTGCTTGGAAGCTGGCCAAACATGGTCTAGTGGTCTGTTCGAGATCAATCAGATGTCGCAGGATATCGACACTATAGTCTTGGCATGCAAGTTGGTGGGCAAGCAGTTCCATCTGGACAACATGAGGGTGTGCAGCGCGTGAGTTCCACACCGAACGTCTAACGTTCGCCATGTTAGCAAGGTTGGAAGACGAAGACATGGTGGTGGTGGTGGTGGTGGGCCAACAATGCTGGTGGTAGTTATATTTTTCAAACGGGATTCAAGCTTGATGAACGCGATCAGATAACGCAGTTAGAGAAGTGGGCTTGACGAGTGTCAGAAAGGTGTCTTATTTTTCAAGTTTGTCAAAGTTGATATTTTTGACAGGGACAACAAGTTGGTGATGTACCGTAGTTGTAAGACAAAAGACGATTGTGAGACAGACACGGGGAAGAGAGCTGGGGAAGAGAGACTAAACACAGGAAGACTAAAGGATGGCAATGGGATTGACAATGACAATCGGAAGCGATGAATGCGATGGTTCTCCTTATTTTTTTTTTTTTTCGGGATTTTTCCTATCACCTCACGGATCTGACGTGATGAGATCTGATGAGATCTGATCCAGAGATCAACACGGCCAAGCAATGGGAGGGTTCGCGGCTAGCAACAAGCAGCGAGATCACCAAGTGAGGACGTGGGGACTTTGGGAACGTTGGAGGGGGGGGGGGGGTGGAGGGACGCTCAGATGAGGTTTTGAAAAACGCCGAGAGAGGGAGAGATCCAAAAAAGAAAAAGAGAGAGACAGAGAACGAGAGTAAGACGAGGGCCTTTCTTGCTGATCCCCTTTTTTTTGTTGTGGCGACGACGAAGAGGTTTGTCGTAGCAGCAGGAGAGGCCAGTAGCAAGTTGGTCAGTTTGCCGCACACAGATGGAATCGGAAATAGGACCCGTGAGCGAAGCGTGTTCTCGAGGAGACGCTGTGGGCACTTGTATGGGCACTTGTATGGGCACTGTCTGGCCACTGTCTGGCCACGAAAGGGATACTATAGGGACACTATAGGAACACTATAGGAACACTAAAAGGTACTCGATCGGGACGCGTTTCGTAGTGAGGCCCGCGAACAAGATTGACAATCGTAGCAGCACCAGGGGAGACGACTAGACAAACGCCTAAAGCTATTTTAGGGAGCCTGGGTCACTGGGGACGATAAGTTGGGTCCCGGGTTCGAATCTCAAAGAGGACGTGATTTCAGAACGGAAAATAACAGTAGCGAAGACCGGCTGGCTACTGGTATATGGATGGGATCGATGCTGATGCAGGTGGGCTGTGGTACAGGGTGGTTTGAATACACAAGACTAGCCAAAAAAAAATGCAGAGATGCTAGTGTTTTGGGGAAGTGTGTGCGCGAAACAAACGGCACACAGCGATGCAGAATGGGTGGGAGGGGAATGGAAAGATGAGTACCCTGGCCCAGAGGGTTTGTGTCTGTGGAAATCGGGCAAAAGAACTATTAAAATCTATTCAATTTTCGATCTTCAATGTGAGGGACCCTCTCTGGCTAATATATATATTATTTTTCAGTATCTACAATTTCTCAGCCCTATGACAGAAAAAACGCCTGCACTGGAGAACACTGCAGCAACAACAACAGTATTAGTAGTAGCTGTGCTCGGCACCTACCCGTGCTCACGCTGGCGCTCGACCACAACGGAACGCTGAATCGAATTTTCGGATTTTTTTCGAAAATCTCCTGTGGAAAATCTACAATTTTTTTAAGAATTTGGGTAAGAAGCATAGCGCGCGTGTGAGCGGCCAGCAGAAGGCAGCAGCCTGCTCCCGCCAGCCGTAAGCGGTAAGCCGTTTTGGGAGAAGCCGCGCAGTGTGCCATGGGAAACGAAAAAATTCCCAGTTCAAGCTGTACGGTTAGGTGTCTGGTGCTTTTTAGCCCGGATCTTTTTTTTTTCAGTATGGGCCTTTTCCCTGTTTAGGCAGGCTACAGCTGAGATTTTTTTTTACAGGCTAGGGCAGCAGCGTACGTATCTGCTTTTGCCGGGAGCTGAGCTGGGTGGTGGTGTCATCACCGGATCTCGATTCAGGTAGGCTGTCTGTGGAATTTCGCTTTATGGCCGTTGATACTTTTTTCACGAAACGCCCAGCAACTACAACGAACAAGGTTGGCTCAGAAAAAGGTCCATTAATTAATCTATCGATGAAATAACAGATAATGAAAAAAAAAGAAGGCTACGTTTTACGATCTGAAAATTCCCTTCCTTCACGGTGGATACTTTTGTCCAGCACCGTCTTGTGCGTGTGTGTCACATTTGGCTTATACGCCCAGGTAGTGTGATTTTGATTTATCTGGATTGAATTGGAAATTATAAAAGTAACAAAACAGAGATCTGTCTCGAGAATGCTATGCTCTGCCCGGTGCCATCGTCGCCCGTCAATGCGTGTGAATGTGAGCTTGTCCACAATCCAGGCTCGAGCTTCGCTTGTCACGTCCACATATCGGGGCCTCAAGCAGACGGCAGGTCTCACGACTTGGGTCCGTAAATTGGCCCTGTTCCCGCCAACACATTACTTACGCCGCGCGCTGGTCATTTCCAGTTTGCCGTTTTGGGCAATCAAGTTCAGGCTTTAGCACAGCGGTAAGAGGGCAGTATCCTGGCGACGATCTGCTGCGAGCGACAACAGCAGACAAGCACGGGACTCGCTTTTATCTGCTAGTGGCCTTCCTCAGAGATGGCATTGTATCGCACCAGCAGGCGATAGCTTTCTGGGTGTTTGCTGACTTGGCATCATTATGACGGGGATACAAGCGATAGGCAAACTGCAGCTCGAGCAGAAGCCAGATTTAGCAGCATGTGCACATCTTTTCATTACTGGTATCGAGATTGCCCAGTTGGGAAGTCGAGTCCTGATTTCTCGTTGTAAGTGATGATTTACGTGCCTAAAATGGGGTCCGTCCTTTAGGTGCTCCTAGTGCTCCTATCTTCAGAAAAGAGGGCTCTGCTTTTTGGGGTGATCTCGCGGTAGATTGAGTACACTTGGGCTTTGTTCTTTTCGTTGCTGTTGTCGCCAAACTCGTATTCTTGTGGCGCTGGACGGCTCACCCGGAGGAAACATAAACCGGATAAAAGAGGTTTATCCGGAAAATATTCATCATGTAGTACGACCATTGTCTCGGATCTTCTGATACCATGACAACTTGTCATGGCAACCTGAACACTGCATATCACCAAATTGGTGGGTCTTTGTGTTAGTTCACCTTCTTGCCTTGATTTTTGTCTCTCTCTCTC